AGCAACCCTCTCACTACCCCTCCCCTGAGCAACCCTCTCACTACCCCTCCCCTCAGCAACCCTCTCACTACCCCTCCCCACGCCCCGAACAGCCAGCTTATCCTCCAAGAAGCATGAATCTTTACCCCCAGAATGTAAATACCCAGTCATTACTCGGCATTTATGGCGGTGGGGCCTACCCTAGGGGGCAGAGGCCAGAAGGTCAATATCAACCTGTGCATGATACCAAGTACAATTCAATGCCTTACCACACTGCCCCAGCCCCCCGGAAGGCTCCATTCGCTAGCAAGGTGAGAAGGATTGATAATTTTGAAAATCTGTTAGTGCTTTCTCTGGGCAATTTAATGGACCTATGGGTGTCAAAATATTTATGAACATCTAATTGGATTTTCTGCTTTTGAGCTTCATTCGAAAGGAAAAAAGAAAAATTGACGATTAGATTTGTCATTAGGGAAGTGATAGAGGGAGAAAATTAAAGTCCCTCATTTTAAGGAATTATTTTGCATGAAGGGGTTCATTATCTCTCCGACAATCAGAGATATTTATCACATAATCACCCCCAGCTCTGGGGAATGGACTCATTCTTCCTCTTTTGATAATAAGGGGGAGGAATTTGTTCCGCATTCTTCATTATTGATTGTGAGAACTGTTCATTATCGCTATTAATCAATCTTGATTGATTATAGTTGACCCCTACCGTCGTCCCATACCCTGACTTCGACCCTCGCACCGATGCAGAGGTCTTACGAAAAGCGATGAAGGGCTTTGGCACCGATGAGAAAGCCATCATCAATGTTCTTGCCAATCGAACCAATGTCCAACGACAAGAAATTGAGAAACAATTCAAAACACTCTATGGGAAGGTATGAATTCAATAGCGAACACGTCAGGAAAACTTTTGTACGTCTGGAGGGTTTTTAAAAAGAGTTTTTTGGCATTTATGCGAGTCTTTTTTCGTTTTCAAAGGATTTGATCAAAGATCTGAAGTCAGAACTCTCTGGCAACTTTGAGAAGCTCGTTGTTGCCATGATGACTCCCCTTCCCCAATATTATGCCGAGGAACTTCACGACGCAATGTCTGGGATTGGAACTGAGGAGTGTGTGCTGATTGAGGTCATGTGTACCATGTCAAACCATGAAATTCGAGTGATTCGACACGCCTACGAGACTAGTAAGCCAATTATCCGAGTTTTCGAGGAGTATCTGCGGATCTAAAGGAGATAGTGAAATTTTCGTAATACCCTTTTTTGTAGCTCTCATTTCGCTCCACAAAAAATAGTGCAACAAAAAATTTCCTATTTGCCTTAGATTCCGAGATATTGGCGCTTCGCTACTGATTTATCACCAATTCTGTTAATTTTTTCAGTGTATGGGAGGTCATTGGAGGAAGATCTACGTGCCGATACCTCTGGCAACTTCAAACGTCTGATGGTGTCACTTTCTTGTGGCAATCGAGACGAGAGTTTCGATGTTAATCCAGGTGCTGCGGCGGAGGATGCACGAAGACTCCTGCAAGCAGGTGACAATTCTATCTTTCAATCAATTGATAAGTTCTGGATTTTTTAAATTGTCGATTCATCTTGTCGATGAGTGCCCCAAGAGGAGAATGTCGAAGAAACTTTATTCTAGTTGAAGAATTTAGAAGAATTATCCCTACAATTATTTATCTAAATAATCATTCCCAGGTGAATTACGATTTGGCACTGATGAATCAGTATTCAACGAGATATTGGTGCAGCGCAACATCCCACAGTTGATACAAATATTCGCGGAGTACCAGAATATAACTGGACACACGATTCGAGATGCCATTGAGAATGAATTCACTGGTGACATCAAGAAGGGATTGCTTGCTATTGGTAAATATCAGTCTAGATCTCGACCTGTCAATCACAATTTCATCTGAATGTCTTTTAATCCCGTGATTATTGTATTCTCAGTGAAATGCGTTGAGAACCGAGCAGGATTTTTCGCCGAACAACTCTATAAAAGCATGAAGGGAATGGGAACCGACGATCGACGTCTCATTCGTCTGGTTGTCACTCGATCTGAAATCGATATGGGAGAGATAAAGCAGGAATTCAGTCGCACGTATGGAAAATCTCTCGAGGATTTCATATCTGTGAGTTCAAAAACTTCACTAGGATAAATCTTCATCAATGCAGATGATATGAGAATAAAATTTATAATTATTTTCTTTGTTTACACAGGATGATTGTTCAGGGCACTACAAAAAGTGTCTGTTGGCATTGATCTCGTAGGAGATTATACAATGGCCTATGCGTCTCAGGAATGGCATTTGTTGATTTGATAGATCGCCAAATTTCTCAACGAGGAAGCCATCGACATAAACGATTCTCATTTTTCTAAGTAGAAAACTTGATATTTTAAAGGTGTCAAGGAATATTTTGTAAGGCATGAAAAATTACCAACATTATATTTCAACGATGTATATCCGCCCAATTGACCAAGACTTTATATTTTGTACGAACGGTTTTTCCCAATTGGCAGTGAATAATGTATCTTTGAAAGGATATTCCATAAATAATGGATTTTGAAATAACTGAAAAAACGAACAGTCGATTCTATGATTTTTGATCATGATGAGAATGGAATAAAATGTATTTCATTGAATCGTTGCTTCTGCCATGCATACAGACATTAAAGTCCTGATTATTCATTAGCCAATGTTTATTGTCGTCCTCGAACGATGCTATTGACATCCAACTCCACGGTTTTCGCAGATGCGTGTGTTATTATAAAAACATTCATGAATTTTATATTCTATTGTCATGTATTTGCTATCAGATTCTATGGATATTTTATGACTACTGTTCCAATATTTCGATGTAATGAAAAAAAAACAGTACAATAAAATGAATTCAGATGAATGTTTTCCTTCTTCTTTCATTCCAAAATATTACGAAGGAAATTGTGATCATCCTTATTATTTAGTACACAAAAGCGCTGCAGAGTTTCATGCACGATTGAATTTAAACAATTAATTTTCTCTGATTTTACATACCTAACTGGTTTAAATGAACTTCATGGTCAATTGTTTCTCGTAGAATAACCTCTATAAACAGCGACAACTGCACAACACACACGGCACTGGGTCATTTTAATAAGAATACACATAATCCAACGGTTTGGACAATACCCTTCCTTGGAATTTTCGATACTACGAATTATTTCAGTGGAGGGAAAGACAAGTGCAACGGCCAACCGCCTGTTCTGTCAAGTCGTTCGCGGACATATTGTTTTCGCGGGAAAACACCTTATTCCACTCAACAGGCTCGTGAGCCTTGTGAAGTCATGTTTGTACACCATTCGTCGGTAAAACAAATATTTCGTTTCTCATCTGAAGATGATATAGCGTTATAGCTGCTGGGCCTACCCCACAAGCTCCTTGAACTCGATGTGTCAACAAACCCAACATATAAACCTGTTTACACTGTAAAATTGAAAGAATAAGAAATCTATTTTGAACTGCTAAACGAGTTAATTATGGAGCCCGACAGAAATACTATGGTTGCTGTTCTGCAACTCCTCCGTAAATATAATTTGAAGGTAACGTAGACAATATACCCGATATAACCTCTCAAATGGCTTCACTAGACATAAACAATGCCCCCATTCACCCATAAAAATCATTACGACTGTATTTTTTATCAAAGCAACAGGAATTATTCTCTCGAAATTGAAGTTTATTTCACTTGCCTGTCATTTCTATCCCCAGGGAACCGAAGAGTTATTGAGAAAAGAAGCGAATTTAACAGACGTGACGATCGATGACAATCAACAGACTGATTCAGAAGTGAGCAATGTCTTGTCAGCCTACAAAAGTGAAGGTGATCCTGCCCTCTACGAAAAAGCATACAGCGAGTTGAAAAAATTTGTCGAGAGTGCACTGGACATTTACAAACATGAACTGGGAACAATACTCTACCCAGTACTGGTCCACATGTACCTGGAGCTGGTATACAACAATCACTCGAAGGAAGCCAAACAGTTGATGGAGAAGTTCAGTGGAAACCTCGAGGAATATTACCAAAGTGACTTGAAGAAATTGTCTAACGTGACAACGAGAGAACAAATGGCTGAGAACGAGCTGTCAGACACCTTCAAGTCGAATCAGTTCATCATCAGGATATCGAGAGACACTCTTTCGATACTGAAACGTCACTTGCAGGAGAAAAAACACAGTGTCTTGTTGAATATAATCCAGGAGCACTTGTATTTCGACATGTACGAAGGTGTTGCCAGGAATAAACAGCAGATTCAGGCCACCTCAGGAGCTATGTTGGGTGAGGCAACGAGACAGGACAACAAAACAAAAGTCTATTATGGACTCTTGAAAGAACCAGACATCCAGTGTGTTCCACCAGCCGAGGAGGAGGAGGGTGAGGAGGGTGCGACAGAGGGGGACAAGCCAAAGAAGAAAAAACCGAAGAAGGATCCATTATTCTCGAAAAAAACTAAATCAGATCCTAACGCACCCCCTGTGGGACGCATGCCTCTTCCAAACCTCAAAGACGTTGACAAATTAGAGAAGATAAAAGCCTTGCGAGAAGCCTCGAAGAGGGTCAACCTCAGTGCGGACTCCCTTCCTTCAATCTGCTTCTACACCCTCTTAAACAGTGTTCACAGTGTGACAGCTGCAGAAGTCGCCGAGGATTCGAGCCTCCTAGCTGTGGGTTTCTCCGACTCAACTTTGAAGGTTTGGAGTCTGGTCCCACAGAAATTGAGGCTTATGAAGTCAGGGGAATCTCTGGTTGATATCGATCGAGAGGCTGATGATGTTTTAGTCAGGATGATGGACGATAGAACTGCTGAGACTGTGAGGACTCTCTATGGTCACAGTGGGCCTATTTATAGTTTGAGTTTCAGCCCTGATAGGAATCTTCTGTTGTCTTGTGGAGAAGATACTACTAGTATGATTTATTCTATTAATTTTTTCATTCATCTCCACTTATTATTCAGCTATTACATTATTCGTTTGGTTAATTCGGCTAATATTTTCATATTTTTCCATCTTTGCAGTTCGATTATGGTCCCTCCATACGTGGACCTGTGTGGTCTGTTACAAAGGGCACTTGTTCCCCGTCTGGTGCGTTCGCTTCTCCTCCCATGGCTACTATTTCGCCACGGGTTCCCACGACAAAACAGCGAGACTTTGGGCAACAGACTCCAACCAGCCCCTGAGAATATTCGCTGGTCATTATTCAGACGTCGATGTCGTTCAATTCCATCCCAATTCGAATTACATCGTGAGTGGCTCCAGTGACATGACAATCAGACTCTGGGACTGTGTCACTGGAAATCAAGTCAGGCTGATGACAGGGCACAAGGCCCCGATCTTCGCGTTGTCGTTCTCCATTGAGGGGAGGTTTTTGGCATCCTCTGGGGCTGACAACAGAGTTCTTGTCTGGGATCTCGCACATGGACATCTTGTTGCCGCTTTGTCTGGACATACTGGCACTATTCACAGTCTCTCCTTCAGCAGAGATGGAAATATTTTGGTGTCAGGTAATTGTTATGAATTTCCAGTAGACAATTATGAGGATTTTATTCCTTTATATTCCTGTTACATATCAGCCAAAAATAATATGTGAAAATTTCCTCATTTAAAAGAATTCCTCGTATTACAAATTAATAAATTGTTGAATGCCATTTCAGCTTCACTGGACTGCACATTAAAATTATGGGACTTCACCAAACTAGCGGAGGAAATGAGTCTCGAGGACGTCAACGTATCCCACAATCCGGACGTCAAGACATCGGCCGAGTGCTACCTCCTGCGTACATTTCCAACGAAAAATTCACCAGTATTGGCTCTCCATTTCTCCCGAAGGAATCTCCTCCTCAGTGTTGGAATGTTCGAGGCATCGTGAACATTCCTCAAACCGTCATGTACAAAAAAACCATAATCCACGGAATAAATCCATCAAAATATTCTTCAGTAAATCAAGAGTGCTATTAATTTATTCCCCGTGATCTACTTTCTATCCCCCAGAGCCTTACGCAACCCCAGCGCAAAACAATCATTCTTTTATATAACGAAAGACGAACGATTATATCATGGTAATTATTCACGCATAAAGTAGTCTTCTCTCGACGAGGAATTGCAGTCAAAGGGCGCGGGGATTTTCGGGCATGCGTATTGTGGACCAAAAAAACATTCAGCATTTTGATGATCAGTTCAGAGTCCACGCTTATCACAGGTTTTTAAAAGGCCAACACAAGTGAATGTTTTTCCTCATATCCTTCTCACCACCTTGACGATGAAAAAAAGAAATACCCATGGAACCAGTCTCGATAAAAGTGAAACTAGAGTCCTGAGATAGTGGAGTAACAGCAGTTGTTGCAGTTGGGCGTCACCAGGAAATTAATTTTTTTTGTTCTGGACAGATTCAAAAGTATGGGCGACAATTACATTAGGTTAGGTATGTAAACTCGTCAGCGTAAAAATAAAAACCCCGATAGATTTGCATAAAACCACCTGAAGAGGAAAGCCTTGTACATTTGAAACGCAGTGCAGTCACTTCATATTTTATGAATTTTTTCATTTCTACTTTTACATTGCGACGGAGCATTTGACCGAGAATAATGACGGGAAATAATCGACTCAATGTTTGAAAACTAAAAAACAATCCCGTCCAATTTTTCCCTTTAAAATAGGCCAATTGTTTCAGAAAATTATGAAATGCTCAAAGCGTTGTACGACTTCAAAGCAACATTCGCCAAGACCCTGAGTTTCAGTGAGAACGATCACTTCATACTGCACCAATCAAACACGAAGCAGAGGAACTGGTGGCAGGTGGTCAACAGTGCAGGTCAGCTCGGCTACATCCCCTCCAACTACGTGACAACCGTCAAGGTCGAGCCCCAGTTCATGATAAATTTCCTCGACAAATGCATCGAGAAACTGCGAAGTGAATTCTCAAAGCCAGGAGTTCCATTGCCAATCGACAAACAGGATCTGGTTCAAAGACTGATTGAGAAGAAGAGGCAGGCGGACCTGAGTCGGAGACCTAAGAAGCAGGCGCCACAGCCTCCAACGTTCACCAACTCATCCCCAGTGAAAGAGCCCTCATCAACTCCCCAAGACACCAATGACGAGAAGCTAAATAAAATAGTCAGCAATGTCACACCTAAAGCGAAGATCCTTCCTTACGAGGGAGACACCAACATCAGCCCTCAAATAAAACCAGAACGCAAGAGTTCCATCACCGAGCAGCAAAACAGACCTCTATTTCTTCGACAAACATCTTCGGAGATGGTTCAGCACGTGTATTCTGAGAAGGAAGACATCCTGAAGAGTGTGTCCCAATCGAACGTGCGAGAGACTCGATCCTCTCCGAAGAAGAACAAACAATCACCATCCGAAATGGACTCCCACGCGGCTTACAAAATCCTCGACGAAGTGAGAAAACACACGCAGTTGAGCTACGAAATGTCAAAACTGGCTGTGACTGTCGTTGTCTCTGGGCTGCAGCAGTATTTACCGAGTAATATTAGTCACTACTTCGACATTGTACTGAATCAATTAGAGAAACCATTAATGATATCGAATATGAGTATTGAGGAGACGTACGACGCCGAGAGGCTGAAGGTCATTTTCGTTGAATTGACTTCCTGCAAAGAGGACTCACAGCAACGGAGTTGGATGCTTTACGAGGACGAGGCCGTTATAGTAGATTATATCAAGGAACTCACTTCTATCCTGACGAATGCCGATGCCAATGTCTCGAGGCACGCACTGAGGCTAGACCAATACAACGGAATTAACACGTTGATACAGTACTATCAGATGGAAGCGAGGTGGACAATTAGGCAACTACTCCTTCAATCCTTCGGAGTCATGTGCAGCTTGGACCCAGTAGTCGTCACCATCATGCTGAATAGTATTCTTCCGATGGAGCTGGCCAGGGACATGAGGAGCAACCCCAGAAATGTCCCGAAGTTGAATTACTCTTCTCTTCTACTCACCATGATTTTTTCAATGGGAGAACGAATGCCGATCACTCATGTCGAGCAATTGGGCCCGGAGTTCATATCGTTTCTGCTGGAGTTGATTGAGGATCCACCGGACACCGATCTGGACGACCAAATTCCGGATCTATTTCTCAATCTGATATTGTCGTATAATCTTCAGTTCAGCAGCTCTGAGAATATTTTACTGAATTCGCTGAAGGCGCGCTCCAATGCCAAGACATTCACACAGAAAATTCTACTTCTGCTTAATCGAGAAGGTATAGGAATGAAAATGAATTGGTGAGGTTTAAGCCTAGGGGAGGGTGGGGTAAAGTGGACACTAGACTTTTTTAAAATTATTCATGACTCAGAAACAAATTTATCAATTGAGCTCAGTTGAGGCGAGTCGCAAAGGGAAAGAATTGTCCTTTGTATTGGAAAAAAATTATTAAATTTCATCAACATTTCAATCTCTCATCAACATTTTTTAAAAAGTCAAAAGTGTCCGTTTTACCCCAACCTCGATTATACAGAAAAATTAAAAAATGGATTGTTTTTATGTTGACAGAGGATCCTGTCCGGATATTTGACCACGAGCCTGTGCCACCCCACTCGGTCCTCAAATTATTCATCGACTTGTTCGGAAGTGAAATAACAGCATCTCTATTCTATACGAATGATATCAAAGTTCTTATTGATATTGTGCTGCGGCAACTGTTTGACATTCCACCCGGGGAAAAGGTATTTTATTATTTCTAATCTAATTATTCAATTTTTTATGATTTTCTCATGAAATTTTGGATTATTGAGAATTCATTTTATCTAATCATTAATTAAGAATTCACAAACGTCTTGGGGGTCATTTCGCATTGTTCGTCTTTTTCATAAAGAAAATTTGATTTTTTTTTATAACTGTCCGCTCTAGAGGCGTCTATATCTGGAGCTCTGCCGACGTGTCTTGCGAACATCTGGCTATGACGATCACCGACATAGATCTGAAGATCTCCTCAAGTGTTTCACACGGTATTTATTCTTTCCTGCTGAGATTTTATAATATATTTTTATAGTGTGTGATAATATTTTCTGAAATTCAGTGTATTTTCCAACAGCATATTCTGCGAAGAAGGGCCAGAGAGTCAAGGGGATCAGCAACTGATCCGTGAAATCAGCGTTGAATTTCCGAATCTCTTCAAAATGTGACATTTGTTACCCCCCTCCTTCTACAGGGAGGTGGACGATGATGATCTGCACACTCTTGTTTAAATTTTAAGACAGACTATGAATTTGTTATATTTTTTTGAGTCGATGATTTTGTCGCTTTATGAAGATACTCGCTCTCTTTATTACTGACTCGAGTGTAAATTGACGAACGATTGAGTCAGTGAAGAGATGATTCTAATGATCGAATTATCATTTACACGATATATTTGCCCCATCACTGGCTCATCCGATAAAGAATAAAAAAGTATTCACTTTTAGCTTTTCTTTCGAATTCTGAAAATCCCAAAAACATTTCACCTATTTCAATGAACTATTCTTCGAGTTCATGATTATGCAGAAAGTATTTCTAGATAATGGTTGAATGCCATTAGAATTACTCAGTCAGACCGTCTTATCTGATAAACTAGAAAGTTTAAAAATAATAAAGTAGAGATATATTTAAAGAGATGAAAAATAATAGTAATGACGAGACTATAATTGAGCCTATGGAGGTATCGCACATCGAATGATGTCGAAACAAATAAAGAGAAGATTTTTCCTGTAGAACATTCGATTACATAAAAAATGTCCAAGTTTTTCTCCAAATTCACTAGTTTCAGATATGCATGCACAGACAGAGGAATTATCGAGTGAATGAGAGTGGTAAAACTCAGAAATGTTCCAAAGCTTCGAAATATTATTTCCTTTCATGTGATACGTACAGTCTATGTGATCAAATAAAAGAATCAAAGTGCTCAAACGCGAAAGATGTTTGTGTTCATGAACACCTGTAGTCCAAAGCAACTTTAATTATGAAAAAAATGTTGACCAACTGATCAATTAAAAATGATTGGCCCCTCCCCCAAAGACTACCCCCAGACATCGGTAAACAACAATTTTATCCTTTGAAATATTTTATTTATAACAATGAATGAATGTGGGCATTAACTGAATCACTTTGAACGAAAACATCCCCAATGATTCGCTATAAAAATAATATGCGTACGAAAGAATAATAATACCAGGCAATTACGTATTGCATCAGAGTCCGGTGACAATGTAATTGTTTACAAATGCGAACGTAAAGATTTTTATGTCAGAGACTTAACATGAATAATGATGTACAAAATCAATATCGTGCGAATAGTGAGTCGAAAGAATGAGATGACGGTAGCGTAAACCGATTTTAATTGACGATTCCACTGTCAACTGGTGATGTTTATTCGCCGGTCATCATTTCCATGAATTCTGAAAGAAAAAGAAAATGTTCCTTCAGTGATTTTCCACGTGAAACGGGATTTTGGGGGATCTAATTTCAATGGGTAAACGAAAGTATCTCGTAATGCCAAGTTGTCAGCAATGAACTTGAAACGTCAAGGATTTCGGCAATCTACTCAGAAAATAGATAATTATTTGTGTAAAAGATTTTGGATGCCAGGAAATGTCCGAGCGGTACAAATTGAAGGTATCAAAGTGATTGATGATTATTGTTCCTGTCGCGGTGAAAGCGATAGATCATCATACACTAAAAAAATTATAATTCCATTTTTCTATACAATTTTTTTTTGCAGGAATTCCTCGACATGAATTTTCCAAAAAAACTTGGAAAGTTTGAATTTATTTCTAGGGAAAACATCTAATAGAATAAATTGTGTAGAAAAATTGGATTCAATTAATTTTTTAAAGACGGTGATACAATTGAAATTCCCTTACCATCGAAATCAACAGTGCCAGATCCATCAGAATCGATTTCCTCGATCATAATGTCAAGTTCCTCATCAGTGAGTTGGTCATCAAGCTCTCGGAGGATTTCTCTCAAACATGTCGTTGGAATATATCCATTGCCTTTGGAATAATAATGAAATCATGAATATTCCCTATTAATTGATGAAATGAGTGAAGAGGAAAGCTTTATTCGAGGGACATTATTTTTGTATTCTCAGTCCAGCCGAACAATATGACACGCCATTTGTTTCATGGAGCTTCTATTCTTGTTCGGTTGTTTGACAACATTTGCGCTTTCATTCAATCCGTCTTGGCTCAACGCCAATCACACTGAGCTTTCAACAACGCGTAATATCATCAAGGTCTTGTTACCTTCTTTATCATAGAGCCTGAATGCCTCTCGGAGTTCCTTCTCGAGGGCTTCGGCGTCTTCTTCTACGATGAATTTCGCGGCGAGCGTTACGAATTCGTCAAATTCCAGTCGGCCAGATTCTAAACAATTACTTGATTAGTCGATAATTCGTGAGAGGAATTTTTTATAAAAACTTATGAATTCGCAAATTTATGTATTACTGTCTGCATCGACTTCATCGATGAGTTCGTCGAGAATTTTTTTGTTGAAGGGCTGTCCCATGAGTCGGAGGATGTCCGCCACCATATCGGTGGGAATACTTCCGCTCTTCTCCCGGTCAAAGCTGTCGAATGCTTTGCGCAGAACTAAAAAATTCATAAATATTCATTTTTTCGATGAAAAATGGAAAAACAAATTTAATCTGAATTTGAAATTGAACACTTTGCAATTTTATTATTCAAACTTCAAAAGTATGTTTTTAAAAGCTAGAGAACACTTCCCAAAGAATTACTGCATAATTATCCTGGAAATTTTTTAATTCTTTTCACGCAATTAAATTTGCCCTGATGACCGAAAATGAATTGAATTGAATTTAGAAGATTTATTCTCCTAGTAGAAATGTCCCACTTGGGTCAGTCCGACGCCAATTCGTCCCCCGAGCGACTCCCCAACGTTAATCCCGAGTGAGCGTCCACACACATGTCAAAATGCCCCCAAAAGTTCAAATTTAGAACCGATGTTAATGCTCCCTCGTCCCACGTTAATCTACATCGATAATTCGATCAATTTCCTGACTCATCGGTACGATGTACACAATATTCCCGCGCTGAAATTCTCAATACTAAAATTTACAATACAGGGAATAAACATATTCTATTCATAGCGATCCTCGGATTGCTGGATCAATCGTCACTCGATACTCCTCCATCACGGTGAGACTATACTTAGTCAGGAGGCAAGGCAGCTGCCGGCGATCGAGTAAAACGTAAATAAACTCGAGTGCGGTAACGTGGGGAATCGAGAAAATGGGGCAACAACATTAATTCTTGGTGTTCATTCTCCTAATGAATATCAAAGCGTTGATAATTATTTTCATTACTCACCTGCGATTTGTTCTGGGGGCAGTTCATCGGCCTGTGCATCAACAGAAATTATTGAATAATCTGTTCACATTCGAAATAGTAATGCAATACACTATTAGAAATTTTTTTGAAATTTCAATAACAACTGGATTTGAATTCCCAGTGTTGCGACACTGAAATTGTTCATGAAATTCTTTACTTACATTCCAGAAATGAACTGATTTCAGAAACAACTTATTTGAAAAATTCATGTGACTTGGTCGTTAGAAATTTCAGGAGTAATTTTCTAACAGCGCAGCTAAATGATATTAAAGTTCGATCGAGAGAGATCCAATCGTATTGATAGAACATTCAAAGATGCAAAATTTTTAAAGTCGATCCATGCAGAATAATGATTTCCACTTTTTAATGTCATTTAGTGTAATTAAATAAGAGAAGGATAAACAGTCGTCGGAATCTTGGTAAACTCGCACTTCATGTGGCAGTTGACATCATATTCGAACAATTGAATTCACATACTGTGTACCGATCGGGCCAATGAATTTCCTGTTAGAATTCTCGTGGAATAGAACACTGATGCAAGAGAAAAAAAATTAATGAGGAAAGTGTGCGGAGAAATTTAGATCGTAAAGTGCGTTCGATTAATTTTGAAAAAGAGAAATAAGTGTTACGATGAGAGAGAGATAATCCAAGTGTATCGTGTGGGTTTACCAGGGTGACGACTTACAAGATCATCAGGAATTGAACATACCATCTTAGCGGTATTAATTAAAATCTTAGTCACTTGATAACGCTAATGATACAGATAAATGAGATAATCCACGTGTTCTCTTCGCTCGCCGATGATGAACTGGTGTATTTGATACTGGGTGTGAGTGCCCCAGCTTCCCCGGTAATATTCATAGCCGGGGGTATAGCGGTTGCGGGTATGAACCCTCGTTTCCCCCTTGCCTCACGAGAGAAACATTTTCCGCCTTCTCCCGGTCGAAAGCTCCAGCCAATCCCGGCGAGATTGGAAGCGGCAGCAGAAAACACGACGCTTGCGCTATTCTGGGATTGGGGATAGTAGAGAGTAAAAGCGGTGAAGAATATAAAATGCAGATCGAGTTAAATACGAGAGGGGAAAAAAATGAGAAATTCCTAGAAGAAAGTTTTTTTTAACTTTCGAATCTGGGGGTGATTGATCGTCTGCATTGAATGGGCTATAGTTTTTCCTCAGCTTGATCGCTTGATGGTGCACAGTTCAACTTTTTTATGTCGGCTTTTTTTTTATTCGCTGTGCCTTGACGAAACTTTCCATCGCCTTTCGGAAGATACTTTTGTAACGATTCAACACGATAGAATGTGTTTTCAGACGTGAGATTGAGGGGTTGAGCACGCACTGTTGTCGTTACAAAAATAGAGACAGAAATCCTTTATGATGAGCGTAAACGACAGTAAAGCATAAAAACTAAAAGCTCGGGTATCGAAAGTTACTGAGGCGCATTGTATTTTGGTGATGATTCTTCATCGCTGGTCCAAATTGAATATTATTTTCTCAAATTCTTTGTCGATTTCATTTGTGAGGAGAACCTCACATCAACTCGACAATTTAAAAGCTTAATATGTTGTAATTTTCAGTTGTTTTTCAGTTGGTAAATCCTTCAGAAGGTAATTTTCAACGCCTGCTCTCTGGATTGTTCTGCATAAAGATTAGATTTCATTTTGTCGCAAATCATAATCAATTATTCAGAATTTATTGGAGTCACTTTAACAATTATGAACCTCCGAACACAGAAAATTGGCCTGAGAAGTGACAAGTCGCAGCAGATTGTTGGAATCTGTACAACGACACAAGAAATTTGGCTACCAGAATAATAACACTTGAAAATTATTTCGTAATTATTACAACGTAGTAGCACAGCTGTAATGAATTTTTAAAAAATCCTTTCAATTTTTACAATGAAATGGCAAAATTTGCTTTTGGAATTTGTTTCCTTTTTGGTGATGCATCTCAGGAGACAAATAAATGAAAAAACAACTTCTACCGAAATCTCTATAAATAAATTTTGTATTGGAAATAAATTTATACAATCATACGTATCAAAAAGAACATTTAATGAAATACCCTACATGAGTTTGTTTGATAAATGCACTTATCATCATCACAATCATTGGGATCCTGTGGAGAGGAGAGCGAGGACTGCGCTGGTGGCCCCAACGGAGAAGATGTAGTTGATGGCTGGAGTGAAGCTCTTCAGGAGGTAGAACGACGCGAAGATGACGATCGCCAGGAACAGGGCGTTGTTGTAGAAGATTGAGAAGGTCGTTGCCTCGTAATCAGCGACTTCGTTCTTCTTCCACAGGATCCTCTCGTCCTTCTCCTTCTTGCTCATTTTCTTGTCTTCAGCGAGTTTACGACTCATCTCTCTGGTTACTGCATCTTCCCTCTTTACAGCAATCTATCGTGATTAGGAAATAAATATCGTTATGAAACTTTTATGAGATTTGTCTTTTTAATGGCGATAACAGTCATTTGGCTGATTTAAATTATGATATGATTTATTTGTAATTTAGGGGATAAAGTCAGTTGAAGCACAATTTCATTATTGAGATGATATGAAATAAAAATAAAATAAAAATGCCATTTTTGTAAAATTGAAGTATTACCTTGTGTTTCAGGATAAATTTCGTGTTTTTGTATGCCAATGCTAGGGCATATGTGCTGAGGAGCGTTACAATTACGAAGGAAATTATATTGGAGTAAAGATCGATGAGATGAATCCTCCAGAATAACCCTGAAAACAACAATTTTAATTCAACAATCATTCGATTTTTCAACCTCAGGAGCAGTTTTTTATGAATATCTTTGAATTTAATGTAAAAACTTCTTTATTAAGTTTTAGATCCCTTTTGAATGCCATAAAATTAGAATTAAATAAAGTGAAGTGAATTAAACAAAATGAGATAAACTAGTTGAGATAAATCTTTAAAAAAAGCCTCTAAAAATGAAAAAAAATCATTGAATTTTATTCTGCAGATCTAGAGTTATTGACAATTCACTCTTTGGAGCAATGCAGCATTCCTAACCCTGAACCCCTCCACAAAACCTCCTCCAAAATCTCAAATAATGAATTAACCAACTAATGAAACCCTCATTATCACACTAAAACACCCCCCAATATAACAAAATAACAAGGGAAACGAAAAAAATAAATAAAAATCGTGAGGTAAATCAACTTACAGATGGGAATAGCCGACACGATGAGGGCATTTCCATAGAACAACGCAGATGATTTCGTTGATACATTCCTGGAGAAGTCCTGCAGGAGTAACTCCTCTTCCTTGGTGAATGCCTTGGACTTTCCCGACATTTTTCTTCACGTCGTTCTCAGAAAATAGCTAGTACTCCCAAGGAATCGAGTTTCACTCCTCAGTCCACAACACAACAAGTGAATTCCGGGTGCTAGGAACCCCGAATTTCTCTGTGTATTGAGTGCGAACACTATTTCTCTGACAACGTGTCCACCGTAACGTCATTCCAGTGAGCAACGGTGGCAGCACTCGTCAGCCCGTTGGCACTTGGGTGAATTCCCATTCAACGACCTCTCATGGATCGTCATTGGTCTATTATTCAGGCTGACGTCTTGCAGCTTCACGGAATTTTTCGTGTGAAACTCGCAGCCATTACTGGAAGACGAGTTCATCTAGTGCTCATTTTTTAAGAAAGTAAACACGTTCTCAATTTTATAGATGAAGTCTTGATAAATGTTTGTTCGAAAGGATGTCCTCTGGCTTCTAATGATGTTGTGCATGGGAATTGCTGCATGACAATGCAGTCAATTTTCATAATGGAATGTTTGAAGTAAAGGTGTGAGAGAATGAGCAAGTGATGGGTAAATAGTTTGTAACAAAAACAAACGATGGAATTCGTGAGTGACAGTGGAGATGCACTTGATCCGCGCATACAAGTGAGAGGAAGCATTCCTGATGAGGTCACGATGAATAGGATTTTTATCATTTGGTTTTTTATTAATTTACAGATCGAATTGGAGAATTTGAATAATGCCACTGAGGATATAAACAAACTCGAGAGTGAGTTGGATGTGAGTAATAACAAAATTTTTGATAATGCAAAATAAATGGCAATTAATCATCTTTTTCTTTCATTATTGTTATTTTTTTGGAGTTTTCTTTTCGATTATTTCCACTGTCGATATTATTTATCACTAAATAATTCATTTTACAAATCACGATTTTTCCTTTTATTTATTCATTTATTTTGATCCTCAATTCTTCTCTTCCTTCTGTTAATTGTAGTTTTTTTTTGGAATTTAGTCTGTGAAAAATATGAGATGACACTGTCTGGAGTGAACGTAAACAAAGTAATAAAAAACTGCTCTTAAATTTCAGGAAGCTCACTCAGTCTTCAAACAATTACTCTCGGATTACGGACAGTTGAGGGAAATCGCCAGTAAGATAGGCCCAGGTTGCATTGATAAAGCACGATGTTATTACGAAGCCTTGGAAGAAGCGCGACGAGCTCAGGTGAGTCATGCAAAATATGCTGAACTCATGTGAAGAAAAAACCAAAGATAACAACTACTGTGGATAATATTTATAGTTCAGCCAACTACATCTAGTTATCATTCTTAATAAAATTCTTTCGAAAAGACTTTACTACAAAAATTCATTTGATTTGCATTTTTGTGACCTGAAGCTTTTATTAAAAATAATAATGGCATATTAGGTGGAGTGCCAGTACCAAGCGCAGCTATTTCAACGAGCTAGCGAATTTCATGCAGCGGCGAAGAAAAATGCTGCCTCAGCGGAAATCAAATGCATGTCGAGCAAGCAGGAAGTGAATTTTGATCAAACATGGCAGGATATGCTGAACCATGCGACAACAAAGGTGAGATTAATTCTCTCTCGCAATTCAGTCATGATTCTAATGATAAAACTAATTATTAACATCATATGGATCAATGAATTTCCATTCATCATTGAATGAATTAATTGATGAATATTTATCACCAGGTGATGAACGCAGCGAATCAAAAAGCAGAGTGTGAAAAAGAACACCTGCAAAAAGCCTTAATCTTCGTTAATGCCGAAAGAAAAGCCCAGGAGTACGAGAAGAAATACCACCGAGCGATAATCAAAGCGCGTCCGTACTTCGAGGCGCGAACGATTTGTGATGAAAAACTGGAAATGCAAAAGCAGCAAGTCGAGTGCCTGCAGAAAGCTGTGAGGGAGGCGAAAAGGAATTATGCCAAGAGTTTTAGGGCTTTAGAAGAAATTAGTAATCAGATTCACGAGCATCGGAGGGCCTACGGTAAAATATTATTGTTCAATAAATATTTTTGAATGTAATAATACTTCATGTGGGATTTATAATTTGATATTTCAGCGAATGGACCACGAGAGCCGGGTGTGGGTGCAGAATTGATGACTCCAGAGATGAGTTTGAATTATGAAGATGAGTTGAATAGGGTAATTGTCAATCTTTCAATTTTTAACACTATTTTTTAGTTTAAAAATGCTAAATGAAGCAATATGCAATTGTTATCATGTATTCAGGAAATATTGAGCCCTGAACATCGAACGGAGAATATAAATAATCGACTGGTGGATGGCAGCGAAACACCCCAGACTCAATGGGAAATCGAGTTCCAAACGAACATGAAAAAACTGCACGATCTGCCCTCAGAGAAATTCGGGAGTGAAACAAGCATAGAAAATTCAAATTCTGGTTCATCAAATGCTCATCAATGTGACGATAGCTCTCTAAATCCGATGAGTGATTCATGCCAAGACTTACAAATAAAGTGTCAAAATCAAATATTAACAAATAGTCCAGTGCATCCAGTTATAGAAAATTACAATCTAGTGAATAATCGGGGGGCCTCAAAATCTCTGGGAGATATTCCAGCGAATGTCAATTCGGACTTTGAAGCTATGATGAAAAGTGTTCAATGGACATCGAAAGATTATTGAATATTCGATCTGATGAATTAACATTGAGGGCTTTCTTCAGTATTTGATGAATTTAATTCGTTGGAATTTTTTATCCATCTTAAATGCGTGGATCACGAAGAGTGAAAAAACTCTCTTGTTATTTATGCTGAGAGATGGCCAATGTTCAATTGATTCTCTCGACGCTCTGAAGGAGAGAAATGAGTAGAACAGCAAGTGATATTAATAAATAGGGTAATAACTCACGGATTGATGGTTTAACTGTTCTATCACTTCCATAATAGCATACTAGGTCATGAGGTTTCATCGATGCTGCGCTTGAACCATTACTAATGAATTGAACGAAATTTCTTCATTTTTTATTTCGATAAATAATAAAAAATGAATAAATCATCGACCAATGTAATTCTTTATTTAATTCAATGGAGAAATGTCATGCAACAAGCCAACGCATTAACGAATTTTTGGCTTTAATGGAATACAGAACCGAATTGAGTAATACTCCACAATCGAAATGCTCAACTGAGAACGTGTGTTCTTGTTTTTCCGTCAATTGGTGAATACTAAGGAGAATGTTTCATTCTCAATGTATTTGTAAAACTATTTGATACCTGTTCTTTGTTAATGTCCATGGGAATGACAGAAGACATTGATTTTTATGTATATAATAAATAAAAGTTTAATATTTCTCATGTCTTTTGTGTGAGATTGTTCAAATTTATTGATTTCTATTCTTCACCTCTAGGAAGCTATTAGCAGAGCATATATATCAGTAAAAAAAATAAAATAATAGATAGATGCCACCGTGCAAACCCTAGTCATGCAAAAAATCGGCTGGATCTCACAAAATTACGCTCAACAGGTTGAAAATAAAAGAACAAACACTTTTTTATTCATTTCATAATCATAATAATTAATGGTAATTTCTTTTGTCTTACAGTAAATGGAACAGTTATCAATAATATAATGAAATACGATGAATTGTATACAAACAGGGGGGGAAAAAAATTATTCCGAGTTACACTCAAATTTTTATTATTAATGCTTTCACGGATCTCTGTCTACGTATCGTACTCATCCCCAAGATAATCATTAATATTGTTTCAATATTCACGAAACCAACTGCTTTCACTCGAATGTCTGATTGGAATATTACCCCTTAATACCCATAAAAGCAATTGACCAGCTCCTGTCTGGTATTTATAAAGCAGCAGAGTATCGAAGTGTTCGTCAAACCTTCTTTAATAATAACATATCTTTCCATCCATGTACACAAGTACTGTAAGAATCCAAACGTTCACCGTTGTACACTCATCAGTCACATTCACTCACTCGTATAAATAAAAAATAATTTCTAATAATATAAAAAGAGTACTGCAATGCTCTAAAAAACCCTCATCCACGTACAATCGTAGATCCATTTCAATTGTCACTACAAAATCCCCATAATCAGCATTATCATTGGAATTGCGAATTACGTCACACTACTCCCTATTTTTCCCCAAAACGTCAGGTCAAAACACCCCTTAAACAATTCCAACAATAATGAATCACTCCTTCATATTCGTCCCTCCACTACGAAACACAAACGTTCTTCATCATCATATTTAAAACAAAATTGGTAACTATTATTTTCATTATCTAAATATTGTAAACATCTCTATTCATGTAACGCTTGACACGAGATCCTCGGAACATAAAAGATGAAAAAGTCATCGAAGAAGACAAGGCAACGAAAGAAAAGCCATCCTATTGTTTATGAATTGTATCACCGAACTCGACCAAGACAATCCAAGAATATCATTACCTCCTTAAATTTTCTCAATAAGTTTTTTTTTTCAATTTTTCTCCATTACGTCACAGCGGGACGACGAAACCGGGGCTCACTTATTCTCTATTCTTGTTCTTCTTCCAATTACCTCTCAAATCTTAATCGTTCACAATATTACGGAAATTAGTACGTCTTCATTAATTCTGTTGCATTCAGTAAGTGATAATGACATTTTAACTGATTCATTAGATTCATCACTGAAGCGTCCAGCGCATAGGAGCACGAGTAAATACAAAACGATACGAGTAAAACGAGGATAACCAACGTATTATTTTTTTTTTCCAGTAACTTAAAGTCATTCGACATTAACTCAACATTTTATCATTTAAAGTGAATGAATAATAATACTTCGTGTGAATTTTTTTTTACCTGAAGTTAACGTAAGAAATGTTGTTGTACTTTTACAGAAAATAATGATACGATAATAATAATCAATAATAATTAATAATTATAATAATAACAATACTAGTAATAATAAAAATCGTAAAGCTATGATTCTGTACAGTTATGAGCCTTCATAGAAGTGTATTGAGGTAGCAACTAATATTAAATTGTTAATGGGTAACATAAATTCACCGAGAAAAAGAAAATCATAACAATAAATGAAAATAAGTAAGGAAGAATGGATGCCTCGGGATAATAATCCCCCATGAAATTGCGCTGAATTCTTTATGATTTCCAAATGCACACGTACAATTAATCTCATCAACATCGTACGTATTCATATATCATTTTCCTAATTCAATAAAATCGTCTATTGCATTGTCTGATTTATTGTTACTGTTACCTATAGATTATTATAAATTGTAGTTTTGTACTTGATTTTCATAATTCCTGAGAAGAGGACTCATAAAGGGTATATCAACAAAACCTTGGATTACCTCCAATGTCGTGATAATTCCCATGACTTTTGGTTTCTTCTTATGACTTTGATATACTAATTGTACTAGGGTCACTAAATTTCATCGGAGCATTTTAACATTATCTTAATCGTAAATGTTAATCTGTTACAATTGTATGTTTTTGTTTATGACTGAGCTGTACAGTTATACGCGAAATACCACTGTCAACGCATATTTACAAAGTAATAATTTATTGTTTTCATCATTTTTATTTTATTTTTTCCATCATTCATCAGTGCACCCTGTATTATATTCATGTATGAGGTAGTGTTTGTACTAATATAACGAAAAATTGTGAGTCATTGAAAAGGTCTTGTCATTCCCCTCAATTTCACAATTTCATTGCGTCCATTGGTAAGCAAGAAAAGATTTCTCCAATAAGTTCAGCATTTTTACTATTTATTTTTCCTCGAATTAATGGTTCTCCATGAAACATCCATAATGACTAGTCGATCGTGAACAAGGATATTTTTTTTTTATCGTGTTGGGAGCATCAATAGAAATGGTCTCTTAACTCTTCAACATTACGAATTGCATAATTATGCTTAACTCTATGTTATTTTGTCCCTATTTTTTTTTTTTCATCTAATTTTGTACTATAAACAACGACGATTGAACGTCGTTTCGCCCCTATATCGAAGTCCCGCATTGCGACAAACTAATTTACCAAGTATTCGTGCATTTTAATAATTTTTCTTATTACTATGGTATGTTAATCAGCTACACGAGCTAAATTGTATAATTGCCAGTGTGCATTGAACATCGTTAATAAAACGATTTCATTTTACATCTAGATTCTCGATTTATCCTTGCCTTTGATTATGCCCGGTAAAAATAACGGTATATTACATCCATTTAATTTACCAATAACTTTTTTATAATTTTCATTTTTTTTTTCGTTTTTAATTTTTTTTCCCTTTTTCAAAATTTTCTTTTTGTGAAGTTCAAGACATTGTGGCGTGATGTGCGGGGGAAACGTATATCGTGAGTTCGAAGGCTTGTTTCTCGTTCACATCGTGATAATATTCACTGATATCTGGTTTTTTGTTTTTTCAAATGAAAAAAATTTCAATGAATAAAATCCATCGGTGTGAACGCTCCACTAAAGCTTGTATAATACACGACATCTACCAAGAATTTTCAATTCGTAAAACACATATTATCATATGAATAACATGCAACATATTACTTTATACGCAGTAGTACAATAATTTTTCTTTGTTCCTTGTATTTATCCAATATGTACAATCCTTAGAGAACCGGGATAATCTAGGCATACGAGAAACACTGGTAAATGACTCTGAATAATCATGAATTTCAACTGTTCATTCTCAGAAAATCCCTCGACAGTAATTGAAATAAAGCCACAAGTTACAGAAACCATTTCACTTCTGAGAAATTAATGTCATTAAAAAACGAGAATTGTACATACCAGAGAATTAGGAAAATAATACTAAACATTTTTATCGTCGAATCGATACGATACAAAAGAAAAATGTTGATTATTAAGTAAATTAATTAGTAAAGGCTCTTGTTATCATTCCTCGTGTACGCTATCTGATATTGCCAACCGTTTTCTCACAAAATTATACAAAATTCTCATCAACGTATTCATTTTTATCCCAATAATTTTAGTTTTAGGGTTAAATTTATAATAATTTTACATAGTTCTACATTGATTATCTAGATATTTTTCTCCAAAATTGGCCTGTGGCCATTAGCATCTCGTGTCCGATGTATACAAATGACAGATAATAATTTGACAAATTTACGATTTATTCGGTTTTTCCCGGAACAACCGATGTGTCACCAAACGAAAAAATAATAACCAATAATGACAATAATAGTAATAATAATAATAATAATAATAATAATCATAATCATAATGATAATAATTGTAAAACACGTGACTCCGTAAATATAATAAACCCAGAATAATTCACATTGTCACTAAAGACGAGAAGAAAATCGTCATGAAATATCGTGTGAAAAATATGTTTCAACGTCTCGATGTATGAATATCTATACAACTTAATAATAATAATGGGTCCTATTGCACAAAACGATATTGAAAAAAACTTAAGCAATGCATCAATCAATAATGTCAAAAAAAATCATCAGATCAACTAAGATTGCTTGAAAATATGTAGAGGACCGCAAACAATAGAGAAGACACGTGTCCCAAATTTTTCATTTCTTTAATCACGGGTTTTCACAAGAGGTACAGAGGTGCAACATAAGTTCGTTAATGTACATCTACCTCTCGGGTAAAATCTGATGGATAAAATCAGAGCTACCCCATCATCTTTAAGACACATTGCGCAATGTTACTAAAGCCCACCCTCTTTTTTTAATCCAAAAACTCACAATCTTCAAATAGTACTAAATTTTTCCTCGAATTATCATAATTTTGACGACGAGCGATGGAAAAATGCTCTTCACCATTTTGTTTTTAATCGCATTGTCACCCCATTGCTTCTATAATTTTCTACAAAGACTTATAAACGTGCGATTGGGCGAATTTTCGCTGGCAAATGGCCAACGAAAATGTCAATCAATATTAATTGCCATTTTATTATCTACGCGAATGAATTATCAAATCAAAAACTGTCACAAACGTCTATAGTGCAACTCACATCAACCATAGTTATCTCAACTGTCTCGAATGAATATTTCATAATAAAAAAATTGAAATCAACTGGCTACCTGTTACCCCTGTATTTTATTCTGGAAAACGCTCTGAGGTAGTCGTTTCGGACTCTGTATCAACTTTTTATGTTTTGTATGAAAAAAAAAAAAAAAAAAAAAAAAGAAAATCCTAGTGCTTTCGTTGGAAAATTCCAATGTTAAATCCTTGAAAAGAATTTCGTGAAAATGGCCAGCAAAAGCTCCAGGTTTTCCCAAGGCAGTACATGTTACGGATTATGTATATTTCTATATCGTTTCATAAATATGATATTCATATGAATCATTGACTCTGAAGTATACCAGGCTTGGCTTCTCAACACTAAATAAATCTGTATATCTATTGTCTCTCATAACTTATGATAGGCATATCGTTGTGAACCAACAAGTAAAACATTCTGTTGCATTGAAAATAAAGAAATAACTACTGAAGACAACTGAATCGTGATGAAATGTAAATACCGCAACGAATAATATCGTGATGCCATCCTGACTAGGATTAATATGACTCGATTTGACCTGAGGCTCCATTGAACATTCATCAGTTATGTTTCAATACAATAAAAAAGAAAACAGGTATCTCTCATTACTTCTCATTGGCATTTTAAATCCTCTGGCTATCATAAGGTGGGACAAAAAATCCCACAGTAAAGTATGTAACAAACTATCATCACTATTGTTTTCTGTTATCCGAGTTAAAGTTCAATATCACGGTTGAAATTATTCAATCGAGATATTTAATACTCTTATCAATAAAGATAAATACTGCTATTATCTGTCTCAATGAATAATCATAATAGAAACATTTCAATCGTGATATTTAACAGGCTATAGTTATTGATATAAATCTGTATAAAGAGAATTATCTATTGAAAATAATAGATGAGAAAACGAGATTATTAAAGGCGTGAAAATATATCATCAACGTGGGTAACGTTATTTCATGATTAAATCTGTTAATTGGCACTGTTTATATTAATCAACCCATTCAATACGGTAAACTGGAATTTGATCCTAGGCTCGACGTGTGTTTTTTCATCACTTCAATATAATCTGAATAATTATTGCGACTATTAACCAGTAACAACGGACTATTGCAATTATGGCAGTATTAATGTATATCATACAATATATTATATATTCTGTCTGTCCTTTAAATTTGTAAATATATATTCTATTTGTATATATTTATCCTCTATGTACCAGTCAGTAGTTTGAGATGATGAATTCATCATTAATATTCACCATCATATTTTTCATTTTCTGCTTTACGTATAATAGAAGTAACTGTATTTCACAATTGTGTTTATCACTTGGAGTTTGTTTCATTGTAGAAATAATTAATAAAAAAAAATATTGAACATACCCTTTTATCGATTACGGTATATCATTTACCTGAGTTGGATTGTTTGTATCATTATTTGGTTATTTAATATTTCCTATTTGTTTTGTTTCTTTTTTTTTAATCGTTCAGCAACATTTTCAAACACACGACCACATATTCAAATTCCACGAGTATAATATAGTATTTTTTTTCATTTTCATTTAATAACTTTGCGCTGTTGTTTACCCATTTATGTATTATTTATCGGTAATTATTATTTGAAATGGTAATATTTACTTGAACGTTGCACTTTCATTGACTAGTTTTATGATTTGTTACGGTTTCCTTCAATCGTAAGGTTTTGAAAACATTTTTCGTCCGAATTTCCAAGCATTGATTCCCTCTCATACATCATAGGCTCAATCCCCTCCTCTCAATTGGTAATTCAATCATTTTTCCCTTCCGAAATTGTCGGAATAAAACGATTAATTACCCCTGAAAACTTCCATTCCACACTTGAATTTTCTTCTTTTGCTATTTAATGCTACTTTCACCAACGCCACTCTATCATGGAATTGATAAATTTTGTACTAATTCACAAAACACTAGACTGGAAAGAGAAGTTAAGAAGAGGAAAAAACCTGATTCTGTATAAATTGAAAATTATGGAATTGACGAATGTCATTTTCCCCTGATCATCAACATTTTCCTCCAAGAATTTTCAATTCTTGTCTCTGATTACATTTAGATAATTTGTACATTGAAATCAACCAGTGATTCTTGAATTACTCGCGAGTGCTTAGAAAAATTCCTCGAAACATGGAAACATTTTAGGATAGAATATGAGAATAACTGGATGTGGTAGAACAGCAGAAAGTTGCTCGCAAGAAAAGTGTAGAGAGATGACCTACCCATGCCCCGAAGAAATGGCAAACAGGTATAAAGTTGCTTCCCGTTGTTCTAGCTGTCCCATTTCCTCGAATTCATCAAAACGCAACTGTCTCTCTCTACTCTTTATTGCGGTACAGTATCCGCAACTTGATGAGTTGATGTTTGAAATGCTTTGATGCTCATTTCATTCTTGTGCTCTCGCGCGATGTGACGACGTACAGTGTTGTTTCTTGTAAATGTACGTGAACAAAATGGGCATGAGACCCTAATGCCCTGATGGCGTTGTCTCACGTGAGCACGGAGATTTGTTTCGTAACCGTAGAGACGATCACAGAATGGGCACTTGAGCTTTTTGCCTAGAAAAATTATATTTCACATTTCAATGAAATGCCTCTCCTTAATTAATACACTAATTTATTCATTGGTATTGAAAAATTCCACAGATTTTCATCTTTCCATAGATTTCGTTCTGTTGAGATTTTTTTCCACAAAAATTCCTTGGCTTAAATTTTCTTCTACTGCATTCTAACTAATTGACTCGAAAAATTGAGTGGTTTCAATCAACTTCTTGTGGATCATCCACGCAATTGAATTGTTTTGGCTGTAATTATTCTGGAATCATTTGGCCCTATAATTACTCTAGGCTGTCGACTCTTGAACAAATAAAACATCAAATAATCACACCAATGACGCATTCACTTCCCTAATACAGACAAAACCAAGAAGAAGAACAAAGCGCATGTAAAAAACGTTCTTCGCCGGGATGTTGGCAGTCAGGCCAATGCCTTTCCAACATCGCTGGCGCGTGGAAGGTCAAGCGATGACGCCAAATGGTCGTATGCTTCCCTTCCGGAGGCGATTGAGTAATCGCTTAACTGCCCTGCTCCCTTCACTTCATAATACCTCTCATCTTCTGCACCGTCGAGACCGATTCTCAACAGTTTGCCGATGATTTCGCCGTATTTTCATATGCCCAATGATATTTCGGGGAATTCAAGCTCTCAAAAGATGAATTTTCAGACTTCAATCGAATTGTCAGTCATCAAAATCCGTATCTACTTGCGTTCTATGGACACCGGCTTCAGAGTGAACATCCCACACCTATAAATAGAAGCCTCTGCAGCATGCTAGAGAGACTCCGTTGGGGACATATGTGATAGCTGACGAATATTTCGTGCAGCTGACTATGAAATTCACAAAGGGTCGACACCAACCGGGTAGTGGGTAACGAACAAAGGCGATCCGTATCTTCGTTCGACGACAACGCGAATCGCAAAAGAGAAAATGGAGAATAAAAAAAACATGCTCATGGTATTTTACTTGCATATACTGGAAGAAGCAGTGTTATGCTTGATCAAGTGCATTGTTCTTGGTTTAAGAAATTTTAAAATTGGATGGAACGCCCCGATGTCTTCCGATGGGTCATATCGTGCGTAAAAAAAAGTTTTCTTTCTTTTTTTTCTATGATGAATCGTTTGAGAAATTAATTGTTTTATTGGAGATGATGCTAATGACTTCAATACTCATTTGTCATGAAACTTCATAATAACAATTTGAATAAGCAATCGTTAGAGAGACTCGTAAAAAAATGAAGTCGCAGTAGATCGAGACTTTTTATGCACCTATTTAAATAGCAATGACATTGAGAATTAGAAGGGGGCAAAAAATTCGGGATAGATTTATAACTAGAAGATGGCAGTTTGAAAAATGTATGGAGAAGTGAAGTCATGGCATGTTACGAAACTAAACGAGTGGACGCCAAGGTCTACTCCCACCATACGTTGAATACGGCCAAAATAACCTGACCGACCCTTTTCCTTTCCAAACAGTACCTCGTATACCGCATAGTTGTGAAACCCTCTGTGTGGCTGGCCATGACATGGCCCCAACTGAATCTACTGTATGTATATTGTACGAGAGATGTGCGCTCTGACGAGGCCTCGTGCATTAGATGGCACAATCTAATGGCTACGAGTGCAGAGAAGCATCAGAAGAGGAGCCACTCGAATCAATTTGATGGAGTCAGCGGTTGAAAAATAGGCGCTCGTTTGACCTTCTAATGCTTCTCCTTGGCATCAACTTTGTTTTTTACATATCTGTGCATTGAACTGAGACATTTCCGGGACATTTACTCATTTTCCCATCGAATGCTGTCCTCGTAAGGGATTATGAAACGTGAATTAGACATAGAAATTCAATTTTCATTTCCGGAGTCATTAAATGATGTTTTGTTCTCGCAGTATTATTTCTGAATCACTCAGTGCAACAAATTCCCTTCAGAATGACACTTGTGACTTCCAAATTCGACTCCTGGACATCACCCCTCCCCTACCTTCTTCCCCTAATTTTTTTTTATGCTGAAAATAAAGTATTTCCTGGGGGTTAATGCCAGATTCATTAAAGCCAGTCTAACCCGTCGACAAATCTGGCTTTAAAAATTGGCTGAATCTACTCGTTTTTTTAATCTATTTGTGGTGGGCTTTTTTTTATTGAATATCTAGAGGGAACGCACGCGCCCACGCATGTCTCACTGTTATCGATTTAATGCGTACACAGGGATGCTTCTGTGTGGCTCGCCCTCGTGAGAACCTTCAGAGCTTCGGGTTTTTCGATTTTGTGATGAATTTTCTATGCATGAAGGGTTCATTATTTCTGTGGTGAGTTTACATTCATGCGCTCTCATGCACGACTTTTGACGATGCTCAAGTGATAAATGAATGATTTGTGAGAGTCTATCAATTTATCGATCAAGCAAAAAATTTATGGATAAAATTAATAAAGTATTCCCTAAAAAATTCTATCGAAAGTCTAAAAGAACTCGATTTTTTTTGTCAATTTCTGTGGAAAAATTATTGAATGTTCTTCTATGAAAAATATTGAGAATTAATTTTCTTTCCTTTTTTCGTCGGGAATTCAGCAAAAAATACGGAAAAATCTCGACAGAATAAAATCAAATAATGAAAATCTATTGGATTTTGTCTATTCATTTTTCCGCACATGTGCAGACTAGGGAATTGCCCTCGAATATTCTCAGAGTCTTCACTAATTTCTGATCTCCAAAGTCATATTTTTCTTCACCTGGTGCAGTCCAAATAATCGTCGAGATAACCTGATTTCTACCCTGATATCAGATTTTTTAATCGAAAAAAAAATCAATTTTTATCAGCGCATATCTGTATTTTGCAAGGCGTCTGCCATTGCACATCACTCAACGTTAACGAAACAAATGGAACACGCGTGCGTTTGCAGAGTTCAACGAACGTCTGAGTCACTGTTTTACTCATTCACACACAATATATATTATATTTTTAGCGTATTCTGTGAATGTTGTGTCCCTGAGATACTTCTCGCTACCTTTTTGCACGCATTCGTTAATCTTTCGATCTGTATTGAACAAGTGATGCTTCATTGTACGATAAGTTGAGAGTTTTTAAAATCTCATGAGTGACACTTTTGGTTTTACGAGGTCAGGAGACTATTTTTATGAACACAGCGTATATTTTGAGAAATTTAAGAAATCCCATGCCATTTTTATATGATTTTTTCTTCCTTATTCGCGTAATTTTTTTCGATTTTTTCACCAGTTTTTTTGCAGTAAAAAATACTTTTTTTTGAAATAATTCACAGAATAATTAATGAATGAATTCATTACTAATTAATTTTATTCTCATCTAAAACCCCTTCAAAAGGATTTTTACGAATGAAAAAAAATTTATTGCCCTCAAATTATTATTAAAAATTGTAATAATAATGATTATTCGCTTCAATTAAAGAATACTTGAGTCATGATAATTAATGGACTTACCGTCCGGTGTGGTGACAGTTCCAGCCTTATTAATTTTCGAATTCCACCTCGCAGGAGTCGGTGGAGCTGGACTCAGATCAGGCGTGGGAGGATGCGCGAGCGAAGCTCCCTGATTAAACCCCATATTTCCCTTATGATCCCCACTCAACGAGTAATTAGTGGCATCAAATCCACGACCGACCTCAGCGGACAATCTCTCGGCGAATTTTTCCGCTCTCTCTCGATCGCTGAACATCATTGGCTCTTGTTTTATTCGCAAATCTATAGAAATTTGATATTTAAAAGAAGAAAAATACTCAGTTGCAGATGACACGAGGGCTTTCTCATTACCTTCAGCTACACTCTCCTTGTTGTCACCACGTTCTTCCGATTTTTCAGGCTCGAGCTCTAGATCCATGTCTGTGGGGGTTTGGGGCGCAGTGTGTGGATGCGTTTGATTTTCAGAGGAATGGGTAAACGGTTGGTACAGGTGATTCTCAAGTAGTAACGGATGGGGCGCAGAGGCCGGTCTGAACGCAGCACCATCTCTTAGTACGCTTACTCGACCGAGGGCGTCAATTTCACTTGGTGATCTGCACAAATTCGCAACAATTCCCTCATTTTAAATAAAAAAAATCCTCATGTCTCAGGGGAGAGTACGGAAAAATAAACCGTCTTTAATGGTGAATAACTCGAGAACGGCCGGGTGAAACTCCTCCATTTTTCTTTCACTTTAAAGGTATTTTTTAGACCTTTAAAATAAGTCGTGACTCGACTAAATCGCATCATTCGTTCAGGAGATATTGACAATTGAAGACTGAAGTTTTCCATACACAATTTGAAATTGGTGAAAATTATTGACAGAAGTAATTAATCACCTCATTAACCTTGTCCTCTTCTGTGAATTTTCATAATAGTGAGACGAGTGGTATGTGTTCGGTGAAACATAATTAGGAGGTAGGGTTGGAGCAGGAGTGGGCTCTCTCTTCATTACTCGTTCCGCATCGGATTCCAGAACCTCGATATTACCACTTGCGGACTCAGTGGATGAATTATTATTTTCCGCCACATGTCTGTGGGCCACAGCCAATTTTTCGTGTTCGATTGACAGTCCTTTGACCTATTCATTCGACAGAACAAATAATTATGAATGGCTTATCAGGGTGGGGGAGGTGAGGGGAGCGAGCTTTTCACCCGAGTGACATGAAATATTACGCACTTGAAGACATTCGGCAGCCTTCAAAAAGGAGCTCAGCGACTCTTGGGATACGTGCACCTCTCCACGATACATGAATTCCAATAGTGATGCCATGTTGTGGGCGCTCGTACCGTCTAATATGACAATGAGCCCGGCAGGAGAGGGTGGCATGCCCTCGAATAATTCTTGAAAATGTTTGCTGCATGCTGCCAGAATGAGTCTGTGCGCTTTGAATGTCACTCCTGTAATGGCGCAACATAATTAAGGATTAAACATTCATTTTGGCGGATACGGACGACCACAGGCCAAATTATAACGGATTTCAGCCAAAAATGTGCATTTCCTCTTTCTCTCACAATTCCTCATTATTCTGGAGAGTCACTCGCATGTGAAATGTCAATGAAATTTAGCCATTAAAGTTAGTTGTTGTTCAGAATTTTAATACCAGAACTTGCCTGATTCGTCAATAAAAAAAATCATAGAAATTTCCTGTAAATTAATCGTATAACATTTCAAGATTGTTCACTCTTTTCTGCTCATCAGCCTTCAGCGCAAAAAATTATCTTCAACCAAATCACCCCATATCATTTTCACTGCCTGAAGATGTCATAACTCCCATTTAAATCGCAATAAATTTCGTCATCGGTGCACACATGCCCCACTCCGCGATGAATGAATGCGAATTCTCGTCATGCAAAGGGCAATGACCGTGTTGTTACACGATGTGGCGCGCGTGGATCTCCGTAGGCGGTTTATCTGCACGATGCTCTTGGGCTCTGCCTTATCCCCAAGGTTACTTACATATTATTCTCCACCGAAACCATTATCGAAGCACGACTATCACGAGATATATATAGTTATCTAGATCCGCGGAGGATGCAGCAGATTTCCGCCTGTTCCACATTGTCAAATATAATTCTCGAAGATTGACATGATTTATCAGTGATTGTGGGCTAGATAAGCGTGCGAAGCACTATCAAACTTAATACATAGATTTTCTACGAGAAACGAGCTCAACCGAAAGGTTAAACATGACTGAAAATCTGCACTGTACACTGATTGCTCCCCATTATCGTCAGCTACTGCTGTTTTTAGTTGTAATTGTTGAGTCTAGGGTTTAAAATTGAATTCTAGGGAATATTGATTAGATATTCAATCGATCCGACACGAATTTCAGAAGGAAGTGCGAACCCACGACATCCATTCGCTCAAAATAAATTGCTGGAATGAACCGAAAAATTCAAATCTAATGAAACGTGAAAATACGAATGAATGTCACGCATAAATTTATCCTATGTTTGCTATAGAATAATAGCAGCTTATCGCAACCAAATTCAAATTAAAAAAACACCATTCACTGTTAAAAAATTTTGTCATTATAGTTCCCGTGAAATTTCCACGAATTTCGTCATTCGAAATTCAAAATTTTGTTGGAAAAATCAATGGAAGCAGTGAATCCCAGGTAGGAATTGACGATAGAAACAGGACTCATCAAGCCTTGGAGCAAGGCTTGGAAATGCTCAACAAGGCTGAAGCTCAGCCTTGGATCAGCCCTCCTTCAGCCCCAAAATGATAACCTCGTTTCAGACTTAGTCCATAAGGCTTGAACAATGCTTGGCGCCAAGGCTTGGTCGAAGGCTTGAATTACAAAATTTTAAAGGCTCTTCTTTTAAATAAATTATATTAATGTTTACGGATATGTGTTCAAATAATTGCTTATTCCTTCATAACCCCTTTTATGAATCCAGAGCAATTTATGAAAAAAACTGACGGGACTATGTACAGTTCCTCGTGTAAAAAAATTTTTTGATTTCTGCGTTTTTGGGGCAAGTGAGGGTCTCAGTGGCATTAGNAGGGTCTCAGTGGCATTAGACGGGCCAAAGAATATAGAATCAGCGTTCACCCGGCGGAAAAATTCGATTTTGGCAAAAGTCGACTTTCCCCCCGAAAAAAGCCTAAATATGGCACTTTGGCTCCGGGTGAAAAAAAAATTTTTTCATTTCTGCATTTCTGGGGCAAGTGAGGGGTGCAGTGGCATTAGGCGGGCCAGAAAATACAGAGTCAACGTTCACTCGGCGGAAAAATTCGATTTTGTCGACAGTCGACTTTCCCCTGAAAAATCCAAGTTTACACTTTGGCCCCACGTGAAAAAAAAAATTTATTTCGACATTTCTAGAGCCTCCGACTGTTTCATTAGCATCAGAAACGTTAATCGATATAAAAATTAAGGAATGTAATCGAAACTAACTTTCATTTTTGAGGCCTTGCAGGGGCTCGAATAAGTCTTGACATACTGAGCCTCAATACTGAAAGCCTGGACTAGGCCTGAGTTGAACCTTGGCAATGGCCCCTTGAATCGAGCTCATTCCAGGCTCGAGTGAACGATGAAATCAAGCCCGTCCCAGGCCTGAGTCACTGACCCTCGCCAAACATAGGCTGGCACAGGCTTATTTCCATCGTCAGCCTATATGATTCCTACCTGCGATGTTATTTCATGACTTGAAAATATTTGAACACCTGTAAACTCCCCTATTCATGACTTTTCTTCGTCTAAATAATTCAGTGTCACTCTCCCGAAAATTACTGATCAATTGTCCCCTAAATTTAATTTTTTCCAACAGTGTAGCGGGTGAATTGGCCTAAGCACTCCTATTCTAGTCAAGCAGCCCGAATTTCTCGATGCCTCCCACTCACTCGGTCTCCGCCGAATAATTTACTAATGCGAATAGACTGCACGATGTGGAAAACCTCGAGTTAATATGTGCGTCACGAAATAGGAATAGATCCAGATCACAAATAGAGTGAGAAACGGCTAGCCATCGCATGTAGGGGCATAATAAGGAAGAAAATACAGATGAAATAATTTTCATGAGTCGTCGACAACCCCCGGAAAATGGTGAGCATTTATCGCCCGAGGAAATGAAATTCCGCCGATATCCGAAATGCGGAAACACAAAAATAGTAGTTTACAGAGGAAAATGAGCGAAATGAAGTGGCAACTGAAGGAGGTCCTCCTCCATGAGTCGGAAGGAAGAGATTTGTGAGCGCGGGGATGGGGTCAACGGACTGGCAAGGTCGCTGCAAAGAGTACAAAGGCACCCGCTCACGAGGTATTTTTTTTCCTCTTCGCTATAGGCGAACCAATCGACAATCAACATCACCGCGTGCTCGGCCAATGGCCGCGTGGGACCAAGGCCACGGCTTGCACATGTCGTACATTAACGTAGAGAAAAATAGAGAGAAACAGATGGATTGAGACAGAGAGGGGGAGAGAATAAGACGGAGAGCTGAAGCCAATAGAACGACCTGTGTCGTTTGTATTTTTTAGACGGAATAAACCTGCGCCGAATAGGTATGAACTCTAATACTAAGACTGCACGATGAGTTGGCTGTGTTGAATTAATCAATTCAAACTGTGAGGGAGAAATCATTTTTCTTTCGAGTTAACAAATTAGCTCAACTATTTTAAATGCGAATATAAAAATGTGTAGATTAAAAACAGTGAGGAAATGCATGAATGGGACTAATCAATTCAAAATGCCAGTGACAAACATTTTTTTCCAATTCAACAAATGAGTTCAACTATTTGAAATTTCAATGGAAAAATTGTAGATGGATATCTGTGAGGAATGACATGTCATCGATTTTGATAAATGATCATTAAGCAATAGTAGATCACAGCTCTTATCTCCGTCAATCGCATGCGTTTTTTCAAACCTGAGACCTATGAATTCATGGAAAGATAGAAAATTCAGGTCACAACACAAATTTCGAGTAATTAAGTTATCGCATGATGATAAAAGCCCTAGGAAACCTGACATTCAAAATATTGACGCACTACGATTCTATCTTGAGCATTCAGTAGTCAAGGCCCACAGCAAGGACAGCCACGAAACGATAGATACTACTGGAAATGCGGATCCATCGTCTGCGAATCATGCAGAAGAAGGCATGACAGAACAGAAGGGGCTTCAGTCTTATTCTGTCCTTGGAAATTTCATTGCCACGCACAAAGTACAGTATTCACCACTAATGTCCCCATCAGTGACGCGGGGATGACCCAATTTAGCGCGTACAATCGACCCACATGACCCACAAAAGAGATAAACGGAGTCATCGTACACATACATTAGTCCCCGAAACATTTTCCTCAGAATTCATTAATCTGTTGATAAAACAATCGTTTAACAATGGAAAAAGGCAATTGTGCAGCTGAATTCCGAGGGTTTCAGGTGGAAAATACATTAAATATATTGCAAGCTTTTGTCAAATTACTGTTCCACTGGAATTTCATCGCACGGAGAGAAATCGGTAGCGAAGTGTTCAAACGGTTCAAGTCACTTTAGTCTCAAGTTGAGTTTTTCAGAAATATTTCTGAATTTAAGGGAGATAGCGAAATTTTCATAATAACCTTTTTTGTAGAGCGAATAGAGTGCTACTAAAAAGGTTATGAGAAAAATTTTGCTATCTCCCTTAGATTTCGAGATATTCACCGATTACGGAGTCGACTCAGAAAATTAAAGTGACGGTATCGTAATTTTTCACAGGAGATTCTGTGACAGTTCCGTAAAATTTCATCTCCGTGCATTGAAAATTGAAATTTCATGAAAAAATCAATAGGAATTGTAAATTCCGGCTCAATTATTGCAAGTTCAGCGTACTTTAATACTGAATATTCAATTTGCTTGAAATTTCGTCATTTTTTTCTCCTTAAATCGAATTTAATGTCATTCCCCTGAAAATTACGAGTCAACTTTCGATGAGAATTCAATTTTTTCTGACAGTGTAAATAGAGAGGAGCTGTGAGCGTGACGAGTGACTCGTTAAAAAAACATAAAGAAAAATGCGTTCTTCAGTGTTTCAGCGATGCACATTATAATGCCTTCCGGGTGTTCTAGTACATTCACATTTTGTTCCGTAATTACTGTGAACATATTCTTGAATTTTCAATTCATTGAAAATTCTGGGTAATTTAGTACTGAATTTATATTTCGACTGAGAATCCACATAAGTTGAGGAATTTCCGTTTTTCCGCGGCTAGAAAATTTGGAAATTCATTGAATTCCGGTGTCGCTCTCCTGAAAATTGACGAGTGAGTCGTTAAAAAAAACAATGAAAACTGCGTTTTTCCGTGCTTCAGAGGTGCACATTATAATGTCTTCCGGGTGTTCTAATCCGTTCACGTACCGTTTTGTTCTGTAATTACAGTCGTACCCCATTCCAAGACCTCTAAATATCCCGACAAAATACATCCGTAGAATCGCGCTTGGATGGTACCGTTCTTCCCATCCCAATATCTTCAAAGTTGAATGTGCATCACATGCCGACAACCATTAACATTTGACTTTGAAAAGAGTTTTATGTATCCCCCGGTATCCGTGTGCGATGGACTGTTAGAACTAACTGTACCCTAGACCTACTTTCAAGACATTGGTGAGAGGTCTCCCTGATTTTGTGCCATACGGACCGTGACACGTCCGCTCAGCGCTAGATTCCTAAAAACGCACTCACGCTTTCTATAAATATTTCAACCCGTGAATTCATTTATTCACTCTGATTATTCTTTTCATAATTATGCACTCCTGTCTTGATGAGTTGTCTTGAGAAATTCACATCCTTTTTTTTATCTAATCAAGAATCAAATACATGACACCGAAGAATATTTCAAATATTCCAAAACCACAGAATGTCCTGTTCGCGTGGGAACTCGGAGGCGACTGAAGCCTTCGTGATGCAGCGGAGAGGAGGCGTTTCCTCCATCGCACGATATATCTGTGCAATATCGTGGTATTCGCGAGGAGTTAGTGCTCCCACTGCACACGATGCAGTGTCAGCTCGTGTGCAGAGTGCCTGCGCCCGCCACAAACCGCACTTGATGCCATTGGTTGTGTCGGTGGAGAGAACAACCAACCGGTCTGATGCATTTTCGCGACACACCTACTTCGCAAGTTGTATATACATCACCCAAGTACTGCGGAATAATGGCGAACGGACTGTTGCAAAATTATCCATTCGAAAAAGTAAAAAATTGACGACGAACTTTTTCGTCTAAAATTTTCATCACGTCCCCGACACTTCCATTTTTTTTTTCTAACAGTGGACGATTTAAGAGATGAAACTATCGTAGAGAATGAATAATCAATGAATAAACTTACCTTCGCAGAAGAGTGTGACATCAGTGAGACTTTCACTTTTAAAAAGATTCGAGAATGCTGTTGCCAAATTACTACCAAAACTGTTCCACTTGAGGCAAAACTGTTGTTGGTGAGAGTCCATGATGCTGCCTTTGGTGATTGCCCCCTCTCCACCCCTCTCACTGTCACCTTCCACCGGTGGCTTTCCTTGATGATCGCACGTGTGCCCAACTACTCCAGCTAGAAAATAATATTATGGTTTTTCTAATGAAGATTCCAACAATTCTTACTCTCAAAAAATCATCTAGACGGCATTCCAGGGGCTGTTTTCATGTTTAATTATTTTTCAAACATCAGGATAACGTCACTTTATGAAATTAATCACTGAAATAACAGTATTTACATTGAAATTTTTCCCTTTTTCTTGCTGAATGGGGCATTAAATTCCTCAAAATGCGAACAATTTGTACCACAGCGGACGGTTCTAGCACACACGCAGTTTGTCTAAGCACTGCGCTCTCATACACGAATGAGTAAGAGCCCCACGCGCCTATCCCACTACTACTCTCCCGAATATGTCGTAATATACGTGTATATTTAGGTAGATGAGCGCAAAACTGCGGATGTATTGGGCTAGCGCAAGCAGCGACGCATTCGATAGAGTCACCGACAAGTGGCGAAATAAACATGGCTAGAGTTTGAGGATGGAGATAGGTAGATAATATTTTCTACGGACGAAATAACTGCGCTCTCATTACGCGTGAAATTAATTAAATTGGGCTGAATTTTAGTTTCTCCAACGCATTTCATCAATCGCGGAGCGTCAAATGCGCACAATTCAAATATTTTCTGTGCAATCACTCATTCGGAGTGTTAGGATGGGGGAAAAAGTGGGACAAACCGTGCAGGTGGTACCCGGAAGTCACTACAAACTCGCTTAGAAAATATTCCCATCGATTTGAATCTTCATTCTGGTGACAAAAGGTTTTCTTTCGGTGGGAATTCAGATCACGATGTCACTGTGAGGCAATGTTATTATCGCACTCACACTGATAATACATTTTTGGATAAAAGAAAGAAATGAAAACAATTTCAAGTGGAATTTAATGAAAATTCATCTGCGCGGAAAATAAAATGGAAAACTAAATTAGGAAAAAGCTTCAGCAAATCTTTGAATAATTGAAATACATGAAAAGTCACCATGAAGAGGTCAATCATCTGTGAAACGTTAGCGGTAAATGTTTCTGAGAAACTACTCGAAGGTAGAAAAAGTCTCACATTTCGCGACTTATCTATAGTTCGAAAGGAAAACAAAAAACATATGGATTATATAATCCACTTCGGCCGATAATACAAAGTAAATTGAAACAAACTGGAGGCACGAATCCTCCAATAGCGAATATATTTAATATTTTCTTCTTCATTCAAAATAATGTTGCGAAATAAATATATCTAGTGGTTATACCGTAGTAGTGGGAGAGTGAAGCAGTATTAGAGGGGGAATTAAGGTGGGAGTTGGGGATTTTTGATGGTAGGAGGATTCAAGGTCACTGCGGGGCCGCACGCGCGGCTTCAATTTACGCACACAGAGAGCACCGGCTACAACCACGCACTTGCGTTCAATGTGACTGCATCACACACGCTCTTGCACGCACGCGCGTTTTTTTTTCAGTTTCTATCCGCACAGATCCATATACTTGAATATGTGTTTTTTTCATTTTCAAAGCTCTGTAATACTTTCGTAAATCTTCTTCATGAAGAATAATTCAACTTCAGGTTATTTGCAACGATTTTTATAATTCTGGGAAACCGGAGAAACAAATATTATCATGATCTCGAAGTGCAGAACGAGTTGATTAGTTTCGATTTTTGCACGTGAATAATTCACCGGCAGTAGATTTCCATTCAGAAGCGAACAATATCTCAAATTTTTCTCATGGCCAAGCCTTTGAGTCCCTTTCAATGAATGCACACGAAGAATTGAGATTTTCTAAATAAACGTAGTAAAGTCGGGAGTAATGTACATCTTCAAAATTGGGGCCATCTAAAAATCACGTATTTAAATATATTCTTGTTATTCTGAAAGCTCTGTAATACTTTTATACACATTAACACGAGGGAAGACAATCTGACGGCTTTGTGAAGATTCCGAAATTGTATAGCTCTCGTTCATCACAAAAATTTCAAGTTCAATTTATTTACGAAGATTCTTATAATCTTGAATTGCAGGGCGAGTTGATTAATCTCCATTGTTGTGCGGAAATAATTCTACGCTCTGGTAGTACATTTTCCATTCAGAAGCGAACAATATCCCAAATTTTTCTCATGGCCAAGCCTTTGAATCCCTTTCAGTGAATGCACACAAAAAACTTCTCTGAGATTTTTTAAATAAACGTAATGAATTCAACGATGATGGGTATATTCACAGCGGAGGCTGTCCGAAAATGGTATCCACGGTCAGAAAAAAAATGAAAATTTCAGGGACAGCTTACTCGTAATTCTTAGTAACGTTGAAGTCAATTTAGGAAGAAAGAATCACAAAATTTTCGATTTCAAATGAAATTCCACTCAAAACATGAGTATTTCGTAACAAATTATGCTGAATTTTCCCGACCTCTCTTAATTTTCATGGAATAATTCAATTAAAATTGACTTTTCATTGACTTTGCAATAAAATATTGAATTTCTAATGTCAAAATTCCTTGAAACTTCAGTGGAACTAAACTGACATCTCCGTTGAGAACAAATTCACATAAAATAGACTCGTGAAATCAATGACTGTCCGAATTAACGCACACCGTCGACTCCTATTGATTGACCCCGCGTCAAGAGCAAGACGGTATAAATGCTCCTTTCCCCTGAATTCCAAAGTTTTCCCGAATAATTGAGACGTTAACGAATGTACATTGCCAATGAATTAACAGATCGCGGGGAAGCGCTGATACAAAGGGTTTGGGCATCGCTAATGGAACCATGCACTGGAAGAAAACCAAAAATCATCAATAGCGGAGGGAAGAATGGGAGCCGGGGGACAAACCATGCTTCTCGACAGGTGTTTTCGTATCGATACGTGAGTTTGTCGATCACACGTGTCTATCCGGAGACACGTGATACGTGAAAATGACGATATGACCCTCAGGAACGCCCTCTTGTACAATTTCACGTTGTTTCAAAGACTATTCGTGTCGACCGATTGAATCCCCCGATTTTTCATTAGTAAAAAAAATGCAACTCACGTCAAATAATTCCCAACAATTTTCCAACAGCTCTTAACAATTCGTCGATGTAAAAATAATATGAGTAACTGTCGAGAGCACTTGCATGTCAGTCTGGAGATTTCAATTCCTGCATTGAGCTCACTTTCCCACAACACTGGATTCTCCACCTCGATGGGAGGAAATATTCACCGCGAATGGTATTTCTTTTTGAAAATAAAACTCGAAGAGGACTGACGCGCTTCAAGCGAACCGCGGGGCCCTCCGCCAGCGAGTGAGAGTTTAATACTAGATAGAAAGCACGTGGACACGGACAAAGTATGTGGCGCCAAAAGGAGAATCAAACCTAATGCACGTCATCGCTGAACAGACGTAACGAGGAGGTGTAGTACAGCGTGAAAGGGGACACTATTGGTCCCCAAAAATGAATTTGGAATCGCTAGTGGTGGGACTGAAGCAGTTGAGGGTTTCCCCACCCGCGATTAATATCGCGGGGGTTCGGAGAATATTTTTGCATTTTTATCTTGCAGTTGATTAAATGAAGATGGAACTGGCGAAAGATTCGCCAGCGGAAGAGCCGATTCAGGGGAATCGAAAGGTGTTGAAATATTTTTAAGGCATTAGCGAATTTTCCACTGGCGAATATTCCGCCAGTTTCAGCTTCATGTTGATGAAGCAATAGTTCTTCGATGAATATTTTTATAATTTTCGTTTCTAAAGCGTTAACAAATGCACGTGAGATTGAATTAGTGTCTTGCGCATTCGAAATTTAGTTGTTCTAATTTAAAAATATGATTGATAATAATTATTTATTCCCTCGGCAACTGAATATTACGGTCATGCGTGCAAAAAGTGAATTGCAAGGATGACTAATCACATAAATATTCCGCCAACGCTGCATGGAATTCCGTTTTTACTGAATGACAATCTTCCATTCGAACGAATTCTTGCTCACTCCACTATTTCAATTTTCAGTTTCATTATTTTGTCATTAGAGTTTATTATATTACTTCTATATTGGGAAGTATGTCACCAACAAAATGTTGATTGCTTTAATTAACAAATGTATTAAGCAGATTATATTATTGACAGTTAGGTTAATGCACGAGAATTAAGAGTGAATTTCTCTAAATCATTCTTCGCATTACAGTTCCACAGAAATTTCTAGGAATTTCGTCATTGAAAATGTAAAATTTTCTGGAGAACTCAATGAAAGCTGTAAATTTCAGTTCACCTATTCCTTGAAAATTATTGAAAATCAAAAATATAAATTGAATTCAATGTCACTCTCCCCAGAGTTATTATCCTTCACTCTACATGTTTTCCCTGGAACCCAATTTACTCCGATAATTGTCGGAGTGTTCATATCGCATTCAACATTCCTATTCAATAATTTGTCAAATTACCACCGATTAATGAGGCCATGCCCCCCGACATGAAGAGATAACGAAAGTAAAAATACCTGACGAATGAAACCACCATGGATTCCCCAGATTTGACTGTTGGTTTCTGGAGCTTTCACTGACATGAGCGTACATCCTCCTCAGCCTACGTCACGCCCGTTACTGATATGTCGTGCTTGCACCCCCGCCCGCGCTTATTACCCCTGCCTTAAACTTCTCTTTTTCCCCTCTTCCCGGGATTCCTGGCGTTTCCCCTTCCTTCATTCGCACACGAAGAGGGTTGCAAGGTTACTGCTGCCACCCCATCGCCCCCGGGGTTTAACCACTCTACCACTGAGCCACACAACCAGAGGGCCCGTCGTTCTGTCGCCGGTCGCCATCCACCCAGCTACCGCGACCGCGCCATCATCACAATCGGCCTTCACCAACGCAACCCCTAGCAACTTTCCTATACACACCGAGTCACGGCCATTACTTTCTCTCCAACCTATATGTATATGAGTTGACTTTCACCGATTATCCCGTTGCAGGCTGTACTACTTCATTCAGACATTTTCATCTTCATTTCTAAATAAAAACTTCATTCGCCCATTTTCTCGTCAAGTTTGGGGTTTATGGTTTCAATTTCAGGAATTCCATAAAATGGAAAAAAAAAATTATTCCTTTTGCATAAAAAGCTGCCCTATTTAGCTAATAAATTCAAGTAAAAATCACTCGACTACTGATTTGCATCGAAAAAATATTAACTGAGACATTTCTGTCCGATCTAAAACCGAGATATCTCCCTTTCCTCATGAAGTTTGAAGTTCACGCCTCAACTTCACCTTCACTTATTGATCAGACGTTCATGTAGTCTCATAAAATCGGAAAAAATTCTTTTCACCCCATGAAAAGCTCTCTCGACAGCTGAAAAATTGGCGTAAAAATCGCTCGTTCAATTATGTACCTCGAAAAAATGAAATTTGGATATTTGCTATCAGCTGTGAGGAGCTTTGATACGGCCCTGATCGTCAAACAGGCGTAGAAAGAGAAAACAACCTTACAACCCCTGGTGCCCCTTTGCGCATATACCGTACGCCAGAGGCACTTCTCCGTGGGTAAGGGTTTCCGAAATTTCATAGGTTCACGAAGATACGCGAGTGACAAGGAGAGAAGGTGAGTTATTTTGGCAACTGCTGGCAAACGTTAACGTTAAAGTGAGACAAAAAATCCCGATGATCCGGCACACATAGCGAAAAAAAAAGAGGGAAAGGGAAAGCGTACGTAAGGGAGATGGTAGATGGAACTTGGAAGAACGTGCACCCGGCAACAGCCCCCGACCTCGGAAGAACTAATCATTAACGTTCTCCTACACAATCAACTCACTTTCACCTGTCTACCAATATTTTCCATGAAATATATTCGACTCCAGTCACTTTGTGCGACCTTTCGACCTTGAATTATGAAGAAAAATTCATGAATCGTGACTATATTTCCCCCGATGACTCGACATGAGCACCAAATGTCTAATAATTCTCTAATGATGAGGGACAATGACAAAAATATGCCGCGAGTGCAATTCATTATCCCCCCAGACAGTGGAGATTCATAATTTCTACCCTAGACTTAAACAATGCAAAAACCCCGAAGAGGGAGAGAACAGACAGAACAGAACAGAACAGAACAGGGGGGCAGGGGGTGGTGAAGATGCAAGGCGCATCTATTGATTCACCGGTAGTCGAGAGGGGCCTTTTATACGTACCACAATAGTACACTGTCTTGAATTTACGCACTTTGTGTGCACTGTGTGTTAGTGCGTGCGCGCGCGCATGCATTTTATACTTCGATCCGTTGCGCTCTGTCCACGTATTCATCTGACTGTTGCGGAGTTTCGGGAATTTCGCGAAATAACGAGTGACGGGAAAAAGGATGGGCCGGGATTTCAGGAGTAGCTGGCGCTGTGAAACTGAAACTGGAGAAAGATTCAATTCCAGCGAATCCAGGGCTGTCCAAATAATTACCAGTCATGAGCGAATTTGATTTTTTGGGGTTGATGGAGGGAATTGAATGTGAATGTTATCAATTGCATTGAATATTATCATGAATACCTAGTTTTTCTATATATCGGTGGAATGATTACTGGAGAATTCGTCTGTGGCTTGAATTTGCCGAATTAAATGAGGAATTATGTGACTGCTTGGGAAATATAATTCTATTCGCATTTCTATTTCAGGATTAACAAAGCATGAATCGACGTAGTGAGGCGAATCTAAGGGTGTCCAGATAATTTCAACTTATGCAAATTTATGATTTTGTGGGGTTGATGGAGGGATGGAATGTAGATGTCATCAATTGCATTGAATATTGTTTTGAATGTCTACTTTTTCCTATACGAGACCGAACGCGCGTTCCCTTCGAATAAATTCCCTTCTTTCATTAAAGAAGGGAATTTATATAGCGTTCCACATCTTTGAGACGTCATAGGAAATTAGTTGGATAGGATTTGGATGAGGTAGGAGGGGATCCGGGATTATTCTCAATATGAATTAACAAGAAAATATGAATTGAAAATCTCAAAATTAAATTAATCATGAATTAAATTTACCGCCTCAGACGACTAGAGCCAATGAGGAATAAGCGTGACAGACTTGCGAGATATATCGATATCTTATCGACTTTAAGCGTATGTTTTTTTTAGAATAAATAAATAGGATAGGATATTATCGAAATAATTACTGGAGAATCCTTCAGTGGATTCAATTTGCCGAATTCAATGCGGAATTATATGATCGCTTGGGAAATATAATTCTATTCACCATTATAGTTCATGATTAACAAACCATGAATTGATGTAGTGAGGCGAATCTAGGGGTGTCCAGATGATTTTAAGTCATCCGCAAATTTATGTTTTTTTGGAGTCCAATGTGGCATGTTGTTGAATCTAAATGTTATCAACTGCATTGAATATTGTTTTGAATGTTTTTTTTTCTATATATTATCGCAATAATTACTGGAGAATCCCTCTGTGGATTCAATTTGCCGAATTCAATGCGGAATTATGTGACCGCTTGGGAAGTGTAATTCTATTCATCTTTCTATTTCAGGATTCGCAAAACGTAAATAGATGTGGTGAGGCGAATTCAAGGGCTTGTATTTTGACAGAATATTGTGAACATTAGCATTGTAACGATATTTGTCGCCAATTCTTCTTGTATAACCCTTCGATCCACACGAGGGATGTAAACACCCCAGACAGACGGTCTTTCAATAATTGTTTGAGTACTCTAGCCTTCATAAAAACGAAAATTGTTCGATGTATATTATTCTTCAAATCTTCAGCTGTACAATTCTTCAAAACCCAGAGGAAGAGCGAAGGATTAAAGAGGCGTTTTAAATTACAATCACGTGGCGATAAAAATTTGCAAAAAATTCCCTGAACGTTAATAAAACTCTAGTACAAAATGCAGTAACTCACATGAAATATTCGAGTTTTCCCGAGAAAATTCAGGGGTAATTTTCAAAATGACAAGAAAAATTCCCACGAGACCCATAAATTATCTCCCGAGTCGGTTTACAGTATTGAAAGCCTCGTTTTTCTCGTACTCTTCTGGTTTTTCTCATTCAACGCATTCAAACGACTAATGACTGAACACAATGAGAGAAATGATGCGACTGTCAAACCATAATAAACACGGATGAATAGCTCTACTGATACCCAACAAAAATAATCCCTCGTTATCCAGTCCCTCGGATGACGGTTTTCAAAATAAAATGCAACTCGTCTGTAAATCCAATACAATAACATCATTCTGATACGAATAAATTCACCTAAAAACGTCGCGAAATTCTCTCGATGAAATAAAGGATCGAGGGATATTCAAACATTTTTAATTCATGAAGAAAACAATTTTTGGGATTGTTTCATCCTTGAACCCCCAAAAACCCCTTAAATTACATTTTCCATCGACTAATACATCGCTGATAGGTTTACACCGATAAATTGGAAATAAATTGGAGGTAAAAACTCACGTGAAATTACATAGTACAGGCCAGCCTGTCCTTGTGTACCCTTCGCCGAAATCTCGAGTCCTGGCGTTGTCCTTAAGGGATTCTCATCTCCACAATTTAGCTGAGTACCTCGATGATCCCCCTTCCAAGAATATTGTTCATTAAAAAAATATTGAGTGACGAATGTCAAATATCACTCGCCAGTCATCGGAAATGCCCCTCAACACAAGTCCCCATCATGATCAACAATTTTTCGATGAACCATTCGTCCTTCACGTCATGATTCCCCGGAATTGCAATGAATCGGCCTCACTGCTTCAATCACAGATCGGAGACAGTTCGAGCCGGCTTTTTTGAGGGGATGAACGCCACGAGACACACGTGGATTGTTTAATACCACTCGACGACTACATCAAACAAACTCGTGAGAATGATCCCCGATCGCTTCACAACACTTTCAAAGTCACTTTGTCACAGTTATACGCCACCAGCAGCAATAATGAAGTCGAAGTTATTGAGAGTTGGGTAGAAAAAAACCGGAGCACCCTGTCACCGCGCAAAACTGAAAATTTTTGGCCACTTTATGTGGACTGCAGTGGCGTCGCGTGGTGGCGAGAGGGTGAAGTAGATTTTGACTGCACGCACCATTGATTCATGCCGAAAGCATTCTTACTCTTTTTCTCTTGAGCCATGCGAGTAATTATTTACGCTGTTCGGTCATTGTTGCATATTATTTTTTATGATGACATGCTCTGTTAGTATTCGTTATCTGTTATTTAACGAATAATAATAAAATATCATTTGAGAGGAGAAAAAATAAAAATAAATGATTGAAAATAGCTCTTCTGATTTACGTCGCCCGAACAACTTTGATTATTGAATAATAATTAGTAGAAGTCATATTTCGTTGATAAAATGAGTAGGGGAGGTTGGGGTAAAAGGGACACTTTTAACTTTTTTTTAAATGTTAATGATGGGTTGAAATGTTGATAAAATTCAATAATTTTTCTTTCAATACAAAGAACAATCCTTTCCCTTTGTGACAGCCTAAACTGAGTTCAATTGATCAATTTGTTTCGGAGTTATGAATAATTTTAAAAAAGTCTAGTGTCCGTTTTACCCCACCCGCCCCTATATTTTATGCTAAAAAATACTTTACGTGAAAAATTAATTTTGCACGTGATTCAAGTCTTAAACAAATAAATAAATTGACGAAAATAACTTAATTTTCTCTTAATTATTATTAATTATTAATAATAAAAAAAGATGACATTCGTTTTCTACTCATGATTTTTTATTTATTTCATCCTATAATATGGTATACTGTACATCTTCAGCTGTATCAATCCACAAATGTAACACAGAAATCGATTAAAATTGAAAGAAATATCAAAGCCATCGTTTAATCTCGAGACAGCATTTATAGTAGTGAATCCATGATGTTAATGTACTACTACTATGAAATATCCTTCAAATTAACCAACAATAACTAAATCGTCGACGAATTCGTAAGTAGGAACCTCGAGATTTAGGGGAGCTGGTCCTTTTCGAATGCGCCCACTGGCATCGTAGTGAGAGCCGTGGCATGGGCAGTAGTAGCCCCCATAGTCTCCAGCGTTGGCTATTGGCACGCAACCCAAGTGTGTGCAGACTCCAAGGACGATCAGCCATTCAGGCCGTTTGACACGATCACTATCATGCTGGGGGTCGCGAAGACTCGAGATGTTGACCTCTGATTCTTTTGCAATCTCTTTCTGACTTCTGCAACCGTTTAATTTTAATTACTAATTTTATTGCGCGTTAAATTTGTCAAAAATTTTTGCTATTAGTTTAAGTGATGCTCGTCTTCTTGTTGAGAAATATTTGGGGAAGATCGAGGAATGTTGGAGAAGTGATAAAATATTTTGTAAATTATTCCAGCTTCTTCATTATTAAATTAATTATTTGGGTGGATTCAACAAGGCGTGATGAATAGAGATGAATATTCATCTGAGAATTTCCCCTGCGAAGTAAAATTAATTTTAACGTCCTCCATGAAGTTTTTATCTCCCCGTTGATAATTAAATCATCAAATTCATAAATCAGAGTGAGGTAGGGTGTAATAAATGAGAATGTATGTTCACTCGAAAGATTTTACCTGTGACGAACAAAAAGAGGCTTTCCTTGCCACTTGAACACCATGCTCTTTCCTTCAGGGATATTGTTGAGCTTGATTTCAATCTTGGAGCTGGCGAGTACATCAGCTGATGCTGCCATCGTACTGACAAGATCAACGACAAATCCTTTAGCAGCATAAGCTGTTGCCAACCCAGTGCCTATTTTAAATAACAATAATCGTTAATTGGTCTTTCGTTTCAAATTGGTTAAAGTAATTGAACATCATATCTTCAATTTTAATTCATCGTCAAATCGAATGGCTGAGGAGTAAATTAAGGACAAATTAATTTTCTTTGTTCCATCGCAAATCACCAAAATAATTTACCTCCAGCTACGAGATACCCAAAGTTGGATTTTTCCGGCACATGTTGATTCGTCTTGACTGTGGGATCCTTCAGGAAATCTTTGCGATAAGCATCGAAATTCGGCACCTGAATATCAGTATGAGCCAGACGTTTTTGGACCACTTGAGTGCTCACTGCAAATTAAAAACCCCATCATTGCAATCATGACCCAACCTATGAAGTCGTCGGTAACACAGGCATCTCCATTCATAAGACATATTTTCATCGAACAAGTCGTTACATAAACCGCGAAGAGACGTATCAATTACGCGCAATGCAGCTGTCGTTTGACAGAGCAGTGACTAAAATTATCACCAGAATACATCGATAAACATGAAGATGATGATTGAACAGACCTGCTGGTCCCGAGCCTACGCGAATCGGTCCGTCAAAGAGGTCTTGAGCGATAGTGTAGCTTGTCGAGCGAGTGACCGTCGGTGGAGTCGCAATTTTCTTCTTGGAGGCCTTGCTCGTCCCTGACACCGGCAACGCTCCATTCGAGACAGCTGATACTGTCGCTCTTGTCAACGAGGCGATGTTCGAGGATTTTGTGATCACGTTCATTTTTATTTTTCAATCAAACACTTCCCCACGATCACCTGAAACTCACTCCGATGGGTGACCAATGACCATGTGAACGATAGATGGACTTTTGGGTCACGTGACTGCAGCAGAGACATCTGAAAACATGAGCAGTATCCTATTAGCCGACATAAAACTATTTTCAAACCTATGACCCTATAGAATCGTTTGTCATTTGTTAGCAGGTCACTGTACATCCCTTTTTAACGTTTAAGAGTTAATGGATCTTTTTTAATTAATTAATCAAGATCATGCATGAATGCATGTGTCGATCTGAAGTTGTTCAAAAGACCGCCCCCCCATGAGTAAGCGGGAAAACCCTTGCGCAACGTCTCTGCGCACATCAAAAATGGCCGACTGGTCTCGAGGCTTTGGCGTTCGTCTCCGGATTTTATCCGAAATCAAGGGTAAAATCATTAAAATAATTATTAAAAATCCTATAATTAGTTGACAACAATGGAGAACAATCATTTGATCATCAAATCAACGAGTAGTTCGAGGAATTGCGGGTGTTGGAACGAACAAACCAAAATTGTCAGGAGAGAATGGAAAAAATCTCTGCGCATCATCTCTGCGCACATTGAAAATGGCTGACTAGTCTCGAGGCTTTGGTGTTCGTCTTCGCATTTTATGCGAAATCAAGGGTAAAATCATTAAAATAGTACTTAAAAAAGCTGTAATTGGTTTATAATAATGGAGAACAATAATTTGATCATCAAATCAACGATTGGTTCGATGAATTGCGGGTGTTTATACGTAAAAACAAAAATTGCCAGGAGAGAATGGAAAAAATCTGTGCGCAACATCTCTGCGCACATAAAAAATGGCCGACTAGTCTCGAGGCTTTGGCGTTCGTCTCCGGATTTTATCCGAAATCAAGGGTAAAATCATTAAAATAGTACTTAAAAAAGCTGTAATTGGTTTATAATAATGGAGAACAATAATTTGATGATCAAATCAACGATTATTTCGATGAATTGCGGGTTTTAAAACGTAAAAACAGGAATAAACAGAAAATAATAAAAACGTCTGCGCAACGTCTCTGCGCAGATTAAAAGTGGCTGCCCTGATGTTCCTTGGCAATGACCGCAGTATTGTCGAAGAAATTACTTGTAAAATCGCCGAAAATAATTAACAATCTGGGAATTAATTAATTAATAATAATAATGGACAGTCACAATGGTACAAGGCAATGCTTGCATAGTTCGATAAATTACGAAATTTAAAACGATATGAACGTCTCGAATGGTGAAAATCTGGAATCTCCATGTGACCGACGTATTTGTGACACCACGAGATGACGCCTGGAGGCAATTCTGGACAAATCCAGTGTTTGGACAGTTTTGATAGATTCAATGACTTTAAAAAATTCAAAATGTGATAAACCTAGTTGATGAGTGAAACCAGTGGACACAGGAATTTATTAGAATGTTAGTGTTGTGAATTGTGATGGTGTTTTCTTTTGTTAATCAAGTGATAAAGTGCTCTCGGGAATTTCTTTGTCGATGTGTGTATAAATACGTAAGATGGCAGTTTCAGTTATGTTAGTGCAGTTTTTAATTTCGAAAGTGTTTAGTGCATGTGATCTTCACGGGGACAAGCTTCTGGAGGCATTGGAGAGCATATCAACGTCTAGATGAGGATTTCAGCGCCCGGTGAGTCACTAACATTTACAATTGAAAGTTGACATTTTTCAACCGTCAATATCTCGAGAATGACTGGCGCGATTTCAACAAATTTTATTTCATTTCATGAAAGCACTGAAATGATTCTATCTTTTAATTTTCGAATTTTGCTTGGAAATGATGTAAAATGGTCTAAAACGTAAACATCCGAAGTTTTACGGCCATGTGTGTATGAGGGACTGTCCACCTCTGGTAGTCAACTGTTAGAAAATTGAAGAATTAAAGGACCAACCAATTTCAAATAGAAATTGGAATAGGTTTCAAGGCTCTCTCATAGTTTCCGAAATAATCGCGAAAAACGAAAGTGCCAAATAAAATTAATTTAATTCACATTGTATAGGGTGTAGGAAGTGGGAAAACGCAATTCTGAGCCGTCCATCTGCCTAAAGGGAACTCAAATTTCCTCAGGAATCGAATGGAATAGGTTTTAAGGCTCTATCTCTCATAGTTTCCGAGATAATCGCGAAAAACGAAAATGCCAAAAAAAATTAATTTAATTCATCTTGTATAGGGTGTAGGAAGTGGAAAAACGCAATTCTGAGCCGTCCATCTGCCTATACGGAACCCAAATTTCCTCAGGAATCGAATGGAATAGGTTTTAAGGCTCTATCTCTCATAGTTTCCGAGATAATCGCGAAAAACGAAAATGCCAAAAAAAATTAATTTAATTCATCTTGTATAGGGTGTAGGAAGTGGAAAAACGCAATTCTGAGCCGTCCATCTGCCTATACGGAACCCAAATTTCCTCAGGAATCGAATGGAATAGGTTTTAAGGCTCTATCTCTCATAGTTTCCGAGATAATCGCGAAAAACGAAAATGCCAAAAAAAATTAATTTAATTCATCTTGTATAGGGTGTAGGAAGTGGAAAAACGCAATTCTGAGCCGTCCATCTGCCTATACGGAACCCAAATTTCCTCAGGAATCGAATGGAATAGGTTTTAAGGCTCTATCTCTCATAGTTTCCGAGATAATCGCGAAAAACGAAAATGCCAAAAAAAATTAATTTAATTCATCTTGTATAGGGTGTAGGAAGTGGAAAAACGCAATTCTGAGCCGTCCATCTGCCTAAAGGGAACCCAAATTTCCTCAGGAATCGAATGGAATAGGTTTTAAGGCTCTATCTCTCATAGTTTCCGAGATAATTGCGAAAAACGGTGCTAAAGTATTTTAATGATGAACACTCCAGGAGATCCTCTGTTTTTGTTTTTGAACTGATAGTACACAACCTCATAACCAGAGAACCCACGCGCTGGTCTCCTGTATGACGTCATATGGTATAAGGAATTTAATCATTGTGAATAAAATATCCACTCTCAAACAATAAAAGCCATAGATTTGTATTCTACAAACGATTTGCAATCGATTGAAAAAAAAGTGGAAATTTTTTTTTTCCAAATTTGTCGGCTAGATTCGTGCATGATCTTGATTAAATAATTAAAAAAGATCCATTGACTCTTAAACGTTAAAAAGGGATGTACAATGACCTGCTAACGAATTACAAACGATTCTATAGGGTCATTTGTTTGAAAATAGTTTTTTATCGGCTAATAGGGTACTTCTGAAAACATGCCTTCACTCGAAAGCCACATGCGCACGCGCTAAGCCAATTGGAGAAGTTTGCGACCCTCGTGACCCTCGTGAAACCCTGTTTACACACCATTCGTCGGTAAAACAATTACCAGGTACTTGTGGTTTACAAAGTGTTATGACTCGATCGTGACAGAAACAAAGAAGCAGTGCACAAATGTAATCATCAGTGTCAGTGCCAGTGCGCGATTTTTAGTTTAGTTTCCCCTTTCATTTTATTTTCACCGAGACAGCAGAGAGAATCATAGCAGCAGAATTTCCTGAAGAGAATGTCGACAGAAAATCGAGAGACTGAAAGACTGCCCCTGGATCCTCTCCCCCTGGAGCAGCGTGAGAAACCAGGGGTGAACGGTAACTGTGGATTGAGCGTCCTGGATGCAGTATTCCCAGTTCCAAATCTTGATGTCGATGCTGGAGACATTCCCAGCAGCAGAGCACTCGTCAGTGAATGGGACATCTTTTGCATCGGTCTCTCAATTCTCATGCATCTTCTGGATTGCTTAGCGGATCTCAATTTAGCCGTGAATTATTTCATGAGGGGAGACTATGCATATCTCATTTGGACCTGCACATTTATATTCACTCCGTCGTTCGTGAATATCGTCATCAGTATTCAGATTTCTGCTCAGGATCGCCAGGTGACTTCTGTCATAACTTTTATTTTTAATCGTAATCATTGAATTTTTGATGAAATGAAATTGGGGAGGAATGGAATAAAATGGACACTGGACTTTTTTTAAATTACTCATAACTCAGAAAAAAAATTATCAATTGAGCTCAGTTTGGGCTCATTACAAAGGGAAAGAAATTTTCTTTGCATTGAAAGAAAAAATATTGGATTTCATCAACATTGCAAGCTGTCGTTAACATTTAAAAGAAGTCAAAAATGTTCATTTACCCCAACCTTCCCTAATTTACTTTTCGTTGGGAACTGCAATTCTTTTTTACCGCGTAAAAAGTGCCCTAGCCCAGTATAATTCATCTAATCGTTGGATCCATTAGCAGAACAATCAAGAAGACGAGAAGGACAAATCCAGCTGGAGTAAACTGGTCAAAATTTGGCTACTATGGCCCATTATTCTCGTATTCCAATTGGCACCTGTACTTCATCATTTAGATAATTTGACTTATGCCGGTAAATCGTATCGCGCCCGAAAAAAAGGAAATCAGTCAAAACAGAAGAAATATTATCTCAAAATGCTGAAGGAGGAACAGGACATTGCCCTGATGAGAGTATTGGAATGTTTCTTGGAGGCGGCTCCTCATCAAGCCTTGCAACTGACAATCATGATGATGCACTATCAAAGCAGCCCCGAAGTGAATTTTCATTGTAAGTATTTGTATCCACAATTGGTTATTTTTTTATTCTGAGAGAAATTGTAACAATGGTTGATAAATCTTCACTTGAATTTGGTTTAATTCCCGTTATTTTTTTCATGATTCTATCGAATGTTTGAAAAAAATAAATTTCAAAAAGTACCAGAATATATTCACAAAAAATAAGTAGCCATGAAAAAAACTATCAAGATACTATCGTAATAAATATGCAAAGACAAATGCAAGGGGAAATATGTTCGCAATAAAAATTAATGAAAACGTTCTTTCAGTCTTAAATCAAACCCTCAGTATTGCGAGCTCTCTCGTAGGCATGGGTTGGGCCATGTCTAGTTACCATCGCAGCATAAGAAAAGCCCAATGGGACAAAGAGAACATCAGTGCTGTTGGAAATTGGATGCAGTTCTTCTGGCACTTCTTCGTCACAAGTAAGCGATGCACTCTTTCATTTCGTCTTCAGGATTTTAATTGCATTCTACACATCAGGAAGGGATGGAGCAAACTGGACCCTTTATTCCAATATTTATAACTCCTAAACAAATTTGTCAATCGATCTCACTCTGCAATTGCATTTCCCATTAAATTGAATTGAATTTATCTTATTTTAGTATCTCGAGTGGTGGCTATTGCAGCAGCAGTCACAATATTGCCCCTATACGCTGGTATCGCCATTGTTATTCACTGGCTCTTCATGTTCATTTGGATATATCTGGAGCCTTCAGGTCTCAACGAATTCTGCCGAGACCGTAGCCAGCCACCCCACAGAGGTCCAACAATCGTTGAAAGTCTGAAATCGCATTTACTCGGCATGACCTTTGGTCTCGTTTACATTTTCACGTATTTCAAGCTGATCGATGGACCAACCTACTGGAAACACGCAATCTACTACTCTTTATGTTTCGGGGAGAATGTGGTAGCAGCGGTGAGTTGGATCTTCCTCGGGGATGATCTTGCGATCATACGGTGGTACTATGAGCTCGTTCCAGCCACGTGCATTGCCCCATTCATCCTCGGAATAGTTGTAATGATAGTTTATTACAAAGGGTTCCATCCATCGATGAAAAACATGATCAATAGGATTGATCAGCCGACTGAAGAGAATAGCAGACAACTCGCAATATAATATTGGTGCATATTTATAGATCGTATTACTGAGATCAATCACCTGATTGATCGTTCACTCACAGTACATCCATGACTGAACGTCTGAACTGTTTTATGATAACCTTTTTATATTTTTATACGACAAGTGTAAATTAGGTACAAAAATACCAATGATTGGTATTTAATGATGGAATAAACCAGTGAAAAAGCATAATTGGCTGCGATTTTCCCCCTCTCGTCCAATAAATTTAAATTTTCAATTAACGAGATCGACATATTGATGGATATGCCGATGCAGAATGAGTAAATGAAGCAAGAGTACACATTAGTGTGATAATTTATTATCTTCCAGTAATAAATATTCTTCTGTGTTACATACTTTACTTACATCTGAATAAATCACATTATATTCGATAGAACATAGAGTTGAAAAAAAATTACAGGACCAGCGGAATTTCGAAAGACCTTATGAGTTTATTCAGAATGAGCTAAACACTTTAGATTTTGAAACGTTGATTTTTCCAACTTGCAAAATGGAAAAGATTGAACTAATGCGACAGTTATTGCAATTTGGGCGATAATAGAAAAAAAATTTGTTGTCATCGTACTTGAGGGCATTGTGCAGGAGGTAATGACATCAGCGTGACTCAGTCGACGGGATTCTGAACGACTATCAAAATGAATTCCTTGTCTGGGGCTACCATGACCTCATGCTTCTTACTTCGAATCCGAAGAAAGGTCAGATCGTTCGTTGGATCCAAATCACGAACAACTGATCTTGCTTTGTCTGATAGTTGGCTTATCAGGCCTGCATATTGAACGGTTGTTGTGTTGTCAAGAGTTGATTTGATTGGAATACCTATTTAGGGAGTAGAATGACGTAATTCAATGAGATAAATGCACCGCAGACTGAAAATTTCACTTTTTAAATCGAAATGCGGAAAATAATAATTTTTTATCATGAACAAACCTTCGGAATTGACAACGATCGTGCCAACAACACCCTTGTGCGACTGAATCCGCTTCATCGTCTCTTCCACTTCTTGCGCCTGTCGTGTAACAATTGTCAAATCACAATATTCATTTTATTCTATTTTGTTTACTCACCATCTCGATTAATTTATTGTTATCAAATGAAGGTTATGACACGTAGGAAATTCAGTGTGAGGTTAGCAGTACGAAGAATGCATCCATTTACAGCGACGAGGACGGGACAAATGTTCAACTGATGACCGTATCAGTACGGCTCAACTCAAACGTGCGATGCAAATATGCCCCGCTGTGATTTGTTTCTATGGCAACGGATTAGTGACAAATTGCGAAATTATTGACGATTTTTTTTTCATCTTTTGAAAATTTTTTAAAAAATTATTAAAATTGAATAAAAAATGGAAAAAAAACTGAAAAAAAAATTATTTTTTTGCGAATTATCCTATTGAAGTGGTTTTTTAATGAAAATTTGATGGAAAAGTCGACAATTTTTTATTTTTTTGAATGAATTAGTCTTGAGATCTACCTAGAAAACATCGCTGCCTAAAATAAATAGTATTTTTTAATATAATTGCAGTGGAATCTCCATCAGAAAGAAAATAACTCATTTATTAATAAAAATGAGGATAATCGCAATACATAAAATCAATCATCAACATCTGAAAATAATTTATTCCATAAAATTTAAATTACACAAGTTTGAGACACTGTATATCAGTGGCATCTCCCTTATACCTATTCATCTGCTTGAGCAGTTGCAACTTGGACTGCCTGCAATGTGTGGTATGCAGTTCATAGAGAGTGCTCATATTCAAAATAATCGACTCCTGAAGATTCTTGATAGGATTCTTCGTGACAGCATTCTCCAGCAATTGCACAGCGGCCTCAAGTTTACCAGTGTACAAGAGACAGACAGCCATGTTATTGACGATCATGACATTGGAGGGATCGGCATTCAGTGCCATCTGAAAGCAATCATAAGCCTCCTGGAATGCGTTCTGAGTCACCGCCATGAGGCCTCGATTGACCCACTCCCTAGTAGTTGGGGTGTGCGTCGAGACATCCTTGGTGACTAATTTCCCCTCGGCTGCGGGTATGTCCCCCAGGAACAGGTGCAATCTCCCCAGAGCCAACTTAAAAATCTCCAACTGGTCTTTCTGCCAGTCTGGGAACTGGCAGATGTCCTCGAGTACCTCAATAGCCAGAACAAAATTCTTGGCAACAAGTGCGCAATTGACGATCGAAACCAGTACCTTAGATTTCCTCCTGGACCACAATTTCACCGAGTCCTGTCGCTCAACGACAGAACAATTGGCTGCTCCTCCTTCCTCAGACAGCCCCTCCCCTAAATTCCTCAGAATCTGATTAACAGTCGACAAAACAGCGTACAAATTGTCCAGAGATTCCCTCGGGCTCCCGCAGAATGAAGGAATTTCAGCCAGAAGCAGTCTAAATGAGAACGACGCCATGGAGCCATGTCGAGTCCCATAAAGTTCTGGGTGAAACGAGAAGTACATGTCAGGTTTATCCAAATTCCCGAAGGCTTGGGCCTCCGTCTTGAGCACCTCAGTCTGCCCCAATTTCGTGAGAAGAGCCAGTCTCGTGTACCACAGCTGCAGCGAGTGGGGGGTGTGCTTGCTGGGATGATCGATTTTCCCGAAGCCCTGGCCATAAATTCCGAGGAGTCTTCCAGACAAGTTGACAGCAGCTCTGTAGCACCCGGCCTGGATGAGATTCCTGAGCCCTCGCTCGTCCTGCGTCACGTCTGAGGCTGTCAACACGTTCCTGTGCATGTGCTCCTCCTCCCCGTAGAAATGAATTGAAGCCTCTTTGGTGGCGTCCAGGATGTCCCCTTGGAGGGTGAGTCCGGGCATCGTCAGGTTCTCGCGATTAGGCAGACTAGTCCCAGGAGGTGATGTCGCGATTGAAAGCAGGATTTTCCTGGTGGATTCTGAGGGAATCCAGGCATCTCTGTGGTAGTCAGGCACGTTCAGGTCCGAGGGCCTCTCGATCTCGAACATGTGATCGTTCTTCAAGAAGTTGGAGGTCAACTCCAGGTCGCTGGTGGGGTCGTCGATCACGGAAGGCAGTGGATTGTCTACTCGGTGAGTCGAGACTATCTCGTCGAATACTGTGGGCGTATTGTTCTCAAAATACCTGCCTAGGGTGTGATCTGAAGGCCCTTCGCTCGTTTCTTTACGTGAATGCTCGTTATTCTCCATGATTTTTCCATTGGATTATCCTCTCTTCATTACACTTTTTACCGTTTTTATTCGATATTTATTATTTTCTTCGAAGATTTATCAAACGGATCTTCATTGTTATGACAGTAATACTGAGGTTAGGATTTTTATGCTTCGTTCTCATGATTTCTGTGGACATCGTGGAGGTTATACATAACCTATTCATTTTGAATTTAATTGTTGTGCGGAAATATCAGTGGGTGAAGTGGAATTAGTGTTTATTTAACGTTTTGTGGATTAAGGAATAGAAAGTTGACGTTTTTTATTTGAAAAATGGCACATGACCTGGCAAAAACACTGGGAGGTCTCAGGTTGGATGGTCGTAGGCCCCTGGAGCTACGTAAAATAGGGGTGAAAATGGGGGTATTTGGACAGGCTGATGGAAGTGCCTACCTGGAGCAAGGAAAGACCAAAATTCTAGCGGCTGTCTATGGACCACATCAAGTAATTATTACAATCCTCGATTTTTATTTGATATTCTAGTCAACTTTTTTAATGTTTAATTTTCTTAGACTCGAGGGAGTGCAGCCAGGAGTACTGTGAACAAATCGACAAAAGGGATCGTTAACTGTCAATACAGCATGGCAGTGTTCAGCTTGAGCTCTGGTGAACGAAAGAGAAGACCTAGGGGCGACAGAAAAACTCAGGAGAGGTCCATTCAACTGAGGCATGCGATGGAGGCTGTCCTGAATCTAGAGAATTTTCCACGATCGCAGATTGATATTTTTGTAGAAGTTCTCCAAGTTGATGGGAGTGATTACTGCGCAGCGATAAATGCAGCCACGTTAGCGTTAATTGACGCAGGAATCCCGATTAAAGTAAATTTCATTTTTTCTTCTTGATTTTTATATATTTTTTTGTTTGATTATATTCACTAGGACTTTTTGGTTTTTGTTAATTGATTCGAATGAAAAATATCTGGTGGAAAGACATTAACAAATTTCGATCTTTATACGACTCATTCTATTTAAATTCTTTCTGAAAATCATTCTCTACATGAATTCTAATTTTTTCTTCATAATTTACAAGTTTTTTTAACTTGATTGACTTCACAAAAACATTTTTTCGAAAACTTGAATGATGAAATATTTCAGGATTATGCCATTGGGTGCACAGTAACCCTCCCCGACGCCTCCCAAACCTTCGACGAGTCAGAAGTTCCTGGAATTGGAGTCCTGGACGCTAATAATCTCGAAGAAAACGGCCCAGGGACAACTCTCTCGGTAGTTGCCCTACCAGAAACGACAAACGAAGCCAGCAAAGAAGCTGGCTTGATCATCATAGCTCAAGCCAGTGGTCAGCGCTTGGACATTTCAAAAATGGAGGGCATGAAGACAAGAGCATTGCACGGTTGCCAGAGTATCAAAACCATTCTTGATAAAATAGTCAGACAGCATCTAACAACAAATTCTCTGCCATCTTTATTCGATGTACAAATGATAGAATAAATGGACGATTCATTCACTCTCAACTGTCATCACAATTTTCTTCAATCATTAGTATAAATATTCTCGTTATAAAAACAGTTTTTGTATGAAATTAATTGGAAAATATATGTATTGATCTAGAGTTTTCATGGAACAATTTGTCTTTCAGACATCTGATGAACCGTATGTAAAAATATGCTATTTTTATTTATAACTTTGCGTCTGGATGTCTTTCCATGATCATGCCGACCCCCTGAAAAAATAAAATACGGACGAAAATAAAAGAAATGATTTTTTTATCATAAAAAAACTTCTTCAATAACTCCGAAATATTCACCTGTCCACCGGCAGCACAGGCAGCAATAAGTCCAAACTGTTGATCCTCCTTGATCATCCGATTAGCCGTGTGTGAAGCCAAACGCACGCCGGTGGCTGCGAATGGATGTCCAATGGACAGAGAACCTCCCCAGGCGTTCCATTTCTTCAAATCCGGAATTCCCACTTTACTATTTCTCTTCAGATATTCTTGGCAGAAATATTCAGAGTCCATGGCTTTCAGGTTCGCTAGGATTTGAGCTGCAAAAGCCTCGTGCACTTCCCAGACCCCAATATCGTTGAGAGACAATTTCGCAAGATTCAATACCTGAATTAAAAATAAAAATGTTATTTCTCGTTCTGTAATTTCAATTAAACTCTGCTCATTTCCGCTTTTTATGGCACATGCCAATTTTTTCTCATTAGAATAAACTTGAAATAAAATTAATTTTCGGTTTTTACTGACCTTTGGGATGGCATAGGCAGGTCCAAGTAACAATTGATCAACTGGATCTTGTGAGACATAAGTGAACTGTCTCATATAGGCCTTGGGTCTGAGGCCCAGTTGTTTTGCCTTCTCTTCACTCATGATAAGTCCGGCTGAAGCCCCATCAGTCAAGTAAGACGCATTGGCAGCTGTGACTGTGCCATAAGGCTTGACAAAAGCTGGCTTCAATTTCGCTAGATTCTCAGGACTGGATACTCTGATCCCATTATCTCTGTCGACTGCTTTCGCAACATTAGGAACTTTGAAGGGCACCAAATCACTCAAATTTCCGTCTTGCTGCGCCTTTTGGGCGAGTGTGTGAGACCTCAAGGCATATTCGTCTTGCTCAGCTCGAGATATACCGAAGGCAGAAGCTAGACGATCACCAGAGTGGCCCATGGTTTCTCCCGAGGAGAATTCAGCCACTGCTGGGAGCTAAAACCACGAGTTCATTGATTCACGAGGGGAAATTATGGATTTAAATTTGATAATTGCATATTAACAATTCCATAATTTAATTCCATTGAATTAAAAGTTTTTTCAATTGAATTAGAATTGAAAAAATTGAAGAAACAGATGAAAAATTTTAATTACGTCTGGAACGAAGTGTTTGGGCCTGATGGAAGCCAGGAGAGAGAGAGTTTGCCCGAGAGATTTGGCCTTCGATGCCTTGACCATGAGATTTCGCATGGGTCTACTGTGTCGGATAGGAATGTCTGACATGAATTCAACCCCACCAGCTACCACAACGTCATAAGCACCAGAAGCAATGAGGCCCATTCCCGTAGTCAGAGCCACATTACTACTGATGCAGGCCATTGTGACCGTATGCGCCGGTGTCCTCTCACTGTATCCAGCAGCCAGAGCTGCCTCACGACCAATATTCGAGGTCTTCACTTCCTGCATTACTGTCCCGTACACGATGTAATCGATTATCTCTTTTGGGATTTTTGTTTTTCTCTGCAGAGCACTACAATTTTCGAATCAATTATTTCAGGGAAATATTGATCGATGTGTTTTTGTGATAGAAAATTGAACGTTTTTTCATCTGATTTTTTTCGCTGTTTTATACGAATTAAATGAAATTCTGAAGAATGTTATTTGTCTTCATTTCTTCTTCATTCAAGAAGAAATTAATGAAGGAGAATATTTTAATGATGAAATCTGATGATTTCAATAATTACTCACACCAACGAATGTGTGGCCAATTCGTGAGGCATCAGTTGACTGTAATCAGTCCCAGACATTAGAAATGGGGTTCGAACCCCATCCACGTAGACGATATTTTTGCTGGCTGGACTATCACCTCTAGTTGCATAATTTCTACATGCATTTGAAGTAGTTGCCCATGAATATGAAATTTCTGCAATGCATTATTTATTTTAAATAAATAGCGGAAGGTGTGCGGAATGCCGATAGCAGATAGGGAGTTGTTGATATTCAATTTCAAGCTACATTTCCTATTTTTTTATTTCTCATTCGATTTAAAAAAAAGACGTAAATTTTATGCACAGGTTAAAGGTGCATCACTCGAATGCCTCTTGAACATTAGAATTATTGAGAACGACCGAGTGCGCTTCCAATTTTGAAAATCGCATTGATTTTCATTTTTGCCAAGCTCAATTGCGAGAAAATTGGACTTCGTACCATGACAAATGATTCGGTACAGTTGGATGATGCGATAAAATGAATTTATTATCAAGATCTCAATGATTTCGTAGGATAAAATCACTCCGTTGAATGAATATTTAATCTTACTTGGCAGGAGGACATTGTGGTCCAGTCGAAGAGCGTTCCTCACTCGCAAAATCGTCATCCTGAATTATTTGCGCTACTACTTCTGACTACTTCGTTAGAACCACTCGTCTATTGCACCACTTTCCACTCAGCATTCGCCGGAATTCTCAAGAACATTTCAGATGGGACGTTGAGCGGCCATCAGAGGGCTACAGTGCGTAGCGCTCGAATTCGAACCGCGATAAGTGACAGTGCGAACAGAATAAACTCTGATATTGCAGAAAGAAATATTTATTCCATCTAATCGTCATCAAATTAAATTAAAATATCATTGTTGTATTTAACAAAGAAGTAATAATTCAGGATAAATCGAAGGGGCGTATTTATTGACAGTTTTCGAAAATTAAATGAAGAAAATAGAATAACAAATGGAATTGAAAAAAAATACATGCATTCATTTACGTTATCACAATGTAATAAAATTGAACGCATTTTGAGTTCGAATCCCACTTCTGAGACCAATTGAACAGCCCGCGGGCTCTTCAAATAAACAAAAAACAGTTTATTAAATGAAAACCAGGTGAAGATAAAATACAATGAGAAGTGAAGAAATAATGAAAAAACTCGTGACAAAATTTCAAGTAAAAACATTTATTTTACGACACACATATGACATTAAACATTGCAAGCGGGCCATTGTCTTATGTGGAGCTCTCTCAAAGCGATTCACTCATAAGTGTTATGCGACCGTAGCCATAACATCAACACAAAACAGTACGCAGCGCACTGCGTGACGGGGGATGAATGAATATGCGGAACGGATCCGTCAATCAAATTTTGATTTCCCCCCCTCGGTCATGACTATTTATCAAACATTTATTCGCACAGATGACGACGATTATTTACGCGTGAATTCCAACTGAATGAGTTACATTCGTTTGCCGATAAATATGATTATTGTCAAAACAGCTGATCCCTCTGCACGTTGATGTACGTCTGCGTTTTGTGGTGTTTAGGTGCAGCTTATGTAGTCCAGTCCCCTCTGGGCCCCCCTGGCTGTTGGCGCGTGCGCATGCCAAGCCCACAATTTTAGGTATGAAGTATTTATTTCTGCAGAGCGCACGGAGCACTGCATATTTCCCTCGGACATATCCGTATGTCAATGAAAATGTTTGTGCAGTGCATGAGGGAATATTAGTCGCCAAAAGGCGAGAGTAAAGGGTGTAAATACTGGGTGCATATATAGGTCACAGAGAGGACACCAGAGAGGCGTGAGCCGCTTTAAAAACCACCACCAGCTAGTGTACATGTGCATACATGTTTTGAAGTTGAAAAACTATTGAGTGCAATTGGACTGACCGAGAACGCAAGAACGTCTCTGTGGAGAGGTTTTGAGTGCGCGCGCGTCACTTCTTTTTACCTTTTCTATTTTCCCCTCTTATTCACTCATTTTCCATCCTCCTTGCTCTCCTATACATTGGAGTTGTCGCTGTTACTCTGGTGCGTTATAGCTTTGTGAACATCATTGCGTATCGCGAACGGCTGAGTGTCGAGGAGTTGCAAAGATATAAATTGGTTGGGACTGGATACAATGGAGGTGGAGGTGTAGGGGGACCGAGCAAATTCCCTCACAGCCCAGTGGATTGTTTGTTCTCCTCTGCTCTTCGATCTTGGAGTTAAAATGTAGTAATCTAGTGATTTGAAAATTTATACATGTCCGTGATAATGCGCAGTAAATACTGGACGAGTGGTTGTTTCGTGTGTCGTCGTGCGTGGACGATCGATACGCCATCCCAGCATGGCGTGCAATGTAAATCGGCCTGACGAAGTGATGACCAGTGATGAGGATGCCGCAAATACGGGTGTGAAGGTGTATGTCATATCTGTCAAGCAATACGGTAAAGCTGAGTGGATTATTTTGTCGTCGAGGTGGTGGAGTGCTGAATATGGAAAACGATAAAAATTGTTAGAGCCCAAAGCAACTTGAATATAACTCAAGTGCACTTTTTCTCGCGATAAAGAGCCAATTGAAAGATGGAAAGAGGATACAAGACAAAGAATGAAAAAGAAACTCAGTGGTGTATGAGGGCAGACGATGTGCAGTGATTTTAGTGGATGAAAACTGTTCGTGATATGACTGTGTTAAATTATTCGTGTCTGTGACGGGGATAGAGCGGATGGACCATTACGGAACGAGGAACGAATGGACGGAGACGGGCATGTGTCGTTTAGCTGCTGTGGTCGCCACTTGGACTCGGTAGAGGCCCGTGCCCGAGGCCCCAGCAGCGCGCCCAGGCCACCGACCCATACCCGTGACCGCGAGACAAGCCTTTACGAGCCTGTGTGAGACGTGTGCGTGTGAAGTATTTTTCGTATGTATTGTGTAGTTCAAAAGCCTGTATATAACCCGTAGGGACAAGGTTATACAGGCGAAAGACGGCCACCATAACTGTCTACTCTAGAGTTTCAGCACTGAGACCTTGGAGATTCGTATATATTGTGATGAGCAGTGGATGCGAGTGTTGTCCATGTTTTTTCACCTCCTACTTCATTTTTAGAAGTCGTTAATTATTTCATATTTTATGTCGACATAATTTTGTTTTTTTTTTATTATTATCTTTCTAACACAAAAGTTTCTCGTCAATTATTCAAAGTGTCGAGTGAACGGCAGAGAGCGTCCGAAATAGCAAGTGTAACCAAATTTTTTTTCACCTCTTGGTGTTTTTCTTTCGATCATAATAAGCAGAGAAGACAAAATATCCTGTGGTCTGTGTGTTTTCAATGTCTTCCTAGGGATAAATGGAGAGGAATCAGTGAAAATGATTTAGGAAGCATAATAAGAGTTCTGATATGATAGAGTGATAAACAGAGAGGTCAGAAACTACTGAGATGGACCGAGTTAATCTCGGTGTTGGTGATTCACACGTGAGTGATGATGAGGATGATGGTACACGCCATAACGATGGATTTACCGTATGCTCTTTGTTCGTTCATAGCAGTGCAATACGATGATTCTTCTCTATGGTTGTAGAAACTGAGCGAAGAAAACAAGAGGATTAAAATTTCCATGGATTCATAATCATCATTTGATCCTAAATGTTGATGTGTTTATGGATTGAGCCCGATGATGTTTATATTTTTTTTTTATCATTTGGAAAGAGATTGAATGACAAAAATGGAGACACTATTACCGGCTAATACAAACAGCCCGTCATACAGTCCACAGCTAAAGACAGTCTTGAAGACATATCAATTATCGGCAGTGAAAAGCCTACAAGGACCAAGCTCAGCCCTTTTGGGTATGGACTGTAGAGGTATATTGCAGGAACAAACGTCCTTTCACTTCCCAACCCTCAATCGTACGCCAAACTGCGTAGTTGATTCAGATCCAGATGAGATAAATGGAAAAGAATACAAAAAAAATGAGGATCCAGTGGCAGTAGCAGTGCCGGTAGCTACGGTACCAGTGCCAGTCCTACCTAGAAGGGATCACATAGCGGAAAGATCCCAAGATGATTCAGACGACGATCCCCAGCCAGAGCGTATTAAAATAATTGGTGAAAAGCGTGAATTGGAATTCCAAATACCCATTCTCACAGCACCAGACCAGAGTTGCTCCGAGAGATGTGAAACAACACTTGAGAATGAGAGAATTTCATGTTTTGTTGTTGGCGGTGAGCGCAGGCTCTGTTTGCCCCAGATACTGAACACAGTGCTCCAAGATTTTTCATTACAACAGATTAATCAAGTTTGCGATGAATTACAAATATACTGTTCAAGATGCACCCATGACCAATTGGAAGAGTTAAAATTATCTGGAATATTGCCAAGAAATGCTCCGTCGTGTGGCTTAATCACACAAACGGATGCTGAACGTCTTGTGAGCGCACTTTTATTGCGTATCGAGCCACGTGAATTACCACAAATGATAAGTGAAGACAATGAGCGATGCGATGGAAAGGAGCACTGTGAAAAAGACGGCACCGATACAATCGCTAAATTCAAAGTTTATCACGAATGTTTTGGTAAATGCAAAGGCATCTTCAACGCTGACCGCTTTGATGCCGAGGATTCAGCGTGCATCGAGTGCCTCGAGTGTGGCTGCCAGTTTTCACCCCAACGTTTTGTACGTCATGCACACCGGCCACTTGAGAATCGTACCTGTCACTGGGGCTTTGATTCCACCAATTGGCGATGTTATTTGTTATTGTCACGCGATCAGCCTCATTACAACAAGCTCGTTACATTCTTTCGTAACTTGAAAGAAAAATATCCTCTACCCAACCTGAAGAGGAAACTCGCTGAGGTAAAACACAAATTTATTATCACTCAAAATGCCAGGATTTGCCATTATTCCTTACTTCTTGTTAATTCTTAGTTCCGAAATGAGTCTGACAAGCAGCCCAAACGACTGAAAAAGGAAATGGGCCGCAATGAATTTGCCGGTGTCTACGCTGGCAGCAATGGCTTGGGAATGTACTCGATATCACCAGCCACTGGTGGAGGTGATCCCTATCTCCAAATGCAGTGGGCAGTCTTTGAATTAGCAGCTCGCGGTGCATCAGCATTCAGGCCTTGGAATACAGCTAATTCTTGTAAACATCGAGACAGGTGACCAAGAAATTGACTTGAATCATTTGAATCATTGAATTTCGTTTGTAATACTATTAATAAGGGGGGAAATTCGGTATTTTTTATGTACCCATGTTAACCTGACACTAATACCCATCGCACAACTAATGACAATTCATAATTTAATACGAAAACAGTTCACCACTGGTGCCTGCTTATCTGAGCCGAGGTCCACCAGTGTTGCAGCATCCAGAGCGCGTTGTACCGCTCTCCGAGTGTGAACGTTTTGAGCCCCATTACCAGCCAAACGTTGCCTTGGCACCCATTGTACCACCAACGATAACGGCTATTCCAACGACACAGTCGGAGGAGCCCTCAGCAGCCCACAGGCTCCTTTACACTGAGAGCCACAGTCACAATAATCATTCCCCAAGTTCGTGTGAAAAAATTGAGCCCCTCATTGCCAATGTTAAAATTGAAAAGCCATCATCGCCGGGACCAGAGGCTGCCAATGACTACTCGAAAAAATTTTGCACACAATCGAAAAAACAAGAGGAATGCAGAAATGAGAGACCAAAAATGAAGCGGAAAATCGTTGCCAGAAACAATTGTGAGGACGAGGAGAGCAGTGCTGCTGTCACATCGTCTACCATTACAATGGAGATACCATCGGCGGGGGGGAGCACATCGTCATCACGAAGTGATACTGAGGAGGACTTTGCTACTATTGTTGAACTTGAGGAACGACTTACGGCACTTGACATGCCGCAGGACGTTTTTACTCTTGTTAGACAGGTGGCATCGGAACTTACTCATTTGAGAGTTCGACATCAACAAGACGCACAGGAAATTGCCAAGTTACGTGATGAGCTGCAGAAAATAACGATTCAACCTGTTTCTGTTGTGAATCCTCATGATTCTGTTAATAGCGGTGAGGAGAGTGAGAATAAGGCGAATCCAAGTGCTGCTGATAGCACTGAAAATAATGACACTATTGATGAGGCAGCACCACTGCTAGACAACAATGAAGAGCTCGAACGGGCTGCCACTCCATCTACTGCAATTAGTAAAGATTAGAAATTATTACCAATTAATGTAAGATTATTAATAGTAAGCAGGACAACAATAATAGCGAATGAATAAAAAATATTATAATAAAGAACTGCTCAGCAATTGTGGCGCCTTATCTGTTAGCGATATTGGCGTACACTTCAATTTAGCACTAAATTATGAATGTTACAAATTCTAAAGTTAATGATGACGATGAAAGAAACTGTCTTGGTTATGTGATATATGAAAAGCCTTTAACGTTATAGAATGGTTAATTTTTTCGTTTTCAGAATATTGTAAAGTGAACTTTTATCGACAGTTTTTACTTACGAATCGAGATTAAGAGATGAAAAACAATGTAGATATTGTGTGATGTGATGAATGAGAAATAGATTTTAAATATCGATTACTGAGCCAATATATATTAGAACAACAGATATTATGTTTGAATATATTAATGAAGTGCATAAGACATTTTTCGTAGATAAAGTAATCATCGATTGCGACGAAAAATAAATTGTTCATTCAGTCTTCTCATTATCATAGTTGTGAAAAAATGAAAATAGATAGAACGGGACTGAGAACGTTGAATTGCTTTTCATCAACAACTTACAATCATATTGGTATTATGTAAATAGTTTCACTTATCTTAAGTTACGTTAATGATTAAATATTATGAAAATTATTGAAAAAAGTACAAAAACCCTAGGTGCTATGTTATTACACTAGGTGATTATAATGACCTCGTGTAAAATAGACTTTCAATTGTAAATTTCAATTGTAAAAACTGGGATGCATTGAGCGCTTTTGTTGTAACAATATTCAAAATTTTCACGATTATTTGCATAATTTTGCATGACTGAATGGGCAGTCTCTTTCAAGTCGACTGAATTTCATAGACATAATTATAGTACTGCCAACAAAATTGACGTAAATTTATAAAAGAAAATTATTTCAATGTTTAATTACCGACGTGATTATAAATATCGTTATCAATTGTTTTTCATTTTGCTGTTGTAAACGAAAAAACTTAGGGTGATAATGTTGAGGCGTAATCAATGCTCCTGTTTTTACGGACGTCAACGCAATTGAATTAGGGACGTCCACTGAATAAATTTGATACTAATGGAGAAATGAAAATTTCTCCTTATCAAGTCAACTCGTACTACTCTCTATGTATAGGAGGATAAAATACATAATTAGTCATAAAAATTAACTACTACAAAGGTTGATGAATCTTGTGTATTGCGCATGGACTGCATGAATGAAGAAGAAAAAATAATAAACACCGTAACTTATTTATACTGCTGGGTTGTGTATTTCAAGTCCAAATAATAAATTATGATCCTGGAGCGGGTACTTCGAAGAAAGAAATGAAGGCATAATGAAAACTTTCTCATTGGATGCTCACTTAAGAAAGTAAGAAATTGTAAAAAATTTTAGCACTAAAAATTGGGGGATAAATTACTCTTGGGATTGGACTCTAAATTAATTCCACTGCGTTTGCTCTTATGTAGGAATTTTTTTTGTAAATGTCGATAATTTGGAAGGGGTGAAGGTTTGATTACCAGAAGAATTTCGAACAACAATTGATGGCTGACGGGTGAAATATAGAAAACTGTTATAATATTCAACGTAACCGATTTAAAGTAGAAAAACGCGGGACATTCGATGCCAATTTAACCAATTCTTCATTAAAATCCGCTCTCTTTTGATCGATAAATAATGATTTAATGTTCAAAGGCTATTTTGATTGACGATGGCAGATAACGATAAACATTGTTGTTCATTTTATCACTAACTGATGAAAATCCATCCGAAAACAAATTGAAGAGTGGTTGAATCGACCTGGAATGCCCACATCCGAATCCCACCTGAAATCAAGAATGTAATAATGTCCATGTTTTCGTACATACTCAGTTATCGAAGTGCATATTTTGAATAAAATTGAACTGATAAACCATATAAACAATACGTCTGACGCAGCGCTGTATCTTCGATGCGTCTAGCATAAAAATTATAACCAGTTTATGTCATTGATTTGAATTGTCTTTTTTCATCTCTCACTATCTCAATCACTTTTGAACTGTCGCAATAACATCTTGAAATGCCCAACAGTGAAAATGTATTTTCATCAATAAAAGAAAATACTTGTAAAATCGAGAACTTTTTTTTTACTATATTTATACATGAATACGTGCCCGATATAGCAATTGTAATTGTAAATGAAAGAAGGGATATTTGTTCTGTTTAAGTTCTTCAATTTGATCTCAATTACATCTACTGTAGATATTGTTGGAGATTTTGAGAAGAGAAGAAATACTTCTCGAGATCAAATGCACTATTTTTCGTTCATCATGGTAGCTAACATTTTTGAAATTATACATTATCGAATATAATGTACTTCGACCTACATTACAGATATCCATTGTCTTTGAAGGAGTAAATCATTGCATAGTGTTATCTATACTTGATAAGAACGATCCATGCAATAATATTAAATAGCATTAGAAACGAAGGGAAATAAAATTTACGTTGTGAATTGTCTCGTGATTATTAGCTCAATATATGTCACAAACTTATAACATTTTGAAACCTAAATTTTTTTGTAACTATTTTCTTTAAGTGCTTTTGCTTTTGTATAGATCCTCCAACCATGACTCACTATTCATATAGTTTCGATGATGAAGAAATCATTTAGAAAAATTAAATATTCGTCGAGAACTCGTATCACATAAAAAATCTAGTACCTGCAATTGGCTGAAGCCTGAAAATTTTGTGATTAGAGAGTTTCATCGTGCAGATGCATGATGACGATGCATGTATCTTAAGCTCAGTGTAAATATTAACATTAATTAAAAAATAAGTTTGATCGCGTCCAAAAAAAACTGGTAATTTCATGACTACCGGACGAAAAATCATTCATCATTTGTCTCTAGAGTTTTTTAACACACGAACGAATTGCATCTCCGAATTATCTCGAAGAACGTGTGAATTTACACGAGAAAAGGTCTATCGATACCGCCAAAACTGACTCTTTTCCGATGAAAAATGATCACACGTATTGAAACTTTTCGCACATGGAGACGGATATCTCGGACCTAGATTCATTGTCGCGAGACATTCGTTCGTTGTCCAATAGACAACTGAGCATAGTATCATGGTACTTTTTCCCCATGCATTTCAAGTTACAAGTCACGAATAAAATTCAAAAATAGGTCCGAGCAGTGGCTGACTTCGAAATAAACAATAATCGAATACAATGCGGATTGTTTACAACGTAAAGTACAAAATTGATCTCTGTGTCAGGTTTAAATATGTATGCACGAACATTTATTTTCATCCCTTTGAGAGGCCTCGGGAGTATGAGAAAACTACTGAAATGGGGAGACAACTTTGCGCCGCGAATTCTCGACCAAAAGGGGACGAAAAAATCGTATTGATGCTTTAAAAACTTTATTCCTTCCATAGAAACCGGGTGCACCAACTTGCGAGTGATCTGAAGCGGATAAATAATTTTAAAAAATGAGTAAAAATATGAGGTGGCAGCGCCGCCATTTTTAAAGCAAGGTGGCGGCGCCTACGCCTGTCAACCACCTCGTATTTTTGAACATTATTTAAAATTCTTTATCTTCATCAGATCACCTGTAACTCGGTTCATTCAATTCCTAGAAAATGAACAAATTTAAAGTATTTTTTTTTTCGCTCCCGAGGCCTCTCACCAATGACATACAATCATTGCTTTGTTTTCGCCAATGCCGCGTAACCATCGATCGTGAACACTGAGAAAAAAGCACCTAGCCATGATGATGTACGAAATACCGATGGTTTAAAAATCTTTCCGAAATCAATTTGGCACAATATCATTGTAATGAAATTTGTCTTATGCATTACGTTCTAATTTCAAAATACAAGATTGAATGATAATAAGAAGACGAGTATGATGTAAATTGTTCTTTGACTATCAGCGTATTGATTCACGTGGCAAAGCATTGAGCCTGAATAATGGTCATTAGTAATGGCATCAGTAAACTTAACTAGTGATTGATTGAAACGAGAGAAAATGTGAAAAATGAAATTAATTGAATCGGACGGCATGCGATTTGTTCGTTCCAAAGATAGTATTCTCGAAATGAAATAGCCGTCAATTACATGTACCATATTTGATTTAGGAAGAATACGTATTTGTTGTTAGCTGTTTTTTTTTCATAGAAATTCTCTAGGAGTTTCCATTCACTTCCATTGTTTTCTTTCTTCAGTCGATAATTGTTAATAAAAGAAAATATAAAGTAATTGTAAGAACCGAGTAAATAACTATTTCATGAACCAAATAGAGTAATCTTTGATTTATAAAAGCAATATTTCACAATAATATCGCCTATTAAGCATACGATACGGAGAGACAATCTCATTTTTTTTGAAAAAACAATGTATAATCATTATTAAACTGCAAATAAAAAAGCATTTCTCTACGACATATATTTAATTTCACGGAATTTTTTCATTTCATTGACAATTTTATCATTAAGCAGGTCCATTATTTCGTTTTGGCTGAAATTTCTGGGTCAATTCTTCGGAAATTTTATATTTCGCTCAACTTATTTCGTAAAAATTAATAGAAATCACGAGAATTGAGTATAAATTGGTGCAGAATATTCATGTATCGATTAAAAATTCAAGTAATTCGCGTCTTTGAATTTCAATTTTTAGTGAACTCTGAAATTTCAATTTTTTTTAAATAGCAAAGTATTGATTTTGAATTGTCAAAAGTCTTTCTCCTGCTTTTCTCTTTGACTGCATCCACCGCAGATACAAACAAACCAATTGATCGGTCGCATAGCAACAAGACGCGTATAAATTCACGATATAAGCCCCAAACAAATATAGCTTCTCGTGATACAGTATTTACAATTCCCTCAACACTATCGAAAAGTTGTGCAACAAGAGGATTGTCCAGGCGTCACAGCGAGAAGTTGATATTCCCCATACAAATTTATCAATATTCCGGTATTAATAGATCAGCTTTACTTTTCATTCATTAATTCCACGCGTGATAATTCAATTTATTTCCATCACCCGTAGATAGAAATGTTGCATCTGCTGTCAAGCGCCGACGCTCAAGAGCTGTCGATCCGCAATTCGAGAAAGGAGGTATCAAGAGAATTTGAACAAGACCCTACCAAATTAAAAAAAACTGATGGCGTTAGACAATCTGTCTCCGAATTCCCTTTCACTGGAAGTATAAAAGTAACGATTAAGGACAAGCCGATTATAGAATCAAAAGAGTACCAGATGCATCTCCTAAGCTGGGCCTTCCGCGCTTTTCTCTTCCACATCCAGCGAACGAAACGTCTGTACGAAATAAAACTGAGAACACAAGAGCGTTTCATCAATACAGATTTGCAGAGATACTTCGGGATGTGGAGATCAAGGGTTGACGAGATGAAGAAAGCAAAGGTGACGAGAAAAAGCGAATGTGAAATTTCCGACGACCAAAAAATCCAACTGTTCGTGAACGCAATAGTTGAGAAGCAGAAGAGCGACAAGAGTTCGCGCGAAGTTCATTCCACAGACTCTTCATCGAAAAAAATTCCAACTCTTGACAGTGATCGACTGGCTAAATCGCCAAATATCGCTGACTCCTCTCTCCAGAAGCGGCTGTCTCTCCAGAGGAAAATAATCACCGAGCAAAGGATGAAGTTGGTCCGACAAAATCAAATAATCGAGGCCATGAAATTGAAGAGAATCGCCGAGGAATCACAACACGCGAAGAGGGAGACGTTGACCACCGCGAAACAGGTGCTCAACAAATGTAGACAGGAGACTAGAAATAATTTGATACAACTCATGAAATTGGAATCGAGCAGAGGGAATGACCTCGACCCCCCGAAATTTCCGCCTCAACCCCCCGATTTTTTATCCCGAATGGAGGCGAGAGCGGAGAGAAGGAGAGAGCGAATAAGGGAAGCTAGGGAAAAGCAGCGGGAAAAATTGGAGCTTCAGAAGGAGCGGGAGGAAACTACGAGGAGAGAAGAGGAAGAGCGGCAGAAGCAGTTGCGACTGGAGGCGCAACGCAGGGCGAGGCGAGCGCTCCAAGAGCAGCGGAGGAAGAAAATAATTGAAGCAGAGAAATTAAAAACCGTTAACGAACTAGTGGCCAGATTTTACGGAAGATATCTCCTGAGGAACTACATCTTGTCGCCTTTCGTTCGCTTGATCGAGGAGGGGAAACATCATCTGGAAATCGCGGATGATCATTACAGCATGACTTTATCAAACAAGACGTTTACTATTTGGAAGAAATACACGAGGGAAGCGACTGATTTGAAGCTAGAGCGGTGCACAGAGATTTGCAATACGAATATTCTCGTGAGATTCTTCTGCGAATGGATGTCACTGGCGAAGGAGAACATCAAGAAGTATAAAAGTGCTTGGAATTTTTACACTTCACGACTGCGAGGGAAATACTTGAGGGCTTGGTACGCTGAGGTACTGGAAATGCGACTGAGAACCCTGGAAACTCTGCAGTTCGCAATGAATCATTACGATGAAAAGATAAAGCTGAAGTACCTCCGAATATGGCAGACGTACACCAAAATATCCGACGACGTGAACGAAAGTGATAGACAGAAAGAGAAGTGGAGGGCATTGGTGCAGCATGTCGTTCCGAATTTTTGTCCGAAATACAGGGGAGTTATCAGGGATGACTAAAAAACATCAATTATGTACAATACATCATCGAAGACACGATGAATTGGTTATATTTAAACTCCCAATACGCAATACTATTGATAATTCCACACGTTTTGCTGACGTGAAGATCGAGGCCAATTTCTTACATGTAATTTACATTTTTCTCTACGTGAAAGGTGTGATGATCATACTCTTCGTATAAGTTTTATCACAGTTGTAATTAATTTCCATAACGCTCATTAAGTTAAAAAAACCTAGGCAATCAGAATATCAAATGTCAAATAAAAAAAGTGTTAATAAACATTGAAAAACAATTCGGGGTGAGACTGATCTTCTCAATGAATACATAACTATCAATATACAAAAATATTCGACCGCCTTTATGAACAGAATATAAGCGTAAAACGCAGCCACAAACTAGACTGATAATCACTGTAAATAATTACATTTCATTGTGTGCTACAATTAAAATACGGCGCCTATGATAAATTCATAATTCATGACACACTAGTGTGGATATATTGGTCAATAAACCATTGTATTCATTCCTACTCTGGGAGGAGATGCGCCTCTCCTGGGCTGTCGTACGTAAAAGTATCAAATAGATGTGATAAATTAAGTAACTGAGTACCACGAGTCCTATGAGCAAACTGTAGATGGCTGAGACCAGGCACAGGGCGAGACTGAAAGAGACGAAGAAAAATTAGTCATGTTAGCTGACATTTCGTTCTTCAAGAGGATGATAAAACCCCTTACTCTAGCTGATGATAGACATCACTGCAATCGTCTGGCAGGAGAATTGTCCCAATGAGAATGAAGGGGTGACAGACACTCGTCATTGTGAGATTAGAACCGTAAATGAAGGCCACAGCCGAGCATAACAAGCAGCTGAGGTACCATCGTAAATTGCTTGAGCCTATGCAGCAGTCCAACCTGGGATTTAATACATAAATAGTAAGTCCTGATAATGCAAAATTCTTTAAACTTCATTTGAAGAGGTTTATGCAAGCTATTCTGAATGCAATGATTTATTCAAAAAATACGATTATTTTTACGAAATTATACAGCTGCAACGGTCTTGTAGACTTAAATCATGTGCAAGGTGGATTTTGAGAATAAAAATGGACTGAGCAGTCTTCTAACTATTCATTTCATTCATCTATTTCATCACAAGAATAATGAGTAATAAGAATAGCTTCCCTCATGGAAAAGCCGATGAATTAATGAATAAATAAAAATTCTTAATAAAGTTTTTTTTTATACCATTTGCAATGATATTCTCTGTTGGCTACGCAAGTCTGACAAGTGCGGCAATGATATGTTCTCGCTGGTGGAGGTTTTTTGCACAAGAGGCAGACCTCCTCACTCTCCCTCCCAACCTCCGAGTCGTGTTCTAGACTGTCATTCTGCAGGGCAGAATCGGATTTCGATTTTGTTTTTACACCGCAAAATATTCCGCCCACAACTCCCGCCATAAATACACAATTCTCTTCGAAAAGAATTTCTAATAATGGCACAACACACATTTCGAATACCAGCATAAGCATTATAACACTGGTAATTGTCCACATGAGAAAGAACTTTGAGCGCGGTAGAAACCTTAAAAAATTGTGATGCAGGTGGTAGATTATAATTGGCGTTAGTAAAAATACAATCACTGTTAAATAAATTGTTTGAGCGGCTATTAAGGTTAATACTGGTAGGGCTATCAAGGGTATCGTGGCGTCGATTGATACTTGTTTGGTACCACTTCGCCAGCCGGATAAATTGCGCAGTTTATTTAGAATATTCATGTTTCATCTGTATTAGAGTATTTCACTTTGATTTTTGCAATAAAAAAATAAATACAGCTTATCAATAATTTCGATTGGAATTTTTGTTGATGGAGAAGTTTAAAGGTTAGGGTGGCCTACACAACTAAACTGTGCGCACCGCTGACAGATATCATACACCCACTTGTCGCTATACTATATTTTTTTCAATTCTATATGTTGATTATTATTCAGCAAATAGTATTGTTTTTGCTGAGTAATAATTATTCACGCGTTTTCCTGTGGAATTATTTTGCACTTTATTAATTGCTATTTAATTTAATTAAATTTGTATGGGGGGGGGATTTTAAATTTTATCTCTTCGTTTCTCTTTAATTGAAAAAAAATTAATCAGAATAAGAAGCTGATTACATGAGATAGCCCAATTTTTAAAAATGAAAAGCGAGTGTTTTTTTAAATTCTTTGCAAAGTTATTGAATATTTTACAAATGAATGAATAATTGTAATACAAAATAAGTGTCTAACTGATAACGATTATATCAACGCATGTCATTGAATGACTTTTCCGTGCATCTAATGTTTATTCAGCGACTGTTAAACGAAAAAACCGTTCATTTGTCTGATAAGAAATGTTTGAAAAACTATTCTATGCGAAACGAAGTACTGAATCAACCCAGAATTTTCTCGAAAGCTTCGAATTTTTTCCACTACAGAAAACCCTCTCTCCTATCTTTCCAAAATCCAAAAAATTTCTGCGATTCCCCAGAACTTGAAGATTATTTTGCAAAAGAATCCTCTACATGCTGGATGCCTCGAAAGAATGATCTCAGACTCAGCCCGAAGTGGCCCGAGCTCCCCCCACCACTCCGCATTTGTAAGTCCCACCGTGGGGGTGGGGAGTCTTCGGGTGCGGGCCGAAGCCCGCCCCGTCCTGAAGCGCTATAGACTTCCCACACGAATGGGCCTTATACGAGAACCCCCCGGCCGATTGCATCTCAGTTCAACGGCAGCTAAAGTGCACGTAGAGGCGCTGAAGGAGATGCATAAGAAAATTTTCTCCGGCATCTCTCAGTATCCTCGACTGCATCTCTGTTTCTCCACAGGTGGAAGGGAGAAGGGGATAGCAGACGCACCGTTGGTTCTAACGGGTGTGGGTAAAGAAGCCGGGGACAGGTAGAGAGTCGCCGTGACAGGCCCAAACCTGTATACATGTGGTTGGTCATAGTGCAGACATCGGTCCCAACCGTATCGTTCGTGTTTCAACACTTCCCCATCAATTGTCATCCCCGAAACCATTGGGTTTTAATTTCCCAGACAGATTCCTTCGCGGATTAATTTTCGTTGAACTTCTCCCCGGGTTTCGTGCAATTACATTTACTTTTTAATCCGAGTTATCGGAGGTTATCGATGCACTCGAGGTGCCTGTGAACACATCGTGGAGTGGCTGTGTTTCTCGTCTGTTACGAGAGATATGTGCAAATTGACGTTCTTTCATCCCTAAAATTTCAAAGAATGGCTTTTCTTTGTCCGGTGCGCATACGCCGCGGAACGAAGAAGAAATGTACGTGAATAATGTCATTTATTTTTGGGCGGCGATAACTTACTAGCCACTTGACTATGCAGAGGGCTAATTATTCAGAGCTATTCAACAATGTATAACATGAAATGAGTGATAACATGCAAGGGGTGGAAAATAGTGGTCATAATTTTTCCACCGCACGGTATATTCTGGGATTCTTTCGGGGAATTCAGGGAGAAGACCTGAATCACCGAGAAATCGATAAAATTTTTATTCAAATGAAGATAAGAATAACCGATAGCTCCTCGTAATGGGCCCCTGCACGAGTGGAGAAAGTTATTTTTCATTTTATAAAATGACGAAATTGATTTCAGCTGGTGTTCACAATTTCAATCTAGAGAGAGATGGCCTGGGGGGCTCCAGCATTGGGCTGGGGTCCAACAGGGCCACATTACCACCAGGACGTATCACGGGAAGCGCTAGTATTGAAACCCTAGTGAGAGTTGGTATCGAAAAGGAGAATGGCCTGTCACCAGACAGCAAAATGGTCATTGTTCATGACTTCACGCCCTGCGTCGATGACGAGCTTCAAGTCAAACGTGGACAGGTATCACTGAGAAAATCCCCCAGGAGCACCTTCTCCTGGGCATTAAATTAAAAATGAAATCGATTAAACAAAAAAAATTGACCAGGAAAACGATGGAAACCGTATCGAGCAGTTAATGAACAAATAAAAATGATTCCAGGTAGTAAATATTTTGTACAGAGAGAACGACTGGGTTTACGTTATTGCTGCTGACACGAGAATGGAAGGATTCGTGCCTCACTCCTACTGCGCCCCTTACACATCCCAACTCGCTGAGCAAACACTCGCGAGTCTCATGAATAACATAAAGAAAAAATTGCCGCGATCTCACGAGGGGGATGGGGATCTCGTCAACAATGGACGATCCCAAGTCGAGTCCCAGCACACGGACACCGGGTCCGCGTCGGACTGCGAGAGTTATATTCGAAATATAACGACCGCTGACGTTAATGTCAATCGGGCGCACATGACTCAGTCGCAGAACTCAATTCAAACGACGCCCCAGCCTGACGTTCATCCCTTTTTCAAGGTGAGTGAATGGTTCACGAAAAAACCCTGGTTAAGGCTTACGTCACGGAAGCAACGAATTTTTTTTTAAGATTTTTGTTGTCTCCAAATGCATGAGGAATTTCGTATCGACGTTTCTCTAATAAATGAAAGATTTCTTATCTTACATGATTTGATAAAAAGGTCACATGCGTCGCTGGGGTCCCTATCAGTGCGACTGGTTATTATTTCTATTTATTAGCTGAATTATTTTTCCAACCGCCTGCATTAATATCGAAATTTCTCTTTCTCCAGGCCATTTCGTGGCGCTCGGCTATTTTTTGTGATGTTTTGCCAATTCTTATGTGAAAGAGGAGCTTTTGGAATAAATAATAGTTTCTTAGATAAGTTAGAATGAACCAATTACTCAATTTATTTAAAGATCCTTGAATCATCCTTGAATCAACAGTTTAAGTCGACTCCTCCCAGTTGAGTTTTTGAGAAATATTTCTGAATCTGAGGGAGATAGCGAAATTTTCATAATAAGATTTGTTGTAGCTCTCAATCGGCTCTACAAAAAAGGTCGTAACAAAAATTTTGCTATCTCCCTTAGATTCCGAGATATTACCACTTCGCTACTAATTTAATATAGGAGGGAATGGGGTGGACTTTTTTTAAATTACTCATAACTCAGAAACAAATTTATCAATTGAGCTCAGTTTAGGCTCATTACAAAGGGAAAGAAATGTTCTTTGCATTGAAAAAAAAAATTATTGGATTTCATCAACATTTAAAGCTGCCATTAACATTTTAAAAAAAGTCAAAAGTGGCCATTTTACCCCAACCTCCGCTATGTCTTAATTCAGAATCTCCGGTGGTAAATATTGAAACCGACATTTATAGTAATGTTTTGTACATTCTTTATTCTTCAAGTAGACGAGAATAAATAAACTGCCCTGGTAACATTGACAAAAGTGAATGGATTTTTTTATTTTAATTCACTATGGACATTAAAATAGCCGAGAACTCCCGAGATGGCCTGGAGACGGAGAGAAAATTCCTATTTATTAGTTTATACCGTAATCAATATGGTTGCTATTATCGTTTCTCGAGTGGAAAAGCTCCCAAAGCCGATGGAAATAAGCCAACCGATTATTATTGTGTTAGGACCCCTCAGCAGGGAGATACATTGTCCTCTACACCTTCGTCGCCCGAGACGAAAACGACGTAAGTGTGGAGAGGGGTGAGTTCGTAACAGTCCTGAATCGTGACGATCCGGATTGGTTTTGGGTGCTGCGACACTGTGATGGCAACGAGGGATTCGTCCCATCAGGTTTTGTATATCCTGGACACGTACTGCATTCATATGCGACTACTGGGACCACTACAACAACGACTACAGTTGCTAGTGATGTCTCGCATGTATTAGGTTTGTGCAGAGCTGACTATATCAGTAAATTGAATAGTAAAAAATAAAATGAGTAAAAATGCCTTTAAAATGAGTAAAAATGACAATAAAATGAATAAAAAATGTCATTTCACTCTAAATAATTTTTTAAATCCAGGCCATAGGAACGGGGCATCCAACGATCGACAATTGCAGCAAAAAGATCTGCGGGACTTCCGGGACGAAGCGAGTGGGACTGAATTAGTTGTGCTATACGATTACAAGGCGCAGGCGCCAGACGATCTATCCGTGAAACGGGCGGACTGGATTTACGCCGATCTCGGGAATCAGACGGTCGATGGTTGGCTGTGGGCCTATGCCCCAAAAACCAGAAAATATGGCTTTATCCCGAAGGCATACGCTCGCCCTCCTGCCATGACAAGCTTGTAACTATCAGACATTTCATACATTCGGTCTTCGCGTTTTTCGATAGGACGATGGAGCATTTCGGTGCTAGCAGTGGAAAATATTAATATAAATTGTTAAACACTCTTATTAATGACTTGTAATGAAAAAGGGAAAATAAAGATTTTTGAATTTTTATTCTTGCATTCATGCACCTCCGCTTTAATCCCGATCCGTTACATTATTATTTTATAAAAATCCAAATCGACTTCCACCGATAGAAAATTATAAAAAAACATCTCGTCTTGTTGGAGATATTTTCTTTTGGGTGAAAATACCCCGAGTGGAGGTCGCCAATTACGTAATTGACTTTATGATTGACGGCAGCAGTGTAGCAAAGGGATTGTAACGCACCCAATATTTTTTTCACCCCGAGTCAAGGGTGTGCCATCCCGGTTTCAGGAGGTCATAGATAGGTGGCGACACTCCAACAAAAATCCACCTCAAGCCCTCCCTCCCCATGCCGCCCTCACGTTACCTCGTTCCCCCTTTTTTGTATCTCTTGTCATTCTTCAGAGGCCTCTTGGCATGTGCGAATGAAAAAGTTGGCGCACGTGCGATTGCCCCTGGTGAAGGTGGCGCACACAAACAGCGATTTTCCGTCTACAGACCAAGTGCACCCCTCCCGCGCACCCTCCCTCTTCCACCCGATCGCCCATCCCTCTATTGACATCACATCGGATGCACTCGAACACTATTACTCCTGGGAGCACTCATCTACGTGTTCATCCACAAGTAAACGTCTCCTCCATCGACGTATTTTCAGATAATCGTAAATCGCTTTTGATTACGGGCATTCGCGAGAACTGCCCCGATAACTGTGACTCGGATTACATTTGCTGTGGAATAACCGCTCGAAGTATCCCTCGAGCATTCGGGAAATGGGAATTTCGCTCAAACATCAGTGATGACGGCTCAGACCGAGGGAAAAACAAAGTTTCCGAGTGAAGGAGGAGTGGAGGGATAAACGTGGAACGTTGAGAATGAGAGGAGTACAGGGATTTCTGCCAGGGCTGCGGCCGGGTTTCACCGTGAGGGCGAGAGGGGGGTGGTTGCTCACAGGAGAGGCTTTTCGGTTGGAAATTGTGAGTGGATAAAGGACGTACGGCCACCTAGTGGGGGTAGACTGCACGGCCAGTGGCAAACGGCGGGGAACAGAGAGGGGATGAAATCGAAGTGAAGGGTGGCATGTGGAAGAGGGGCTCGTGGTGGCATGAGTTGGCTCACTCTGCGGCTCCCGCCGCTCGGGAGCAGACACGCGGAGCCAAAAAAAAAGCAAAAAAATTTATTTCCACTATTTTGTTAGAAAAATTATAAAAACAATCTACTTATCACAAATAGTACATGTGTAAATATAACAAATTTTCCACGCAACATCGTAATTATATTGAAATCTGGTCTTCGAATAATAATAAAGCCAAAAGCTAAAAAATCATCAATTCCGCAAAGCAAAAAATCGGTTGGGAAATAAATCAAACTAACGTAAAGTTTAAATAATCGTAACTAATTCACCAACTGAACTGGCAAATTGAACTAACTCGTGGTTATTATCTGGAGTGAAAATAATTATTGTTGAATGAGGAGAAAGAACATGGAACCGAGGGTTTGAATCCACGAAAACACAAGAGCAGAGAACATTCACCGACTATTCTAGCGCCGTGAAACGAATTTTCCATAATTATTTTCAATTTAAATGTACAATAATATCGAGCGGAGTATGAATTATTTTGAATGGAATAAAGTAGTCTCATAGGTGTCACTGATTACATTATTTTGTCCCGATTCTTGGGACAGGTTCAGTGTTGTGTCGTAGTAATACTAGAGGAGAGGGCGAAATTCAGCAATAGAGCTTAACCATCGAGAGGAGTATAAAAAGTGATAGAGAGCAAAATTCAAGTGACGAAAGGGTGAGAGAAGCGTGCTCCACCGAAATATGATAATCGGAAAATAGTGGAAGATATAAATCAACGAGGGCACGTTCGACATCTTTACGCACGCGTGAGGTACACGTGACTTGTGCACTGAACTGACTACTCGAAATTTTGTTTTCTCTCTCTTTTCAAGTACCGATTAACGTGATATAAATCTAGTTGCATAATTGACTGAAAGGATAAAACTAAAAATACAAAGGAGATATTGAAGTACGATAGTACATGGTATATCGGTTCACGAAAGTTTGGCTGTGTAAGATCGTCCTCGGGAATGTTCCATCGTTCTCAACTTCTCACCAGGTGAACTGAAAGAAGTCACTGGAATCCCGGTTCATCTTGATTTTCTAGGTTCCAAAGTACCGAAATAAAACCATAAAAGCATTAGTTCGCATCAACTACTTCCAGCGCACTATTACCCCGACAATTAAAAAATACAATTGACGAAATAAAAAAAAGCCAGCAGCGATTATTAAACATCCGGAGTGAAGTGGATTAATTTTAACTGTTGGCCCAATATCACAGTATGGTTAACGTGACTGATAGCATTACGGAAATAACAACAGAAGAGGAAAGAACTTGAGCTACTTAAAATATCAGTGTGTAAAAGTCGATCGATAAAAATCCTCAATCATTGGTGGAGGGAGGGTAAACTATGGCTGGCTACAATCACGCAAATTCACAGCGAGTCGTCTACCACGCGACCTATCCAACCCCACTGGCCCCAAGTAAGACCTATACATACACCCTACGATTCCATATATTGCATCGTTAGTTCTTCTATTCTTCATTACAGTTATCATGATGATTAGTTTTGTAAGAATTCTGGAACCCCTGGATATAACAGGTAACTTATCACATTACATTCCGCCTACCCCAATTTAGCCCCTTCATGTGTGCCTGTCCGTGGGGGAAAAAAATTAATGAATTCATTAATTTTTCCCCTCAACTCCGACCGAGTCTGGATCAGGCTCGCTAACGGGGTCTGCTCCGGCCTTGGGACGGGGTAAAGCTTGTGTGGCCCAACCGTAACTTCTCGCCCGGGATGTGAACGATGTAAAAAAATGGGAAAGTACCTCGTGCACTCGTGGAAACTTTCAGGGCTGAATTGTAGTATAATTCGCCAAAGTTATATCCAGATATCGTGATTGTAAGAAATTGCTCGTGGGAAAAATACTGACACTGACTTCTACCTCTTTTCGGAAGGCATTCGTGGGATGGATAACGGCAATATGGGTGACGGCAAAAGGGTTAGCAATAATTAAACTTCTGTCATTTCACCAAGTTCCATATCAATGTACACGTGATGTGACAGGGCTGGTGGTATTAACAGTTTCACAATTCACGTGAATACAGTTACCCCCGGGGCAATAGGTTTGCATGTCTCCCCGAAACACGAATTGATCGAGTGTAATTTCTTTCACAGTCCGTTTAACAAATCATAACAATGCACATGGCTATCATACATCTTGAGCATAATTTGTATCTCTCACATTCCTGCATTAACTGCCCTCTCAGCTCTCCCATTTTTTATCGTTTATTTATTGGTATTTTGGCTCTGGCTTATTGCAGCCCTAAGAGGCATTTGTCCCACTTTGGTCGGACGAAAATGTGTTAAAGTTTATCCGATCGCAGGAAACAGCCCATGGCCCGTAATACTGTCAAAGAAACAGGTCAGTACGTTGTCGAGGTATACCGAAAGAGACCAATAGATTTCAAGGTTGACTCTGCACGGCGGTGCTTCTAAACCGTTTTTCGTTGATCCATCCTTCTCAATAATAATAATACATGTCCGCCATTCCACAAAATCCATTACGCAAATCACTGTTTTATACTTTCGACAATGTTTTTTTCCCATTCTTTTCTTCATTAGTTACCTAGATTCCGTGAGGGGAGATTTCGTTTGTTATGAGAAATTCTAGCATTCTCTCGATAATCTTCATGCTTCGCTTCAAAACGATAGCATGTCATGTGGGCGAGTGGACCAATGCTGGCGATTATACGGATGTAGCGAAGCATGTGATGGAATTTCACTGTCAAGCGACATTCAGGTAATCACTAAATGACAAAATTTTCAAACAATTCACCATCAATACCCGGACATAATGAGATATTTCAATATTGATAGTGGTTGCTGTCACGATATCTACGATTTATCTTAAAGCCGTATAGAGCTCGAAAATGTTGGAATCCTCCCCATTACGTTATGGTATGCATGCACTGAAATTTTTGATTAAAAAAACCCCTTCCCTGGATGTTCACCTCGTTTTTACGGATTCAATACGAGCGATTGATCGTTGCAAGAAGCTCGGAGACCGTGTTCACGCAGAATTTATCGTCAGACAGTTTCTCATTCTTGTGGACTTGTTATTCTAGATGGCGATCCAATAAAACTACCCGAAAACTTGGAAACATTACCGCGAGCCGAGCATTTTCCGACTCAGAGGCACCGATGGAACACAAACGAGGTGAATACTTCTGTACTATCCCACACGCAGAGAAATGCTCAGTAAAAATTACGGAACTCACAGTTCACTCAGCGATTACGAGGTCGACTCAGAGAATTTAAGTGACGCTATCGTAAATGTTCACACTTCGTTCCTGAATTACGAATTTTTATTGAATATTTCTCTCTTGTAGGGTATAAGTAACATTGAAAGAGGGTTGAGTTGAAGACTTCTGTATGAGCCGAATAAATGAATAATCAACATATTTTCGTGCAATTGAAAGTAATTGTCCGGCGTTTCCAATGAGAAGAGATAAAAGGCTTGTACAACGGGCCAGGGGGATCCGCCGCAACGAAAATTTGGTTCAATTTTCGTCACGTCATTTTCCACTCATCGTTTTCCCCCGATTTTATCGTCATCTCAAGAATTTTTATGTCTCTATCGTTCCTCATATACATGACCAGCTCGAAGATACCTATCGCGGACTACGGTTGATAATACAGCGGTGCGTTGTTATACCATGAGCATACATGTACCTATTTAGCGTGTATTCAAGCAATGTGTTACACCGCGTGTGCATCGTTATGTGTATGGATCAAGCCATAGTCCCTGTTTATGGTATACGCTGGCTGAAAATATATCCGTATTTTCAATGTGTACGTTATATATGGGAACTTGTACAGACATGCGTGTTTCCCAATGTAGTCCACGTTACTACTCTGACCCCACTCGGCCTCCGATCAATAACCGGAGTTACCAAGCTCGGCTGTGTCGAGTCGACTCGAGTTGGTGAGTCTCGAAATGCTTTTGGACTATCTTTCCTTCATTCCTTCCATTCCCCTCCTTTTTTCCACCCTTTCGTTCATCTTAATTCCAACTGTATTGATGACGCTGGATTTCTGAGGCTAGATGAAGTAGTCAATCGATGGCTCAACTGGGGGCATCAAAATTAGGGATGAACCACTGAATTCAGGCGTGGAACGAACCACTTTTTGTTCTACTTTTTCTTTGGTTGATCGGTGGGCTCCTGGGAATTTTTGAGTCTAGGATTTTGGGGGAAATTACGTCGAAGTTCGGTGAAATGGAAGATGTGATATTGAACTCGTCCGATAGTCAGGAAATTTCATGAATAGGAATGAGGCTAATCGGTAAATAAACCCGTTTTCATTCGAGAGAATGAAACATTGAAAAGGAATGCCAATTCGTAAACAAAAAATTAAAATGCAAAAAATAAAACTGTTCTCATTCGAATACTAATTCATAAAAAAATTGAATGCAATGAAAGCCTAAATTACGGATGAAGCACTGAATTAAGGTGTGGAACGAACCACTTTTTGTTCTACTTTTTCCTCGGTTTGATAGGTGGACTCCTGGAAATTTTCCATTTCACGATTTTGGGGTGAAACTACGTCGTAGTTCGATGAAATGGTAGATCTAATATTGAACTCGTCCGATAGTCCCGGAAATTTCATGAATAGGAATGAGTCTGATTGGCAAATAAAACCGTTTTCATTCGAAAGAATAAATCATTAAAAAAATAGAATGCGATGAAAACCCAAATTACGGCGAAATTAATGGGAGAGGGGAGTCTGTACCGATATGTCTGCAACAAATGAGAAATAATGCAAGATGACAAACTCGCGCAGGGTAACTGATGGCGGTCGTCCTAAGTTTCGGATTTCGTAACTTGGCGAGACAATGGTGGGGGGTTCGAATCCCGGTTGGGTCGAACTTTCCAGTCTTTAATAGAGTATATATCTGACTAAACAGATCACTTCCTGCTGCATTCTACACGAGAAACGATAGAGATGTAATCATACGAAATATTTACTATTTTTATTTTCAACTGAATTTGTTGCAAGCGCGAGAACTTGCAATTGGCCATTGCCCGAGGGCCTTCAGCCAGTCAAATGAAATATATTTTCCTGATCCGCATTAACCCCTCAAGGACAGGGTCCAAATACGTATACGGACCCAAGAAAAAACGCTTTATTCTGTTCAAAACTGGATAATTCCAGAACTGTGACAGATAATCCAATTCCGCCAACGCCATTCGAAAGCTGGATAGTGTATCTTCAATTTCCAATGCGTTCCATAATTTCTCCTGCATCAGAATTTATCGAATGTCAGTGGTATTAAGCGCACGTCAGCCTTCGTACCAGAAAGATCCCGCACGCGAGGGGTTAAAAAATTTGGAAATGGGGGTTTGAATCCCGGCTGGCCGTTCAATTTTTCCAGGAAATAGCTGCCATACTGATCAGCTTCCAGCGGCACACAGAATGGCAAAGTCGCGAGGTGAAGGTGCGACCCCGCAGCGGTTCAATGTTGCTATATTCGCGGAAGAAGGTTCGCTACCGAAGGGATGGCTACTGCTGGAAGAAGCGAAAGGACGGGAAAACGACTCGCGAGGATCACATGAAGCTGAAGGTCAGTATAACTCTCCCCGAACCTAACGACGAATATCAAACCCGAAATCAATGCAATGGAAACCCGAAGGTCCAAGGAGTGGAGTGCATTTACGGATGCTACGTCCACTCGGCGATACTTCCGACGTTCCACCGTCGCTGCTACTGGCTCCTCCAGAACCCCGACGTCGTCCTCGTCCACTACCTGAACGTTCCGTACCCCGACGGGGACGCAAAATTGGCAGCGCTCCCGCCATGTTTGGTGCTGCCGCCTGACAAGAAAGAGTGGACGAGGGACGAACTGGCCGCCCAATTGAGACCAATGTTTCTGGGTAGCGACGATGATCCCAATAATGCTCATCTTAATCAGCACTCCACACATCCCGTTGACATGATTGTAACACAACTGCTGGACAGACAACGGGCGTCATTAACTACATCATCTAGTGGTGCTCAATTAGCTCCTAGGAGATTAACACCTGACAATCAGGTAACGAGCGGACGATAGGCGTTAAGCCTCGATCACTCGCCCGATGAGCGCGGCGTTTTTTTCTATTTTAGCGCATTTCTCGACGCTTCGAAATTCCGGAAAAATTGGAGTTTCTAGTTCAATGCTTTTATTAAGCGTTGGCGTTGTCTGTTTTTTTCTCGGGGAATTTGTTCAGCTAAAAAATAAAAAGAAACAGCCGGCGGAGAGTGAAGCGGCGTCGCGCCGACCGGTGCGCGTGAGTCCCTGCCGACCGCTCGAGCTACAGTGTTGCTACACTTACTGGTATACTTGAACTACGCGGATAGCGGTAAGCGTCAAGATGGCAAGAGCGCTGCGCTAACCGCGTGACGGATGCCCGGCAAAAACGCACGTCTGAATTTCACACACCTTTTGTAGGCATTTTTCAGACACTAAAAAACGTCTGAAGAAAATGAAAATTTGTCTGAATTTCGGACGAACCGGTGCCTAAACATCCTAATTATTTTCATTGTATTCAGACGTTTTTTAGTGTTTGAAAAATGTCTACAAAAGGTGTTGCGAAATTCAGATATTTGTTTTTGGTGAATGAAAGCTGGCTGTCGAGGGCGAGTGATCGAGGGTTAAATCGAGTGCATCTCCAAGCGACATTCTCCCAAAATCGTTTGATTCCAGGTGACTTCGACGACTGGAGGTCAGCACTCCTCGTCGACGGGGTCATCAGCCACCCGCGTATATTCCAGGCACTCCCACCCGACCCAAAATCCGCAACCGACACCTCTCGTCCTAAGCTTGCAACAGATACAGGGTGGAGGTGGTCTTTTGATACTGAATAGTCAGCCCTATCACCACCCACAGCAGTCGCAGAATCAGCAAGAGAAGCAGGCCCAGTCGCAGGCTCAAAATCACCAGACCGAGATCCAATCAGTCACCGACCAGCCGTCGGTGCAGCAGACGAGTGTCGACCGTGAACAGCAGACACAGCAGGACATCGACACCCAAGACACCACCGAGAGACCAGTGCTGCAAACGATAGTAACGACCGGAAGTGGCGCAGACGTCACAGAATTCGTGGAGACCCTCGATCTCAGCCAGGAAGACATCCAGAGGACTCTGTCAGCGAACATGATGCCGTCCTCACCCTCGCCGTCCCCCGCCGATAATCACATAATAAATCCCATGGACTTCATCGATTCATCCGACGATGTGTTGGTCAATCTGGACGCTTTCGACGTTTTCGGCGATTTGCCGGAGCTTCACGACTTTGAGACTGAACAGATAAAGACCGAAAGCCGAAGCACTTCATCGCAGAACGACAACGCGCGTCCTCCTGGCGCAACGGTCCACATCGCCGAGTACAGCCCTGAGTGGAGTTACACCGAGGGCGGTGTCAAGGTAAGTAACTCAGTAGCGAAGTGGTGAAACGGTTCAAGTCAATTTTGACTATTGCCCAGTTTTCAGTGAATATCTCTGAATCTAAGGGAGATAGGAAAATTTTTGTTACAACATGTTTTGTAGCGCCGATCGAGACCTACAATAAATGTAGTTACGAAAATTTCGCTGTCTCCCTTAGATTCGGAAATATTCCTCAAAAACTCGACTGGGAGATGAGTCGACTTGAATCTTTTTACCACTTCGCCACTGGATTAATAAAAGGGAAAGAACCCGAGGGAATTGAAATCGGGGAATCTCTTCAGGTATTAGTCGCAGGACCGTGGACCGGCGGGGGAAGTTCGCAATCGTACTCTGTCCTCTTTGACACGGAGCCCGTTGAGGCGTGTCTCGTTCAGCCCGGTGTATTGCGTTGCCGTTGTCCAGCGCATGCACCTGGCATAGCTTCCCTCCAAGTAGCATGCGACGGATTTGTTGTGTCCGATAGTGTTGCCTTTGAGTACAGACGAGCGCCCACGACCGAGCCTAGTCCTGAGAAAGCACTCCTGGATCGCTTCGCGGATGTAGAGTCACGATTACAGGGTCCCGGTCCGCGTTCGCCAGTAGCACACCTCGAGGAGCGATTAGTAGCGTACTGTCAGGTAAAGCGAATGATCGACGAATTCAGTAGCGAAGTGGTAAAAGGAGATAAGTCGATTTTGATTATTGACCAGTTTGCAATCAATATTGTTACGGAATCGAGTGGTTTAATTTATCCTCTTCCCCTCTTTGGTCAAATAAAGGACTGATGATTGTTATTCTAATGTTGAGAGATAACTCCAGGACGGATTTACTTTTTTTTATCTTCGATTCTGAAGAACTGTCAATAAATACGCCTCTACGATTTTTCTCGACTTATTACTTTAATAAATATAACAATATCTCGGAATCTAAGGGAGATAGCGAAATTTTTGTTAAAACCTTTTTTGTGGAGCCGATTGAGTGCTACAAAAAAGGGTCTGACAAAAATTTCGCTATCTCCCTTAGATTCCGAGATATTGATTGAAAACTGGTCAATAGTCGAAATTGACTCATCTCCTTTCACCACTCCGCTACTGAATTAGACTGCGATCGGAGGATTTTACTCGGGGGATTTTAGGACGCGGTGATTCGTCCTTGGCGAGCTGGTGCTGAGCCCCTGCAATCCACGGGGCCAACGCTTCTTCATCTGGCGGCTGGTCTCGGATACTCGCGGCTCGCGTGTGCTCTGCTGCACTGGCGCGCGGAGAATCCAAGTAGTGTTCTAGATGCGGAAGTCGACGCTCTCCGGCAGGACAACGCTGGCATGACGCCGCTGGCCTGGGCGTGCGGTGCAGGACACGCCGACACTGCGCGTATCCTTTATAGGTATGGACGACGGATAAATGTGATGGGCTTGCGATTGAGGATAAGCCTCCGTCGAAAAATATATTTAAAAAATATATAACATGTGCCAATTCCATATTTTTCATGCATTCTTTATAAATTTGGAAAATTAAATTAAATTGAAATCAAAGTGTTGAATCAAATATTTTAGTATTAAGTATTTTAGGCCTGGTTGCGCCAGCTCTCGGTATCGAAAACGTCAGATAAAAAAAAAGTAAATTTGGATGTTCGATGGATTAATTTACCCGGGAGAGTATCTCAAATTTATCCCAGGAACATAAAATACAATTTAATCCCAAGGCTAGGACAGTGTTAATTCAAATGGGGCGACAGGATAAATAAAAAATTCTTCGGGTCAAATATTGAAAAATTATGACCCCGAGGGTAAATTTTACCCTGGGGTTTATTTGGATAACAGGGCTTGGTGCAACCGAGCCTTAGTATTTAATTAAATTTCTTATTTCCATGTGTTTTTTAAATTTATAAAGAATATATAAAAAATAATAAAAAATAAATATTCTTTATGCAAATTGGGCCAATTCAAGATATTTTTTTATATATTTTTCAAAATATAAATTTTCCGTGTGAGAGGAACAGTGAGTCTACAAGTGTGTTCCATTATTTTATTTTTAAATTTATTTTTATGTATTTATTAATTTATGTTTATGTATTTTTTTAATTTATAACGAATATATAAAAGACAATAAAAAATAAATATTTTTTATGCAAATTGGGCCAATTCAAGATATTTTGTTATATATTTTTCAAAATATAAATTTTCCGTGTGGGAGGAACAGTGAGTCTACAAGTGTGTTCCATTATCCACTCAGATGGAACGCGATGGCATTGTGTGTGAAGGACCGCCAGAACAGGAGTGCCACGGAGATCGCAGCGGAGAATGGTCACGCGGTCATAACTGAGGAGCTGAATCGTTTGGAGGCAAGGCGGCAGGACGAACGTCTTTTCTTGAGACCCGCCAGCCCGAGTCCGCGGAGACCTTCGCAGGACAGCGGTCTCGATTTGACGTCATGTTAGTCCTTTCACTTTACTATTCTCCAGAATTACTGACTCAAAAATTAGGAAAAAATGCAACTAGAGATGGGCGATGTTTTCGTGCTGAATAAAAAACCATTGATCCTATGCTAAATTTCCCACGTCGCACATCCCTAGGTGCAACAGCGTGCGTTCTCACTGTTATCTCATCGTATCATCAAAAATCCAAACATTGCAGAAGTTCTTTCGCTCTTTGCCACTCCCCTCCTGAAAGGGGGGATCAGAACAACCCTCAATTATCCCAATGTATTACCTCCACAATTATAGCGAGTATCTCTAGAGTTTTAAGGGGTTTTGTAATCGAAAAACACAGGTGGCTCCCTGCTACTGGACAATATGGAATTTTCCCAAGAAGATGACTCATCCGTAGGGATTGGTTCACAGCGAATGGAGAGTACTTCAAGCTCCCAATCGTCCGTAGGTCCGTACCTTTTCACATTGGAAAAGAATATACATAGAAAAAAGAAGTCACAAGAACTCCTTCTGCCTGCGCCTGTGTGTTATGTCTGTCTGTCTGTCTTTGTGTACCCAAATAAGCATAAACACTATCTTCATGTTGAGTTGTATTTGATTTTCAAACACTAATTTAGATGTCAGTGTAGAACCTACACTGTAGACCATCTGGTTTATCCTCTCTCCGACAAATCAGAATGTACAAAAATCGATGCATTAATTGGGACAGATAACAGGGCCATTCCGCCAATTACCAGCCACCGGTTTCATGACATGTTATGGTTGAACGGCACTTGGTGGAATAATCCCCATACATCCTGATTATTGAACTATCGAACATTGAAAACAGAAAATACCATCACCACTCTGTACTACCTATCTCTCAAACTATTTCGGCTTCAGCAATATTGATGTGGCTTGGCCTTGGGACAGTGTGAGATAATCTTGACAGTTATTCGTATTGAGAGAGATTGGATGCCCCTCGAGGGGCCTCGAAATGACTTTTAGTGAGCTTTGGGCAGTGACGGGAGAGCATCCAGTGGAGAATCTACATCCGCTAAACCACTCTCTTAAGTACTCTGTCGTTTGTCTTTTCAGTGCAAAGATATTTATCATTTCAATGACAACCTACGCTCAGACGACACAGGAGAAAACCCAGAGTCCAAACTTTTCGATGTTGATGTTTCAATGTGTAGTATAACGAGATTAATCTTGTCAGAGATTGCCTGCCTAGCGAGCTCCGCTAAACCCCCCGTTTCCTATTTTGTAGGGGAGGAAGATGTGCGGGTGTTGACATTAGCCGAACAAATAATTGCCGCTCTTCCAGAAAGGATTAAGAGGGAGAAAACTAATCGAAGTACATCCCTGCCACCTCCCTCGCCCACACCGTTGGCGCTACTCGAGGACCCCCTCACCGAGCCAATGGTAGAATTTACCTTTTCAGTTATTTGACGATTCAAAGACTTAAACCAACGATTCATGTTGACGAAATATTTCTCCAGCCCCTCAACTCCAGCGAATTATTCGACTGCTACCGCGAGTGCAGTGGCGGTGCCGCATCAATGTCCGACGCGGACGCTGAAGCGAGTCCGTCAAGTCCCTCGAGCAGCTGCCTAACACCGGATTCGCCTTCGCCATCGCCGACAACCTCCGACTTCTGCGAATTTTTGCAACTGCAGCTGCAGCTGGACAACGGACGTGGTTCCACTCACAATTTCCACAATGTGGACAGACCGATGGGATCGAGCATTTACAGCCGAACGGGGAGTCACGCGAGTGACGGCAGCGAAGCGGACCTCAGCAGATTGACACTGTCCGATCGCGAGCAGCGGGAGCTTTACCAAGCAGCGCAGATGATCCAGAAAGCGTACAGGAGCTACAAAGGAAGGCAGCGCCAAGAAGAAGCCGAGCGACACGCGGCCATTCTCATACAGCAGTACTATCGCCGTCACAAACAATACGCATACCACAGGTAGATTTAACGCGCGGCACTGGCAATTGTCTCGGTATTTGATGCATTCGACGTTTTGCTAATTGCAGACAAGCCAACAAGGCGGCTCTCGTCATTCAGAGCAACTACCGCAATTACCGCGCTCGTCCGAGCTTCAAAAGCACAAGACAACAGTCCGTTCATCAGCAGGCGGCGCATCAGGCCGCGAGGAAGATTCAGCAGTTCATGCGGCAATCGAAAATCAAGTGAGTTTTCCATATTTTAACACTAGTCTGGTCACCTGACGGGAAAATGCGGCATGAGTCACTTTCGCGGGAGAGTGCCGCCGTGTTATTTAGGCTCCAGCGTTGCCGAATCCACTCTACACTTCCCGGGCGCGTTTAGCGAGTTCCCAGCAACGTCGCGCAACAGGCGATTTCATTTAACACGGGAAAAAATTGTTCACCCGTTGGAAATAATTTTTCATTACGCTGTGACGAAAAGTGAATTTCCGCCACATTGTGATGAAAAATATTGTTCGTAACTCGTGAAAAAATGTTTTTTAGCTCGTGGGATTATATCACTCGTCTTCGGCTCGTGATATAAACCTTCCACTCGCCAAAAAAACACTTTTTTGCACTCGTTACGAAATATACTATTTTTTCTCCCAGAATTAAGGATACAATATTGAAAAAAAAATACTGGAATTTCCCAAAACGACGTGTTGCGGCAATTCCCTCGCATGGTGACCAGTCTAGGGTTAACATTAATATTAATCGACATCTAATGAAACAAGGGCATCTCGAAATCACTGGCAAAAATCGTCTGAAGCTCACATTTTCCTTCACTTGACAACTGTATAAATTGTATGAATGCATTATAATAATAAAATGATTTGCGAGCTCCGTGAGACTTAGAAATGGATGTGAACAACAAGCTTTCACATGAATTTTGAGTTGCCCCTGTTTTAAAAAGAAAATTGAAATACCCTTGCTTTATTAGATGTCGAAATGTAATTCTTGAGTTTCACGCGAAGAATTTTCCCGAAGAATTAACACAAGACACATTCTCCTTATTTAAAAATGCAGCTTGTCCTTGGATGACACACGACCGGTGAGTTTGCGACAATTCATCATGATCAGAGGGCAAAATGATAACAGGCAGAGGAGATAGTTGAAAGTGTTATTGATAATATGACTCACCAGTAGATCTCCCGTTTTTGTAGACTGCAGAGCGCCAGGGTCGTCGCAAGAGGGAACGCGAAGCTGCCAGTGCAACATTTACGAATGGCTGTTGTCCACCGAAGCTAGCCCTGATTTAGCCTAGAAGTTAATTGAGACGCCATCGCTTCTTGGTCTACCAACCGATACTCTTGGTAGTGATAGAATGCATAGTATAGCGTTGAAAAATGAGTGCTGGATGAACGGTGTTTGTGGTTTCAGGTTGCTGAGCCTCAATTCGAATCCAAATAGAGCGACCAAATTGCGAGGTGGAACTTCTGACCGTCCATCATGCTGCCTCCCTGTCAACACCTAGAGACCCAGCTGGTAGAGCTGGGCTTTCTCGTTTCATCGAAAGATTTGTTGATGAAAACGTGATAAAGAGAGACTGGATTGCGAACGTACCGAGTGCAGATTTTTGGTTTGCCTGAGAGGGGCAGATTTGGCTTTGAGCTGCGAACAGCCTCGAACACTGGCCAGAAATAAAAGTGTACGCTGGACATTGAATCGAAAATTGGGCCTCCTGCGAATTAAAAAAAATATATGGAAATTACTAGAAAAGTGGATCTATAAATGAAACCCTATTGATTGAAAAAAAAAAATTGGCCACTAGGACTTCCGTTGATCACTTGATGAGCGAAAATGGGGGCTGTTTGCGGCTCTAGCACTGGCCGACGCAGAAAAAAGCGTCGACATATTCGGTTACTGAGGATGCCACCTCCCGCTCGTCCCCCGAGTGGAACGAACTCTTTTTTTTTAAAGTTTGCCCAAGTCTCCAGAGACTGACATTCCGCTACCACAAAAATGGTCCTTGGTAGCTCATTTCTCCGTTATAAAATTTGTTATGCGAAAATAGCAGCAGAGAAGACCACAATGTGGATTCGAAGCCGCTTCTTCCTTGAAAGAAAAATTTCTTCAAACAAAAGTCTTATCTAATATATTTGACAAATACTGCAATATTGTTAAGTCTTATATTTGCAAGCACGGCGTCGAATAATGCAAACACTTGAATCTTCTACTCTTCTCATTTTAACTCCAACTCATGATATTTCCTAGGACTTTTTTCTGAAATTTTTAATCAAACTGTTTACGATTCGTTATTGCTGAGTTGATTTGTTATACAGATTAAGAATAAAAATGTGAAATCAAATTTCTGATACAGTCTAGTTTAGGAAAATGCCCGCAATGATATCGACATATCATTTAGTCAGCCCTTTTCATAGAGTTCTGTTCATCGATCAGGATAATTATGAAAATGAATCGAATCGTATCGGCACACTCTTTTCAAGATGGCGCTGCGGGATGAGATTCCAAAGATGTACATATTTAGTGAATAACATTTAGAGCATTTTGATGACATCAATTTTCCATCATTTTACGATGATTTAATCTTCTCAGACTTTTAGTCCAGAAATCAATCGATCTAGACTTCTTGAGCAATCAATTACCGGATAATTCCACCTTTGGGAGACAGCGTCAACTAATTGACCCTGTAATGCAGATGTTTCTTTTATTTTCCTTTTGAGAGCTATTTCCCCATGACATTGACTACAATCGCTAAAATAGTGTTTATATTGAAAAATAACCTGAAACTCTTGCGCGTTGGTGATAAAAAAAATCTATTGCTACATAATGTGATAATTCCATGGTGATCAAAGAAAGTATTTCCGATGCTTTGCAGATATAAGAACAAAGAACAAAATTCAAAGTAAAACTGATTACAGTTACGCAGACCCGATCTGTCTGAAGGGCTCAGTATTTTCGGATGAAAAAAAAAGATAACTCTGAAAGAATAGGATTCCAACGATGAGAATAGGCGAGGTGGTGTCACCGATAAAAAAAGATTTAGTTGTTAAGCTCACACGCTCAATCCCTTCAGTTCCATCATTACGGAATATCAAGAAATCCGATGGTCTTGATCATTGCGTATTAATTGTAGATATTGGATTAATTGGATAAGCGTTACGATAGTGATAAAAAAAATTGCATTATGTAAAAGGAATATGTATATACAGAGAAGATATACACATGAGTCAATTCCAACCAACATTTTCATGCATTAAGCTTATAAAAAAGGGTATCAGTGCTTAATTGAAATTAAAATAATGAAGACGAGGCAGAAAATATTAAATTTTTCAATCAGTAAAATTTAACTATAAATTAATTAACAATCTCAGCTCGTTCCTATTAAGGAAGAGTGAATGAGATTCCAATATATTGTATACAAACAAGTATAATATATTGAGTATTTTTGCTCTTTATACATTCCAGTGATTCACTCATTGAAGTTTAGTAATCTGAGAGGTATGCGCTCTGTTAATAGAACAAGTACATTATTTCAGGAAAGTTAATCGTACGCTTTTGCCTATGCAGGGAAAAAGTTCTACGAATTTTCAGATTTTACATAAAAATTAATTCTTAAATAAATGAATAACGTTACTCGACGAGATTTATAGCCACTTCTAAGCGAATCTGACATAGCTCCTACGAGTATCTACTACTAATTTTTGAACCTTAATGATTCATGGAAAGTCATCAAGTCGTATGTTTCCTAGCCTCCTCAATCTACGACCGATGAGACAAATTTATTTATATCTTTGAATCACATTCCAATTGAAAAATCGAGAGAATCGAAACAAAAATAACCATAAATTAAAAATAACCACGATAGAAAAGAAAATGACAATTTATTCGCATAGACGCTTCGAAGATGACAACTTGAAGACGTAATTTTAATCAAATGAATCCTCACAAAGAAAAGTCATGATTAGTACAAGAAAAAATAATAACGGGAAAAAAAAAGTTTTTAAATCTTAAATAATGAAGCCAAAGCATGGCCTACTTGCTGCCCCTTAAATTAGCTTCGAATAATCAACTTTAACTTCTTTACTATTGAGAGTCACAAAAAAATTACAAGACATCGATTAAACGAGAGCGTCAGCCAACTTTACCGATAGATAATGCAAACCGAAGGTATAAATAGTTTAACTTCAAACTTGTTTATTTTACCAATGATTCAATTTTATGACTTCACGGGAATGACTATGTCCCAGATACAGCGTTTCAATAATATTCCGATATCTTTCTACAGCTCTTCTAGGATTCGTCGCAGGCAACAAAATCAATGAAATGGTCGCTTCATTTTCTATTTCAATAAATATCGAGTCATTTTGAACGGCAACAATTGGAATACAATACGTGATATGCCCGTACGAATTTAGCCACAAGGATGTCGCACTTTGTCACTTTTGTCCTCTTTGCTTTTTAGAAAAAAAAGACTAAATGCTCCATTTTCTTATAATACTTCGACTCGCATAAGAGAGAATCGATAAAGCATAGGAAAGAAAATACGAGAACCGACAAAAAAATAATGGAATAATGATGTTAACTAATGAATGAATATACCTCTGTTTATCATTTTATCAATATCGTTCAACGAATATTGTAAATAACGAAACAATTTTATCTATTCCCGATTTTGGGGGAGACGGATGGTAGTATTAATTACCTCACAGTGTCGTCCAAACGAAGATGATGATTTTCAATTATAATCATTATCCGTCTTCTTCTTCATTGTTACTCCAATTCATCATTGCATTTAATAAATTATATATTTATTGACTCACTTACCTATTGAATTACCCCTCGATGTTTTCAATGTTTCTCGCACCCAATTTTCAATCCCAATAACTCCAAAATTTTTGTTGTCGTCGTGATATTACAAATAAATGGGCGAATGCTTCAGTTTTGTACGCGAAAAATGGTCCTCAAATTTTTGAAGCTCTTCTGTTTCAAAATGCGAAGGCAATTCTTCACGCACTCAATTCCATCATCTGTTTCGTGGGGAATTTACACAAAAATATTCAACGAAATCGGTTCATATTCTCCCGCAACAGTGTATTTAAAGCATACAAACAGTACAAATTCTTCCTCTTACCATGTTGTACAGTAAATCGTGTTTTTCACCTGCATGACGTCGCTCCGAAAACTGATAGTCGTAGGAGTATCTTATACGCTGTATTTTTATTATTTCTCATCATCCGATATACCATACAAAGTGCCACAATTTTTTCAAATGAGTACATTGAAACAAAAACCCGAATTAGTGCATTATCATAGAAGAAAAATCGCTGGCCACCGGCTGAGAAGAGTGCGAAATTCCAGGATCAGAAAATTTGAACACGATGATTTTCCCGATCGCACACAACAATATTCCCCGACGAGGTGACAGCCACTCCCTCGAGCCCCTTGAACTCGCCGTCCCCGCTGCCCCAGTTGCCGAACGCCCGGACAAATCCCCCCTCAGGTGTGAATATTTGAATGCGATTGTTGCCAGAGTCGGCGACGACGATGTAGCCTTGATCGTCAACGGCAACACCCCGTGGAAACTTGAACTGACCGTCCTCAGTGCCTTCAGACCCAAATGCCGACAACACCCTCCCCCCCACATCGAATATCTGAATGCGATGATTATTGCTGTCGCTGACAATAACTCGATTCGTATTGCTCACAGCTATGTAGTGAGGATGCTCGAGTTGTCCTCTGCCACTGCCACAGGCACCAAACTTACCCACAAATGTTCCATCCGATTGGAATACCTGGATGAAAAAAAAATAAAAAAAAATTGGAACACCTAGAGTCAACAGACGATAACGATTACATTCTGCTGCGTGTTGAGGTGGCATTTTAGTTGAGGGGCTATTCACAGGCGAATTGGGTGACACCGCGATTGCGCCTGTGAATAGCCCCTCGCATTTTACGTACCTGCACACGATGATTCTCCTTGTCGCAGACGTAGATGAACCCTAGGGCGTCGGTGGTGATGCCCCAGGGGTAATTGAAGCGCCCATCAGCGGTGCCTTGCGACCCAAAAGTCCTCAGGAAGTGGCCAGAGGGGTCGAACACCTGGATCCGATGATTGTACCGATCAGCAATGATGAATTGCCCAATCCTGTTGACCGCGACCCCCGCCAGACAGTCGAACTGCCCTTCCCCGCTCCCGTAAGCGCCGAATTCGTTGATAAACTTGCCGTTAGAATCGAAAACCTGAACGCGATGATTCGAACTGTCCGCGACGATGATGGAATTGTCAGGACCTACGGCAAGACCTCTCGGCCACGTGAAACATCCGGCTCCGCTCCCCCGCATCCCAAATTTCAACAGCTGTCGCCGCTTCAGCATGTACTGGTTCCTATTGGAGAACACAGTGACTGTTATTGATGTTAATTGGGGAATTCGCGAGGTTTTTAAACTTCAGATTCACCTAGTTGAGGAACCTGCTGCCGCGGGGATACCTTGAGCTGCTGTAGGGGACGTGGGGGAGCCTGACGGGTTTTTTTGGTCGTCGTCAGAGGATTCGAAGGAGGTCTGGCCGACGTGTCTCAGGGGTAAACCGAGGGACAATCTTCGCGATGCGGCACTCGTGCTGAAAGGGGAAATATTCTAATTGTTGGAAGTGGGACGGGGTGAGCTAACTTATATTATTCATTTCGTCACACTTTCCAACATTTTGACTTCTCCCGGGACACAGGGTATCTAACGTGAAGCTTGCGTGATGTGAAAGAGATTAGTGTTAAACTTGGAATGCACAACAGATTTCTCCAACTTTAATTGGAAGATTATTATTACATAATAATAATCCGATAATATTTTTAGTCTCCAATTCTCAATTTCTGTGATTTAGTCTATTCATTTATTCTATTCGAAAAGAAATCCATTTTAAAGCTTTCCGGAGACATTGAAAAATTATTTTCTTTAGTTCTTCCCGCTGAAATATTGCCTTCCCTCTAATACTTGAAGAAAAAAGGGATTTGACGTTCCCGCCGATATAAAAGAAGAAAAAAATCAATTTTCTAGCCGATTATCCCTTTCTGATTCTTTTTTCATTTCATTCTCATAATGATAATTAGAATCCGACCATAGGAATGAAGAGTACCGATATCCTTTTACCGTAATTCCTCTTCATTCAACATTGTAACTTGTGAATTAAAAAAAATATATATAATAAGAAAGACAATGAATAAAATTAAATTAATCTAATTATGAAGCCGGAAAAGGAAATAAAATAAAATAAAACGGTATAAATGAATCTCGAAGCGCCCGTTCGCTAGTCTCAAAATATAATGAATTTTATATAGAAAACATCTAAAAAAATCGGGAGCACATACCTAGAGGAAGGAACCGATGAAGTAGATGTAGACTCCTTATCCTTAGTACCCCGATTTCCATACTTATTCTTGAGATAACGCGCCCAGGAACTGAGCGCAGCGCCATCTTTCTCGGCGCCGGCCCGATCGCGATCGGGACTTGGCTCGCGCGACTTTAGCGCATGCGTACTGCGACTGCGGGCCAGTTCAGAACCGGCGCCGTACTTGGCCGCTAGATAAGCGTTCGGCGACTGAGTCGTTGGCGACGGTGGATCTTCATCGAGATCGAGATCGTCATTAGCAAAATTGTGAGAACTCCTTGATCGGGCCACCCGCTGGCGTCTCTCTTTGAGGGCAGCGTAGCGAGTGCGCGGCGACAGTGGCTCCGCCTCAGCCTCCGGTTCTCGTTCTCGATCGCGTTCTCGTTCGCGCGGGGCTCCCACTGCCGCTTGGCTTCTGCTTTTATTCAGAAATCTAGAATTCCAATCATTTTTGTGTTTAAATCAGAGTGTGATACGGGTCCTGTGGGGTTCAGTGTGTGAGAAAGTGAAGGGATTGGAGCATTAACTACCTAGTGCTACCGCGAATGCAGCTGTTCAGAGGTTATGTACCGGATACCGGCGATCAAGTTATCCAAATGAATGGCGATCGCACGATCGAGGTAGCGTGAGTAGCAATTTTTTTTCAATCAGATAGTCTTTATGACAGAGATGGGATCTATGAATAGACTCATTCACTCGACATTCGTCAATAACACGAGCACACGTGACCAATTTATCACGACCACTGGATATTCCTGGCAAAACATGCAACGCCTGTCCTCTGCACTTTTTCAACTTGTCGATTAACAGAAAAATCAATATTGATGTTATGTTATGGTGTTTCCTGTGTCGTGACATCTAGTCTCTCTCTGACATTTACAACAAGCTGTACGTGTGTGTAAATTGTCTTCTCGATCATATTGCGTAACGGTAGATCACTCAGAGGTGAAATGACAACTATGAGATAAACTTGAGTTCTGTGATATATTACGTTGAATTCCATAACCTCAATCCTCGCAATTTCAAAAGGGAAAAATAAACAAAACGAGTTAGTATAAGACTGCATTTTATTTACTACATCAACACACTGACGCATTAAAATGCTTCATTATATTCAAATTGAAAAAAATAGTACAAAAAACTGAGCAATCAATCACGCAATTGATAGACGACGATAGCAGAAAATTAGCGTCGATGACTAGACGTACAAACGAAAAAAAAAAACGACTATACGAATAATTATCACAATATCTGGCGAAAAGGGAAATGCAATGTGACAGTATCTGTCTTTCTCGAAAATTAATCATAATCGCGGTGCGGGATATATGCTTTGGATATTGTTCAATGTGCCAACAAGTTCATCATGACAAAAGCAGATTTGTAAGTACTCCGTAACACAGGACTGACACGCAGAAAATGGTGGTCACCATTTGCATCGGTATGGGACTTGCACTAACTTCCTTGGTTTTCCCATCACCATGTGCAGTTGTCTCTCTCACGAGACTGTCATTATCATTCTTAAGGACTCCTTCAGCGCCTCTCTGAGGCCATTCCTCTGAAGCTTCGCCACTCGAGTCAATCTTTGAATTCTCAGACCTTCGCTGTCTACTTTTCCCAACATCCACCTGTTCTTGTTTACGATTCATTCCATTTGCCAAGATTTCGACATCACTCGCCACATTTCCTTGGGCAGCTTCAACCTCCGAATTTTCAGACAAGCATTTGGTATCTGTCACGGAATTATTCACCTCACCAATTACTTCAACCTCACAGGAGTCATCGGTAACCAATATTTCAGTCCTGGCATCACCTCGAATGCCGTCAGTATCATCGTTGCGGTTATCAATGTTTCGTGTGAGATAAATTGGAATCTTCGATTTGGTCGCCTCGAGATCTTCGCTCGTTACAATCCACCCCTGGTCGTCAAATAAATGCTCAGCACTCGTGGCTCCGTGGCGAGCACCACCAGTTGCATTGAACTCTTGACTGGAGTCCCCATCAAATGAAACAATACAATTGTTAGCGGTTTCCGCATCGAGTTCCAAGAGCTTCGCCTTCATCACTCCAGAATTTGCCTTGTCACTCGTGGAAACAGCTTCGGAGCTCTCGTCCATCGATATTTCGCTCGACAGTGAGTTCTCGTTGCTGTCAGCAAAAACCTTCGAGCTCCCTTCATCCTGATCGGAATCATCATCGACAGGAGTCGCGTCTCGATCGTTATCGTGAGCTACACGCGTCAAATAATCCAGAATTTGCTGGTTCTGACCCTTAAAATCATCGTCACTCTCGAGTGCTGCTATCGTTTTCTTATCACTCTTGGAAAAATCCTCGTTGACAACATCTGCATCGACATCTATATGTTTTTTGAGGTCATTAACCATATTGAGCACATTGACATTAAACTCTCTAACATTGATATCCGACGCGGCTTGATCATCCTCGACACTATTTCTCAACATATCGCTGCCGCTATCAATTGCAAAGTCTCTAAAACGCACATTGTTCACTTTCTCCGTTTTATTTACGAACCTGCTCGTGTAGCCACTGGGTGATGACGACGTTGTTAAACCAGTTGGCGACGATGTTGAATGCGCCGGACTGCCACGTGGTGATGAATACCTAGACATGTCGTAAGGGTCACGAGAGAGAAATAACTCTTACAAACAATGAGATGCTACATCAGCGGGGATGAAAATTTGGAAATAATAGGGGATGCGGTAGTCGGATGTAATAAAATGAATCGATTGTACTTATCGATTTCGTTTATTGTCCAGTATCAGATAGTCTAATTCAGATCAAAGATCAACTCTCAATGATGTTTCATGACAGCTTTGACGACAGGCTTACCTGGTGGATGGTGAGTCCTCTTTGCTGCCGCGTCTCGCCTCAGCACTTCTGGCAAGAAGTGGCCCGATGTCTGTGCGCGCCATAGCGGCCTCACTTCTCTGCTGCTTCTGAGACGGAGGCGTTACGTTCGCTGTGCTCGACCGCGTCTCTTGCTCCGACTCCTCGGTTTCAGTTTCGGTTTCCTCGGAGGAACTGCTCGTCTCCTCGTCGTCGATGTCATCTTCGACGTCCCTTTTCTTAGGGGTTTCCTCGCGGGTTATCTGAATCGGGGGTGGAGGAGCTGCGCGATTACCTGAAAGGAAATTATAGCTTCGAGAGCATTTCTATGAAGGGGATTTCCTTGAGCAAGATCGATGGTTTTCCTTACCTGCGCCTAAAAAACGACTTTGAAACGGTCTCGGACTACTCGTGGGAGTAGTCGGTGTCTCTCGACTAGCTGCTGTTTGAGTATTGACATTGGATGGAGAGGTTGTCACTGGTGGCGTTCGCGCCAGATACTTCTGTTTCATTTCCTCAGTCGTGAAGGGTGCGCCTGTATTGCGGATACCTGAGCCAGAGCTTTCTGAGCCTGTGCTGGACTCACTCGATGCACTCCTCGTACTTTGGGTGTGCGGCTCCGTCGACGTTCTCCTGTAAAATTACAATCAGTTGATTAATGACTAATGAGCAACTCTCAACCGATTGCGATCGATTGCCAGTTGAAGCGAGGAATTATCTGATACCTCGTGACCGATGTTCTCCTCGGAGGCTCCTCAACCTCGTGTTCAACTTCCGGTGTTGAGGAGTGGATAATCCCGGTTGGAACTGACGTCTGACGATCGTCGGGGGACTCGGTGTGGGACAGACCGCTGCTCTTGTTCTGCTTTTTAATTTTCGATATCTCATCATCCTCGCTGGCCTGCTTCGTCACTATTGGCGTAGGCTTTCGGGCTTGTACCTGGTGTCAGACATTAATCATGTGAGCGATATTTTTGAAGATGACGAGAGTGATCAGGCGCTGATGAAATGGAATTTATTCAGATTCGATTAATCTCTCTTGACCCTTAGGGTCCGAAATGCTGCCTTTTATCTGATTGGAGCGGAAATTTTTCGTGAGAATGCATGAGAATTCGCTTTCTCCATTAAAATGGCTGCCTCCATGCATGTTGCCATGACATCCTCATGCATGCTTTTGATAGGGCACAGTTACCCAGTTTTTGAATAATTCCAGTACTGCGTCGATTAGTATTTCTAGCAAGGCGAACACTCGACGCAATTATCGCAGACTGCATTACTTTTGCCAATTAGAAACATTGAAAAATCGATTAATCCACATATCCAGACAAATTTATTGCCACAAACATCGCCGAGCCAAGCCTCAATGAAAAAACAAGACATCTAAATTTTGTTTTTAATGATTAAATAGAAAATTGACAAAATCTCTACTAGATTAGCCAAGTGATTCTTTTAATCGACTTTCACCCGATTAAAAAAAAATAAACTTCCTAACTTATTTTACTGGCACGGATGATGTGATTCGGTGTCTATGCTTGAAATTTCAGGATTATCACTGTTCGAAAAGAAAATATTAATGCAATTTTGTTCCTTTCCTTCGCGAACGGCGGAATTAATGCAGTTGGCACTGTACAGTATTCACAGATACAAGAAACTTACTTGAGGTTTCGGAGCTTGCGGTTGCGGAACGGCCGCTTCTTCTTTCTTGCGTTTTCCCGCCCGTTCGCACTCTTGCAACTTCTTCATGACGCGTGGCGAATCAGTGAGACGGAAGATCCCCGATAGAGGGCCTCTCGCGGCGTCCTCCGTGTCCAAGACGCGCTCGCGAAGACTTGTCTCCGTCGCGGCGGGGGTAAAACGGACTGTTGACCTTGAGTCTCCATCTGATTCTTCGCCATCTCGATGACGCATGAAGCGACTTCTGTATCTCGACTTGTTTCTCGGCGATTCGTAGTCTGGGGCGTTGTCATATCTCAATGAAAATGTTTGGAAATTAATTTTTTACGTGACAAATGGAGATTAGGGTAATTACACTGATCGAGGGAAAACAAAATTGAGAGCAGAAAGATTTTCAGGAAGAATTTTTTCGGTACTGAATACCAGATTTGAACATTAGATTTTTTTGCTCAGTGTAAACTGTTAGAAAATTCCTCTTGAAATTTCAAGTGAGAAAGCTTGAAATTTTTAATAACGACGAAGTTAGTTGGAATTTCTGTATATTTTTTCACTGATGAATCAGTTAATTTTTTAAATATTCAAGTAATTATCGATTTCCAGATCCATGCGGCACTGAAAACTGTTGAAAATAGGGAAAATTCAGGCAGAAACTTTTCCGAATTCTCAATCTATTAAAAATTCACTTGCATTTTGCAATAGCAATTTGCATGAAAAACCCAATTTTATAGTCATTTTCATTTGAAGTTGAATCCAAACTCACACCACTGTCAATTCAGGTGAAGTTGTGACTGAAATTTCAAGAAATTTCTAACAGTGTTAGATTAATTGAGGCTTAATTACTCGTAATCAGGAACGTATCGATTCCTGGCGAGCCGATCCTCCTCCTGCTGACGATACTGAGAAGCAAGGCGATGATCGCTTTTGCTCCTCATCAACCCCGGCGAACTGCCCGGTGGTGCCAGTCCAGTACCCGTACCCAAGTGACTATTACTGCCAGTTTCATGCTTGATATTGAGTTCCCCGTAACCAGCGACGTGCAGTACCAACTGATTGGGCTCATGTGGCATGACGAACCGCACTCGGCGGCCATAATCACCGGCTTCGTACTCAAAATTCCTGAAAACGAGGCAATTACTCAGTCCCATTGAACCACAAGATCACAGAGCAGGATTTATGTTTCTTCGAGTACCTGATGAACTCGACGGTGCGGAGGAACAGCTCTTTAGTGTCGAGCAGTTCAGCATCATCCCACGCAACATTCTCATTGATATGCGCATCCGCAAGATCGCAGTTGCTCTGGATGTTGGCGATCTCCAGCTCCAAATTCTCCTTTAGCTGAATCAAACCCCGGAGTTCTGTGCCCGAGTACCGTTCGATTTCATTTCTCAGATATTCCGTGCGATCTTTGAGGGCTTTGCTCAATCTCCGGTAAATTTCGTCGACTTCTTCTGCTACTGAGGCACAATTAGTTTGCAGACCCAGAGTGTTCTTTTCCACCAGGGCAAGGGCGTCCTGCAATCGATGGAGTCCTCTTCTGACCTGCGCGTCATTAATTCAATTAAAATGCTGAAACTCAGGAAGAAAATGAAACAATTTTTCAGGACTATTAAGTACCTGTGAATTTATGCGTGTAATTTCACGTCTCAGAATGTCCATGTGTGCGTCTTTGCACTCTGGACAGCATTTTTTATCACAATGCACACAAAGTGAACAGTAACTTTTCTCCGAACAGACACCACAGCGTTCCATTGTCTGGCCGCTCGTTGGATCCGGCAGCTCCCCTGTAATTTCTATGTGGAGCTCCAGAAAACGCTGTAGTGTCACATTCGTAGGGAATGCCTGCACACCCTGGAAATTGACGAGATTAATTATCAGTCGAATAGAGGAGTTGAATAAAAATCATTTACCTGGTAGGGTATGCGATGCTCGGCACGACATTCCGGACACTTGACCTGCCGACGGACATAATCGATCAGGCCGTCCATACATGGCTCCATGCAAAAGCTGTGCTGGCATGGTAGTAACTTTGGATTTCTGTATCGATCAAGACATATCGCGCATGTCAGCAGTTGTTCAAACTGCTCCATGCTGCCTGTAATCACAAAGAACCAATTCGAAATTGATATTAAATTTCAAAATCGAGTGAAGCTCCGCAGGTTTTTTTTATTCTCTATTTTCCCATCACGTGATTCCCCATTTTTTTCTTCATTCAAATCTCCTGAATTGACGTCACGAGATAATTCCAGTGACTAGCGGACCTCCTACGCACAAAGCCACCGAATACTAAAATGAAATCATCTGTTTTCACTCGAAGACTTTTCGGAAATTCCAATTAGTGTCTTGTGAATATCAAATTTATCTGACGAGGCTTGGGTCAGTGCATGACCCACTGAACCCTGACCGGAGGAAGCCCAGAGTATTTCCCCTGCAAGATACCGAGAATAATTCAAAAAAATTCCGTGTTCTCCGGACTTGTTCCTTTATTTCTATCACTGCTTAACCCTCTGAGGTGAGACTCGCATCCCCACTCTGCGGTCGTCAGAGCCGCACGCGGCGTCCCCACTCCAGAGGCTCCACCGCGGATTAGTGGGGTCTCCACCTCAGAGGGACGAGACGATCGCGGAAGAAAGAGAGCTGAGTGTAACAAGAGAAATTGGCGAGTACGACAATTACCGTGAATTCCGGCTATTTCGAAGAACGATATATTGCAAAACGTACCCGCCTTTTATCCACTTGATGCCGTTAAATTTATCCAAAACACCGTTGAGTTTTTTTCGTTCCTCCCAATGAGCAAAGTCCAAACACTATTGGAACAACCGAATTCGCACAGCTCTATAAACAGGAATGAAACCGAATATCACTTCGAGAAAGGTAAATGCCAAGATGCTGATCTGCGGGAACCAAGAAACGGCGATTGATGAATAATGGAACGATTCACGATTGAAAAATCAATGTAAAATGTCGTCTGGCGTGGTCCCGATGCCGGATATACTAATGGTGCTGAAGCACTTCGGATTTCAAGACGGTGACCGACGCACAAGAGTGTCTATACTTAGATTTCGGCTACCTTCCATCCTCCAGCAACTTATTTTGAACGTCATCGTACTCTTAGAATAGCGCTAGCGAGTCTCCATGACTCGTGCTGTTCAACACGATATCATGCACAGGTTTTCGGAAAATTGGATTTCTTTTCTGTGGTTTGCATCAACAGAAATCATCGCGCATCATGTAATCCCCATTATCTACATTTCAGAAGAATATTTTCCGCAATTTATTTATTGAAAACATCGTCTGCATCACCGAATGACGATCACCCGCGAATCAGCGAATTCGCAATTCGGAGAACATTGAAATGTTAAAAATAGTGCCAAGTTCATCTCGAAAATATTGTTGATAATCTATTATTTTTGAGCCAGACACGCGCCTGCGCCTGTGAATTTTCTACAAGATGATCTCTTTATTTTTCATAATTCGAGTCATCTCCAAGGAGAATTGGAGAATGGGGAATTTTAACAGAGACAAAGCTTCCGTTCAGAATTGATATGTATATATAGATTGGTACAAAGAATAACTACGCAGATTATTAACAAAGGCATCACATTAATTGCATTCGAAATTCACGAAAATATATCGTGAGAGTGTATTTGAAGCATCCAATGAGTTTAAGACGCATGAGTAATTCGACACTGTCGCCATATTAGATCATGAATCGTCGGATTTATATTCGCAGCAAAAAGGAAGTACTATACCAATTAATGTATGAGATTTATTCGCTGATGAGGGGGAGTATATTAAAATATTTCACCATTGATATTATAATTTTCAAGGGAAACTATGACATATTAACATTATGGCGAATTGGATTCTAGATGACAGTCAGAATTTCAAAATATGAGAAAACCAAAAGCCCAGAAAAATGTTGATGTGCTTAATTATGATTAGATAGGCAGTAAATCCTTCATTTCAATCACTATTGCACACATCTAAGAAATCCATAAATTACGTCACAATATTTTCCATTATGCACTAATGATTAAAAGAAAAATCAGTTGCATTCGACAGCACCAAGAAGTTTTTCTTACGTATTTATTGATAAATGGAGTGAACGACGAAACCATAATTAACAGAGTACTAACACTAGTGATTGATTACTGGAAATTTTATTATTGATATGTTTCATTTTCCTCAGTTTAACGTTGCGATTAAAATTTATTTAATTTATTAAGGATTTTTAAGGGAAGATTAAAGTGGATCAGCACGCACCACGTATCAGCCAGGCCGGCTGGCCACCCGTCTTCGAGTGAATGTCTTGTGAGTTATTTCTGGCGAACACCTCCTTCTAGCCAACGACGTTGTCGACTATAACTATCATGTCTTTTGATCTCATCGTCATCTTTTCCGCAACATCCTTCATTTCAGTCTTTTTTTGAATCGTCTATTCTCTCCCTCCACCCCCTTTCCACCCGCCGTCATGGCTGTGATCTTGAGTGAGCGCAAATTTCAGAGATCTTCATGGACTTGTTCATTCGATTTTGTAGGATATCCCGAAATAAAATCAGAAGTCCATCGTGACTTGAAATTTTCCGTTTGAAAAGCACGAAAATTATTGCTTTGATGCGACTATTTGGGGATGATTTGTTTTTATTTATCGAATCGCGGGTTTAATTCCTCGTGTGTTTGTCAGAGATGATGCATAGACTCTAATAATAGCGGAGAGAATGTAGAAAAATCTTCGGCAGAAATGCGCCCTGCTGTCTTGTTTGACGTTGATGAAGAAGACTTGAATAAAAAACGAACTCATTACAAATTTTCCTCATTTTTTATTCTATATCTTGAGGAAAAATTCGCTATTACGGAAAGGTAAGCCTATCCGCTGAATTTCAACCCCGGCCTGCGCGGTTAGTAACTTTTAAAGTTTAAATTTTAAATTTTTGGCGAAAGTCGACTTTCCCCCGGGAAAAATCCAAGGTCTGACACTTTGGCCCCGGGTGAAAACAAAAATTTATTTTGACATTTCTGGCGCCTCTGAGGGTTTCAGTGGCATTAGATAGGCCAGAAAATACAGAATCGACGTTCACCCGGCGGAAAAATTCGATTTTGGCGAAAGTCGACTTTCCCCCCGAAAAAA